AATAATAATATAATCTAAGCTATTATTAAGGTACTAAAGACTAAGTAATACTATATCCTATATAAGCTAATATATAGCCTATAAAAATTATAACTAGACCTTATAGACTATAACTATACTAAAGAAATTTTATATATTTATAACTAAGTCTTTATACCTAAAGCTAAAGGACTATATACCTAAGTACTAGATAGAATATATAAAGCCTTAATAGGTAGTTATAGTAGTAAGTATTAGAGTTATATAAGGTTAGTATAATAGTATAACTAGCTATATATAATAATAAATATTACTTAATATATTAGAAACTACCTAATCTATAAAAGAAGTAAAAGCTACTAAGATAGTAAATATAGCCTATTATACCTACTACCTATCTCTTAAAGATACTAGTCTAGTATTTCTATAGACTTTATTATATACCTACTTCTATATAAATATAATAGATATATATTTATAAATATTCTTATTATTATAAACTAATTAACTAAGAAGAAGAAATTTATTCTAATAGTAACTCTACGTATTAATAAGCTAGTCTAAGTATTTATAAAGTATATATAGAAAGAAAAGAGCTATTCTAAAGTAATAGTTAGTAACTAAGGTAGCTAATTTATCTTATACTTCTAGTAATAACTTTACTAATAACTTAGAATATACCTAAAATTAAGTATAGTATATTACCTAGAGGCTAATAAATAGATAGAAAATATAAATACTTATTTAAAGTAATACCTATAGGTATATACTAACTATAAGTAAGATAACTAGGTATTATTCTTACTAATAGTAGAATTTAAGGTAAACTTAACTATAAGTACTAGTATAGGTATTTTTCTATTCTTAGTAACTAAAGGCTATAAGCTCTATATAGGACTAAAACCTTTTATACCTATAACTACTATATTAGTACCTATATAATAAGATTAGCTAAAGGCTAACTAGTTTATAGAATATATAAAGGCTCTATATATAAAGCTATAGAACTTACTTTATTAAGTAATTATAAAATAAGAAGAGTATACTAATATAAATAGGTTACTATCTCTATTACTTAAAGTTAGTAATTATATTATACTAAATACTTATAACCTCTATATAATATAACTAAACTACTTTCTTAACTATAAGAACTATAGGCTATTTAAGGTAATTTATATTATTAGGAAAAATAATACCTATTAACTTAACCTAGTAGTAACTTTAAGCTAAGTCTATAATATATTCTACTTATAGCTACCTTTTTTATATAATAAATCTATACTACTATACTAGCCTTATAATAAGAAATAACTAGCTTACTTTAATTCTAAAGCTAATAATAATATTAATTATATAGTTAAGTATATTAAAAACTACTATATAAACTAATAACTAAATAACTTAACTATATATAAAAAGAAGCTATTATAGTACCTTATATACTAGGCTAACTACTCTAAGAGTAATAATAACTCTTTATAGAAACTATATATTAATATAGTTAAATTAGTAGATATTATCTATAAATATTATAGGCTTTACCTAAATAAGCTACCTATTTATATAAAGTTTAAGTAACTAATAGGTAAATAGAACCTAGTATTACTATAACTAAAGTACTTAACCTAATAAAACGTAAGCTACTTATAGTCTTCTAGTAAGCTCTTATATTATACCTTAATATATTTATTACTACAATTAAGAAGAAGCCTCTATTAGATATCTTAATACGTATATATACTATTACTCTAGATAATAATACCTTTATATATATTAGACTATAGTATAAGCTTTAAATACTAATACTAAAGCTAGGTAAAAAATAGTAGCTTAAGGTTATTTAAGTAGCTATAGGCTTAGCCTTTAAAGGGCTTATAGTATTTACTAAGCCTTAGGTCTAGCTATAACTACCTAATAAAAGTAATACTAATATTACTATACTAGCTAATATTACTTAAATTAACCTACTATATTATTATTTTAATATATACTTCTTATAACTTTATAATTTATAATAGAAAACTCTTCTATACTCTATATATAAGTATTATATATAAGCTCTCTACTTTTATAAGCTACTAGGTATAATTCTATAATAAGTATACTAGTAGTTATAAATAGAAAAATAGATAAATAACCTATAGCCTATAGAAGTATAGTTAAGAGACTAGTTTTATAATCTTATTTTATAACTATTATTTACGTATATAGTATTAATAGTAAGGAGTTATAACTTAAACTATATTTATAAGTACTAGAGCTACTCTCTTTAATAAAAGAAGTAATATAATAGATTAGAGCCTCTATACCTATTATTACATAACTTACTTTACTATTACGTAATCTTAGTACTAAGTTAGTAGGAATACTAAAGCTACTCTATACACTAAGATACTTACCTTATATAATATTTTACTTTTTAGAGAAATTAACTCTTATCTTATCTATCTTATATAACCTGTATTAGCTTCTTTATAAATAGAAAGAAGAAAAAAGTTATAGAAGATAGGTATAAGCTATAGAAGATTAGAATAAGAAATATAGAATTATTAATAAAGTTTAAGTAAATTTAAATTAAATTTATTCTAGTATATAAGTAGATCTTAATAAATAACTAGTGTATAGATAACTTACTAATAGTAAACAGAGTAAAGTAGAAATAAAGATAATATAGTAGTTAGTTAAGTTATTAAATTTCTTTTATAGTCTTTAGTTTTTTTATACCTTAAGATAAGTATACTACAGTATTATTAATATTCTATTAAAAGATAGCTATATACTTAGAGAATATTACAGCTTATAGATACTTTATATTTATACTTACTAATTACTATTAGTAATTAACTTAGTACCTAAGTACCTTTCTATTTAAATATCTTTGTATTTTATATATTACTTCTTTTTACTTTATTATTTAATATCTTAGAAACTACTCTACTTTTATACCCTTATTATCTTTATACTTCTCTATACTATACTACTAAAGATTAGTACTAATTTTAATCTAATAGTAATACTTATTATATATATATCTAGTCCGAGTTATATACACTTCTCTCTATAGCCCTATTACTATAGATTTATTCTTTTAATAAATAATTATATTACTAACTTTACCTAGCTCGCTAAAGATAGCACTAAATAAGATACTTTAAAAAAGAGAATAGATATATCTAAGGTAGAAAAGTAATAGTATAGATATTTAAAAGTTTAATCTTATATAGTATTTATATTCTTGTAATATAAACTTCTATTAGAAAGACGTTATAAATATATATTTAGTTTACTTATATTTTTAGATCTTTGTAATATTAATATTATATATAATATTTAAACCCCTAGATTAATAAATACTTAATATTTAAGAAAATCGCTATCTAAGAATTAACTTATAAAAGGTAGTAGGATAATAAGAGGCTAGATTAAAACAAGTAAACTTAACGTAAATTATTATACGCTAATTAATATACTAGCCTTAAATAACTCTCTTACCTATAAGATTAGACTACACTTTCTAGATACTACAAAAACTTAGTTACTAGTAAGCTAGGCTTAGCTAGTAGAGGTAAGAGGTAAAATAAAACTATAACTAATTAGTCTTGCTTATTAGTCTCTATACTACTTCTATTATCCTAATTATTACTTCTTGCTTTCTAAGTACTCCTGCTAGCTAAAGCCTAATCAACCAAGCTTTTACGGCAGAAATAGAAGGCGGGAGGCGGTCTATAAGTCTGCACCCCTTGCATAGAGTGCATATCTGACCTAGCAAATCGGAAACGTCGGGAATTGTGTTTCTTCGCCGGACACATAATATCGCCCGTTATCGAACACAGAGGGGATTGTTTTTGTCTCAAAACTCTGCTATGCTTTACATAGACAAGTGTGTAGTCTCTACACTGACCTCTCAATAGTAGTTATTATTCTTTGTTTCTCAAGTCAACTCCTGTCGATCCTATGCCTCGGCTTTTCGGCTCGTCAAGCGACTGGACATGTACACAATTCTCATCAGTGTTTCGAACACGACTAGCTTTTACTCGTTCATCAGGATTCCAATTGACTAATTGTGCAACTCTCTCGAGAAACTTATGCCCTTCCTGTCTTTAGTATGCTATCAAAATCTTACCGATATCTAGTCTTGGCAGACGGGAACTCCACACTTGGCTCGGACGCCCGAGAGTTCTCAGCGGTGTACACTCTGACAGTCTTTAGGCGACGCTCAATGATCCTGCAACCACGCACCACCTAGTCTTAGGCTGTACGGAGTTCTCCCGGTCTACTATTGTTCATAGTCCTCAACTTAAAAGATCAGACGGTTAATAGCCTTCACGGTCCAAGCGAAATGAGTGCAAAAGAGCGTAGGCTTACACTCTTTACTAAGATCCCGGAGTGTTTTCTGACCCATTCCAGTAAGCCGCTCCGACGAGTTTTCTGGTTCCAAGTCTGAGATATCCCTTGGCCCTCCAACGAAGCGTCGCGTCCATGTCCTTAACACGGATTCGTGATATTGTCCTGGTGTCCACTTTACATCCGCGGGGCTTTGTCTAACACTGTTCAGTACCTGCAGCTGCTATGATACTTTGCCAACGCAGCGACGAAATCACTAAGTACCCAAGCACTCGATATTCGCTCTTTGCCAAGGGGTTTGATGGAGTCTCGATTCATGGTTCCCGCTTGATGTTGACGTGTGGACGGAGATTGACATTTAGAATTGACAAGAGCGGAGGCGGCATTCCTGTTTCGGTTAGATTAAAAGAGCATGCAAGCGTCACGCGACGATTCGACGGCATCAGACCAGTTCGTTCCGTAGCCTAACCTCCGAGGGCTTCTTCCATCGCATGCCTAACGGGATACAGCAGCCCTTCCTCCAGAATTTCCCCAGAACCCCGCAAAGCAAGATGTACCCCAGTACATTCTCGTTGATTTTTCGGTAATGATTTCTGCGAGCCGTGTGGCACATGGTTTAAAAGCGAGCATACCCCAGACGTAGCCAGTCAGCCTGGATATCTTGTCTTGCAAAGATGAAGACCATTCACAGTCTTTCATGGCTATCCGCCCTTTCATCATTGTTGTCCAATGGTGCTGGAGTCAATGCGCAGAGCGACGCGCTGAGCCAATGGCCAGTACATGACAATGGTCTAAACGATGTCGTTCAATGGGATCACTATAGTTTCAAAGTTAACGGCAAGAGACTGTTCGTCTTCTCTGGCGAGATTCACTATTGGAGAATTCCGGTCCCTGAAGTTTGGCGAGACCTGTTGGAAAAAATCAAGGTACACAATTCCACAACCAGCAAATATTCACGCTGATCGGAATCTTCAGGCTGCTGGCTTTACCGCCTTTGCTTTCTACGGCAATTGGGGCTATCACAGTGTGAACAATCACACGATGGACTTTTCGACAGGAGCGCACGACTTCACGAAATTGTTCGATATTGCCAAAGAGCTCGGCTTATATGTCATCACACGACCTGGTCCATACGTCAACGCTGAGGTCAACGCAGGTGGCTTTCCTTTGTGGCTTACCACTGGCGCGTACGGTGCTTTGAGAGTTGACGACCCTCGATATCTGGCTGCTCTCGACCCATATTTCTCCAAATACTCCGCTCTCACTAGCAAGCATCTCGTGAGCAACGGCGGAAACGTTATCGTCTATCAGATCGAGAATGAGTACGGTAGCCAGTGGTTGGATACCGTGAAAAAAATCGCCAATGCCCCCGCCGGACGATACATGGAGTTTTTGGAGGACACAGCCCGGGCCAATAGTATTGACATTCCGCTCATCCATAATAATCCAAACTTGAATTCAAAGTCTTGGTCAGAAGACTTCGCCCCGAATGCTACCGGAAACGTAGACGTTGCCGGACTTGATAGCTACCCCTCGTGCTGGTCTTGTAATCTAGACGAGTGCACAGGCACGAATGGTAAGTACTACAACTAAATAAGGGGCTTGGAGTCTTTACTAACGAGTTGATATAGGAGAGTATGTTGCATACCAGGTAATCGACTATTACGACTATTTCAAGGAGGTTTCGCCTACGCAACCCAGTTTCTTTCCTGAATTTCAGGGAGGCTCTTACAACCCATGGGGTGGCCCCGAGGGTGGGTGCCCAGCCGATATTGGTGCCGATTTCGCAAACTTGTAAGTTCGATTGCTGATTGTGAAAAGCAATCCACTGACATTTTGACAGGTTCTACCGCAATCTTATTTCTCAACGCGTTACGGTAAGTCGATGCTTGATTTCTATTGATGAACGAACTAAGTCTAACACAACTCAGGCACTCAGTCTGTACATGATGTATGGAGGAACCAATTGGGGCGCTTTGGCGTGCCCAGTTGTAGCCACTTCGTATGATTATTCCAGCCCGATCAGCGAGAACCGCAAAATCGACAGCAAATACTATGAGACCAAGAACCTGGCAATGTTTACACGAGTCGCCGAGGATCTGACAGTCACCGAACGTCTTGGTAACAATACGGCTTACACGACGAACACCGCTGTTCAAGCTAGTGAGCTTCGCAACCCTGATACGAACGCCGCCTTCTATGTCACCATCCACTCATATTCGCCTTCTGGTACCGACGAATCGTTCAAGCTTCACGTTCGCACATCGATCGGTAACCTCACGATCCCTCGGCTAGCTGGTTCGATTGCCCTGAAGGGACACCAGGCTAAGATCCTGGTCACTGACTTCGCAATTGGAAACCAAACACTCACCTACTCGACGGCCGAAGTTTTGACATACTCAATCGTCGACGCTAAACCTATTGTCGTGCTATCCACTGGAGTTGGCGAATCCGTTGAATTCCATATCAAGGGTGCTACCCATGGCAGTGTCGTTAGCAATGGAGCAAAGTCAAACGCGACATTCCACTCCGACAGCCACGGCACCACAGTTAACGTTAGACCAGTGTCCGGTATGACTGTCTTCAAGTTCAGCAATGGCGTCAAGGTTGTTCTTGCAGACAAGCCAACTGCCTATCTGTTTTGGGCTCCCAATCTATCAAACGATCCCCTTGCACCCGTTGATCAGTCAGGTGAGTACCATACATTCCCAATATGGGATTTCCCACATCTAACATCAAACAGTATTGGTTCAAGGCCCATATCTTGTACGCGGCGCTACCAGCGAGGGCGAAGTGCTAGCTCTGAAGGGTGACATCACGAAGACGACCACGATTGAAGTTTTCGCATCCGAGTGCGTTAGTTCACTTGCGTGGAACGGCAAGAAGCTTCAGACTACTCGTACGCCATACGGCACCCTGAAGGCAGTTGTTGCAGCTTTCAATGGAACTATCCAGCTTCCGTCTCTGGACACTTGGAAAGTCAACGACGGGCTTCCCGAGCGCCTTGCCGACTACGACGACACGACTGATGCGTGGGTCAAGGCCGATCACCTGACAACCCCAAACCCTCAGAAGCCTGACACACTCCCTGTCCTGTACACCGACGACTATGGCTTTCACAACAACTTCCATCTCTTCCGTGGATACTTCGATGGCTCAGCAACAGGCGTCAAGCTTGCTGTCCAAGGTGGTCTTGCCTTTGGCTGGAGTGCGTGGCTCAACGGCGCCTTTGTTGGATCCTATCTTGGCAACTCAACCGTAGGAACCGGCAATATGACGCTGTCATTCGCCAACATGACCATGCACGCAAATGGAAAGAACGTCTTACTCGTAGCGCAAGATAACTCTGGACACGATCTGCGCAGCGACGCTGTAAAGCCCCGTGGAATCCTCGGAGCCACACTCCAGGGGGCCAACTTCACAGAGTGGAAGATTGCCGGTGAAGCCGGCGGCGAAGATGTTCAGCTGGACCCTCTACGTGGCACCTTGAGCGAAGGTGGCCAGATTGCTGAGCGTCTCGGATGGCACCTTCCTGGCTTCGACGACTCAACGTGGAACTCGAGCACCCCAACTACTGGTTTCACTGGTGCTGGTATCAACTTCTACCGCACAGTCGTCCCTCTTCACGTTCCTGAAGGCGTTGACGCATCGTTTGCATTTGTACTTAACGCTCCTGCCTCCAAGATGATCCGTGTCCAACTCTATGTCAACGTAAGTGATACCCACATCCATATTCTTTCTTAGACATTCGCTAACTGTACTTCAGGGATACCAATACGGACGTTTCAACCCATGGGTCGGTAACGAGGTCAAGTTCCCCGTGCCGCCGGGTGTTCTTAACTATGCTGGTGACAACGTCATCGGATTGAGTGTTTGGGCACAGTCCGAGGAGGGCGGAAAGGTGGATATCAAAATGGAGCAGGAGTATGCGGTCGAGAGCAGCTGGAGCTCCAACTTCGAGTCTGAGTACTTGAGGCCTGGATGGACCGAGGATAGGTTGGCCTATGCCTAGACGAGCTTTCATTTACTGAAGATCTGTCTTCGGTAAGCTTGTAAATGTAGATAAATGATGGCATGGTTGATGGAAATGATGCCACCTATGTATATAATGAAATGTGATCAACACATAGCAAAAGGACCATGGTATGCTCGTTCAAATTGCCAGCTAAACAAATTGTGATTCTATCACTACAATACTAGAAGGTGCAAGATCCTTGGACATGGCAGAAGGCCTGCTCCCTTGGCTCTGTCCCGGTTGATATCTCATGTTTATATTGTAGTAGTACCATCGTCTCCTTACAAAAGAGAGATTTGATGATACGACTAAAATATCAACCGCTTCCTTTATTGTAAATGAAGTGTGACGCTTCAAGATGATCTATCTATCAGATATCAAGCATTTCCTTGGAAGTAAAGTTACAGCACTCATATATCAGCATCAATGGATGAGCACATATCGAGTGCACTGCTTACTTCGTGTGGAAACCTCACTTATGCTAAGTGACATTGGACTGATACGAATACATCCTTCCTACTCTGTCACACGTTGATCCACGGCTCATAACGAGCACAATTGAACTACGGTGTGTACCCATCATACAGCGAGCAAATTCATTCATTCATTTCGAGGTATCAAGGGAATAGGAGTATATCTAGGGCACTACACCAGTCTAGGCATCCTTCAACATGCTGGTGAAACCCGCCCAGGTCTCGCGTACAGTAGGCTGGATCTGGTTCGCTGGCAGTGTGAACCCATAGGTACCCTTGTCGCGCAGCTCGTATGTGTATGAGTAAGTAGCGTTGCCAGTTACGTCGGTGTAATCAGTCGAGCTTCCAGTCGTAGCATACAACGTCGAGCATGAAGGTCCGTAGGTGTACGCGGTACCGGATACCGCACGGATGGCATTCGCGGCATTGACAGCAATGGTGCGGTGCTGTGCGTCATTCTCGGCGCGGAGGCTGCAGTCGTAACCATATGCTGAGGAAAACATGTCAGCTCAGAATGGCACAGTTTGAGGAAGGGAGATAACTCACGCCACAGAATGTACTGTCCGTAGGAGTGCATGTCGAGATACAGACGGATACCTCGCGAATCTCTCAATGAGTTGACCTGGGCTGAAAGACCGCGGATCTCTGGGCTGTCGCCAGGAGCTTGACCCTTGTAGGTCTCAGAGCAGGGGTTCGTGGACGCGCCACCAGCGACTTCCCACTTGTAGGGCCAATTTCGGTTCTCGTCGCGGCCGACGCAGGTGTTGCCGCTCACAGTCTGTCGGTTCTTGCGCCAGAGGCGGTCGGTGGTCTGAGTGTAGACAAAGCCATCGGGGTTGACGATTGGCATGACTGGAAGTGAACGTGAGAATTGAGTGTTACATCTTTTTGTGTCACTCACTGTAGAAGTCGAACTTGTCGACGAGCGACTTGATGGTGGCGTCCGAACCGTACTTCGTAAGAAGTTGCCATGCCTAAGGTTCATAGTCAGTAATCGAACTCTAGCATCCTGCTTGACATCAGAGCTTCAATCTCCAGCCCACCCTACCAGTGGAGAAGGTGGTTGAAGGTATTCAGCCCTGTTTAGCTTACTCAAGAAGGGGAGACTTACAAAGTACTCAGTAGTCATGGTTGTGATCCACTCTCGCGCGTGGACAGTCCCGTGAATCAGAACCGCAGGCTTCGATCCCTTTCCGCCGCTGCCCCAGATATGAATTCCAGTGATGACTCGACTCTGGACCGAAGTACCAGCAGTGATGATCTCAGACTGGCCCGTAAATGAGCCTTGAAGGTCTCGCAGGAACTGAAGATGGTTGGCGTAAGTCTGATAGGCGGTGAACCATGTCTCGCTCGGTACAGCGTATACGGACATCTGGCCCTCCTCTTTCAAGGCAGCGCCAACATCTTCGTTGATGATCTTGCTTCCGGGGGCCAGGGCACTAATCGCGTCGACATTTTCTGGTGACACAACGATATCCAGTTGCGCTTTGCCAGGATTGAGGACATGAGCGGCCAACTCCTCGATCTGCGAATGCACATCTGCAGTGACATCCGGGGCAGCAAGACGAAGAAGTTTGAAGCCACTGTAATCGATTTTCTTTCCAGCCCGTGGGACAACAGTGCCCAGGACGGTGGAGGCGAGCAACGCAGAGGTAAGAATGAACTTCATCTTAGGTGGTAGGAATAATGAATGTGCGGGATAGCGATATCGTACACATCATCGTGAGGACACTGACATCTTTTATATTCTCTTCAACCCGCCCTGTGTAAGTTCTCCACCTGCCCATCACGTCCTGTAGCAAATGCTCCTCAATCTCCATGGCGGTAACTCATACGGGCAGGTGTGTACCTGTTGCTGTCGATCGACATTCTGCCGATGCGGGAGATACACGTTCGGAGGAAGGAGGATGCGGGTACCGCCTTCTGGGTGGTTGTTTCATTTAAACGGCCTGCTTGGCGACTACCTCCATCTCCGGGTTGGCATTAGGTGTGATTGGGCCGGGGTCCTTGGCATGTCTGTGTTAGGAAGGTAGAGGGAATGAGCATGATGACCCAGCGTGACCTCGCTTTGTGGGTGATTCGAGACCTTCCAAAGCTGGGGTATTAGATGTTGTGGCGTCGGTTGATGGATGGCGTGCTGCGGTGGTGACTGTCGTTGCTAGAGCAAATGTCTTGATCAGGAAGGACGGCGGAATCGCGGCGGAAATGCGATATGAAACCCTCTTCTAGTAAGGTTGCGGAGTATTGAAATTGCAGGTGCATCTTGGGCTGTATATCTATTGAGAATATTGTCCAGAGCAAAGATCACCACCCATGAAAATACCTAGCAGGTCAGTGAACCAAAGCTACATGCACATAGTCAGTCTATGGTCTTCTAGCTCTTACTTGGAACCCTAAACTTTTAGTTGTACCGTATCGTTGTGTAATCGTTAAATGGAACAATTGACGAGAGGGCACTTTCAATATAAGCACTGGTAACCGAATGAGGTAGTCTTGTTTCGCTAGTATCCCTCTAAACATGCCTCAAAGCTCCCTCATCGAACGCCTCTTCAGCCCAGTAGGATTAGCAGTAGCCCAATCGGACAAGTTCATCACTTGAACACCTTCTCAGTGTTAGCTTTCAACCCTTAACTAATCTGATTCGAGGAACTTACCCCATCCTTTAAGCTCCGCAATTGCAGCTGCTTTGACTTCAGCCGAGAAACTCTCGGTCGCATCCTCGATGAGAATAACCTCATATCCCAGCTTGATCCCGTCAATTGACGTACCTCTCACGCAGGCATTCGTGATGAGTCCCGTGACTATAATCGTCTCGATGCCATGAAGGGTCAACTCGGAGTTCAGTATAGTGAAGCGATGATACTGATTGTCTGCAAACGCCGAGTAAGAATCTACTGAGTGATCTTGTGCTTTCTTGATGTAGTTTATGGGTGTTCGGTACCCCTCTAGATACTGCAGTCGTGTCTTGACGCCGTCTTCAATCTCGGCGCCCCAGGTCCCTGGTACGCAGTGATCTGCGTACAAGCTTTGGGTTTCAATCTTGGTGGGGGTGTCGAGGAAGGTGATGTTGACAGCATCGCCTGACGCTTCCCCAGGATGTGCAGATGCGAAAGAGACATGGTCCTTCGGATGCCAGTCTTGAGATGCAGCAATGTAGGGCCACTCATGGTCATCGAGCAAAGTGTAAACTTTGGGCAGAATAGCCGATGAGCGAGGAGATCCCAGGGAACCGTTGACGAAATCGTTCTGGATATCGACCAGAATCAATGCTGTTTTCTTGTGCAGTTTACTGGAGTACTTGAAGTTATCATGTGTTAGTGGATTTGCACTAAACTCAATCGAAAGTGGTGCGCTTACTGGGACAGCTTGCGCTACGCTCAGCAAGGCGGTCGCGACGGTTAGCAAAGACCCCAACATGATGGTACCGAGGGTTTGGTAGAGCAGACTATTGGATAGACGCCTGCGAAGGATGTCAGATTGGATTTATAGAAACATCTGAGCCCTGATCAGCAGAATTCCGCGCAGAAGTGGAGACATCAGATTTAGTTATCGCAAGGCGAGATAAGGCCATCCACATGAAGCTAGCCATGCGCTGATTGGATAGCTGGAAAAGTCACATCAATTGGTCAGAATTGGACGGTGCAACGAAAAGTCGCAAAGGTGATGGTCAGAGATCAGACGCGAATACAGAATTGTGATTGTATCCTAGATCTTTCAGAGAGCTTCGGAACGACCAATACTTCGATTGAGGATCTCGTTCGTGATGGCTACAACCTGTTGGTTCTACATCCCCGCTTCTTCCCCGCCTCACCAGTCGTTGTTGTTGTTATCATCATCATACCTCTGCTCGTTCCTTCCCTGGTCATACGAATTGTCCATCCTGTCACCAAACTGATCCACATCATTCGCCGCGTTATCCCATTTGTTCTCAATGTCCTGTGGGACATCCTCCACTGCCTGGACCTTCTCGCCCGTCCATTGCGCCGCATCTTCCGGGAAATTCTCGACGTCATTGACGGTATTGTCCCACTTGTTTTCGACGCGGTCTCCGAAGTTGTCCACACGCCCGACTTCCTGGCCAGCCCAGTTTGCCGCGTTTTCAGGTGCGTTCTCAAAGTCGTTCGCTATGCGGTTCTCGTCGCGATCCCAGCCATCTTCTACAATTGGATCATGTCAGTGTGATGCTCCAAAACTTCAAGTGTATCGTTATGTAGAGGTGGAGAACTTACTCATCTCCTCTCCCTCGTGCATCAGCAAAGCACCGCCCGCAAGCCCTGCTGCGCCGCCAGCCGCATACTTCCATGCGTTTCCTCCCTGCTTCTGCTCTTGCTGTCCTTGTTGATAACCTCCGCCCTGCCCATAACCGGAGTTGCCTTGTTGTTGTTGATAACCTCCGCCCTGCCCATAGCCGGAGTTGCCTTGTTGTTGTTGTCCATACCCTTGACCAGGGTGGTTGTACGTACGCTCCCCGGTCTGCTGGTTGACGAACATCCACCTGTTATCGCGACCATCCCACTCCGCAACCCAGGGCGGGGACACGGGTGGTGGGCCTTGAGAGGATTGATTCTGCGAGCCGGAGTTCTGGGATTGTCCACCCTGACCGGTGAAGTCGGAGATAAGTTCGTTCAAGAAGCCCATTGTGAGATTGTCTTGGGATCAAAGTCTGTAAGAATTGGGGAAACGAGAAAGGGGATTGCAACTCTATGCTTAAGTGTGGTGGAATTTTGAGTGATGTGTCTAGTTGATATAGCGGAGCATGCGGTATTTATCTGTAACTAGAGATGGCGATCATGGTAGTCGACTAATAGCAAATACCCCTCTCCTCGTATCTGTAGCCCACTCTTCCAGGCATGTGGCTTAGCAATTACGGAGTTCCAGCCGCAGATTCAAGGCGGTGGTCGTGGGAAGAACATGGTTCTAGGCCGAGTGACATGTGCGATGACATGCAACGACAAATCCATCAGCTGGCGTGGAGCTGGCGTGGAGCTGGCATTGAGGGGTTATTTGGCGCAGTTATTCCAAATCGGTCGATTGATTGGGTGTTTTCAAGGGGTCCACTTTCGGCACTGTCCGTTCGGAGGCCGAATAAGCATCACCAAGCTTTGTGTGAGCTTGGCAGTTCTTGATTTTTACTCGCCTTGCACAGCCACCGTCTTTCATGAATCTAGATGACAGCCACAGCAGCAACGTCATGAATTTCCCCTCCGAAGCATTCGGCCGTTCAATTCGAGAGTCCTACTCTTACTCCACGCTGTCCACATTATACCAAAATATTTTCTTCGATCCGAATTCCCATATCAAGACAACCCAATTTATCCTCCCACCCGCTCCCCTCACAACCCCACCAAACCACACCTCCTACCCCCATCCAGACAACGACATACCATTCCTCGCCCTTCCTCTTCCCCTCTTCCCATCTCCCTGATCCTCCCCCTCACAACTCCCTACAACAACCTCCACCCTACTCTCCAAAACAACCACCTCCTTCCCCCTATTAAGCGAGAACGAGGGGAAACAGCCCCACTGCAACGCCGACAACCATTTCCACCCCGCCGTTGAGTCGTGCGTGGGGGATCGCGGATGGGGAAGAAAGTGGTGGGTCGGAGGCCACACTATGCTTTGCATTGAGACGTAGACATGCGGACTAATATCGTGACGAGCGGGATAATATCCACATAGGGTGAAGAATTGGCAGAAAGATGAGATGCACAATGGGATAAGATGGAAGCGCTTAAGTACCAGCCTATATCACTGCTGCTGTGTGTGCGATGTAGTGTCCTTCGTGTTCCTGCCGTGCGTGGTGGGCTTGTTCGGATCTGCAGGAGGAGTGCTTCACTGTTTCGAGATGGGCGGTTGTGTTTGCGTGCGGACTGGGGGTTGGGATGAGGTAACCGGTACGTTGGCACGAGGGCAGGACGGTATAGTGTGTGTTATTGATGTTTGGTATAGAAGTGAAGACTGATGTGCAGGATATGTGTGTTGTTGACATTGTCTGGGGAATGAGAGGAACAAGTACGCGATACAAACAAGCACGACACCTACCGTGTCACCAACCCAAACAACTTAGACACTACAAACACAAAGGGGTATTTTCATATCAACAAGACGACCTGCCACAACACCACCCAACAACCACACTCCCCCCCTCTCCCTCAAACGACACCAACACCCCTCTTCCTCCTAACCGCCAACTTCGCCATCTCATTCAAATTCCACTCATCCCTAACCAGCATCGCATCAGGAACATGCTCCCCACTATTAATAACATGCACCGTCATCTTCGGGTGCGTCTTAAGGCCCGTCAGCAGCTTGGGCGTGACGAGGAAGTACTGGCTCGTGCGCTCCTGGCAGGCGATATCGACCATGCGGCCGTGGACCATGCGTTCGTTGCGCGGATCCATGCCCTGGTTTATTTCGTCGACGACGCGGAACGGCGATTGTGCGAGGTCTTGCAAAGCCATGAGGTAGAAGATTGTGGAGACGGCGCGTTCGCCGCCCGATTGCCGCTGTGAGTCGAGGACGGAGAGGGGCTCGCCTTCGCTGGTGGGGGGGTTAGTTGGGGTGTAGTTGGGTTTTTGGGGGTGGGGACGTACCGGAAGCGGACCTTGATGCGGACTGACCACTTGTCAAAGTCGTCCTCGTCTTTGTACACGCTGACTTCGCCCGCGCACCCAATCTGCTCAAAGTTGTGCGAGAAAGCGTCGCTGATGCGCGACATAAGCGCGTCGAGCTGGGGCTCCCACTGCCCACGTATCTCGGTAATCTGCTGCATCGTGGCATCCAAATCCGACACGGCCTGATCGAGCTTTCTTTGAGAATCCCGAATTTGTTGTTCGCGGTTTTCATACATTTTGACTGCGCCGGGATCTCCTTCGGCCATCATCTCCAGCCTTGCCGTGACGGCTGTGATTTCGTTCTCAAGCTCATCGACAGAAGCCAGAACGCGGTATTCGTTCACAATCTCATGCTCCGTCGGCGTCAAGCTCCTAAGCATCTGTTGAGTGGTTTTGACGAGAACTTCGTATGCTTTACGATTGGTTTCGTTCTCTTTTTGCAGGGCGTCAATTTCGAGCTGCTTCGATCGCTGGCGGTTGAGAATCGTTTCGTTTTCCTTCTCGAGCGCCTTCACTTCCGATCGGGCTTCAATGAAACGTATCTCAGCTTCCACGAGCGACTCGAGGAACGAACGAAGAACAGTAACCATTTTCTGTTGATGATAAGTATCGAGATTGATGGCAGATGTGAACGTGACTTACAGCATATTCAATAGTCAGTGTCGCGGCTTTCAACGAAGCCTCGCGCGATTTGGCCTTGCTGTCTCGTATGCGGTTGTTTGTTTGCGCATTATCCTCAAGTTTGGAGTCCCTTTCCGCTTCTTTTTGCTCTGGGAACGGTTAGCACTAGATAAACAAATCAAAAGGACAGATGCCCGCACCAATCTGGCGAGGAAGAGCCTGCCACACAGCAACAGCCCTTCGCCGCTGTTCATGATCGGCCTGAGCCTCATCCTACAAAGGCGTTAGTAAAGATCGTGTATCAAAGTGACATAAAACCTACTCTGCCCTGTTTAAGTTCCTGAATCCGATCTTGCAGACCCTTCCTCTCCTCTTTCGCCGCCTCATGCCCTTCTTTCAGCTCTTCCAGATCCCGCAAAGTCCGCGTTATCGTATCTTGATATTGACGTTTCTCCTCCGCATTGACCGGCTGATCGACAAAGATCCTCGCCTCCTTGAGGAGGTTCACGCTGGTCGACGAAGCCCCATATTCCTTACGTGTCGTGATCTGGAAAACTTCCCTACCACTGACCCATTTTTGGATCGGACTGGCAGATGCGGCCGTGTGCTGCTGGTCCGAGAGTGGCCTCGATGCGAAAGCCGTGCGGTTCAGTCTGGCGTTGTCGCAGAGCATGGCGATGACGGCGTCAGGCCCTTGGATGTAGTCAACCATGAAGCCCTCAAATCCATAGTTCTGCAGGTGTTCCGGAGCGACAGGAGCCCGATATGAAGACAAGGGTTTTGGCGAGGTTCGAAGATGGATATCGTGGAGCCCAAGCCCTTCTCTGCGTGTAAAAACCCCTGATAGAGTTTTAGAGTCCTCTCCGCTGGTGCAAGTGATACCGATGAAGTCGCCGTGTCGCATTTGGCTTTCAACCGCGTTTGCGTAGCGCGAGTCTGGGACGGAACACGTCAGGATAGGAGGCCCATAGACTTCGCCTTTCAACTGTAATGTATCCTTGTTTTTTTGGAACCAGTCCCAGGCTCTCGCTGTGTCCGGAGATAGCTTCGATAACAAACTTGCCTGCTTTCCGCCCTGTGTATTCAGCTGCTCGAGTTGTGCCTCAGCCATTTGCTTTTCCTGATGCCAGCCTTTCCCCCGAACAACGTTCTCAGCCAGCAGAATATTCACGTCTGCGACGCGACGCTCGACAGCGGAGATCTGGGTACGAAACTCGGTGTTTTGTTGATTCCAACCTTCTGTATCGCATTCCACAGGCTGTTCTTGACGCTGGCGCTCGAACCTTACTATGTCTGCTTTGAGTCGATTAATGTCTTGTTCGCGAGCCTTCCTGGAGTTCACTTCTGCCAGGACCTGGCCCTCAAAACTTGTAATAGCCTCCTTTGCTTTGGCAATTTTTAGAGTCAACTGATCAGTCTGCTTCTTGGTCATGTCGAGGCGGTTCTTGCGGACTTTAACGACTCGGTCAATCTGATCTCGGTACATTACCGCTTCAGCCTGAGCTTGACGAATGGGCTCTACATCAGCATCAATTTGGACAAGCTCTCGTTGTACAGCACGAATATCAGCTTTTGCCTGTTTAAGTGCCACCTTTCGCAAGTTGCACTCGATGATCGGTCGGACTTTCTGCATTGCTGTGGCTTTGACCAGCAGACTCTGGCGTTCATTCCAGCGATCAACGTCGTCTCGCGTCGAATTCTGCTGACTCTCCAACTTCTTCAATTGCTGCTCGTGGGTCTGTCGAGTTGCTTCGAACTCTTTCTCCCGTGTACCGAATTCCTTCAATTGATCGTGCCACTCCACCATCTGCTGGGGAGCCGCAGCGCGTTGTGTCTCCCTCAACCGATCGACGTCCGTCATCTTCGCGAACTCCACAACTCGATCTTGAGGCAGGAACTGACACAAGTTGTCAATCTGAATCAAGAACTCCTTGGCCAATTCCGACACCCTCTTCTGAGGCACGCTCTTCCCATTAAGCCAGTATTGTGTCTTATTATCTGCTTTGCGAATCTGCCGTCGTACGATGGGATTTGTAGCCATGCCCGGGCCGGCGGCAAGTTCGATTTCGATTTCCGCCAGGTCACAGCCATGCTTGACGAATTCTCCAAGATCTTTTGCTCGTCCTAGATGCTGGCACAGATCAGCACTACACCATGTATCTGACCGCTAGGACTCCTTACCTCACTGCTCCATCCAAGTCCCAAGCAAATCGCACAAACGAGCGTACTCTTTCCTGTCCCGTTCGGCCCAATTACCATGTTCAAGCTTGGCCCTAGATGGAATTCCGCTGCTGTGTACGTGACAAAGTTTTTCAATTTGACTCGTATCAAGGAGCCCGGTTGAAACGTCGCATCGACTGAGGGACGGACAGACGCGTCATGCTGATAACGCCCGCGTTTGCTACTAGAGTCGGAGGTCTCGTCGTCATCGTCGTCGTCGTCGCTTAGGCTGCGCGAGGGACGTTTACGCCCACTTCCTCTCTGAATGACACCGGGCATGTTGCCGGGGCGAATGCGCGTCGTAGGTGGAAGTGGACTTGTGTGAGGGGCGCATAGAGTTGTGCTAGGCTCTGGGGAATCACGCTAATGAGCATGATCACGTGGAAGCGCGTCAACGTGTTAATAAGATTTGGTGACGATCGCAAGTCCGGCCCAGTTCATAAATACGTGAATAAAATCTAAATTTCAGAATATCATAAGTTCTTGATATTCTCTGTATGCTTCTACTAATACACGACAGCGCTATCAAAACGATACAGCGCTGTTTCGGACCACGCTCGAACCGTGTGAACCCCAATCTACCACATCCGGTGAAAGCAATGACGCGAAGCCCCCAATGCATGTACCCCTCGCTCCGTTCATTAATCGTTTATCGCGAAAGAATTCCATATGCGTCAGGTAGTATCCGGAAATAAGGGTTGGGAAAGGTGAAGAAAGCCTCCAAAACAGCCAGTGCCCGGGGCGTAGGAAAAGCAAGCATTTTAGAAAATGGTGCCGAAGCTCTCGTCGACGAAAGGAAGTGGCTTCCGGGGGCTGGCTGCCTTGCCACCTTCTTCGACGGTCTTCTTGTGGCGGAAAGTGACTGCACATGATTAGCAATAAACGTATAATGAGGTAGGTGGCACTTACATCCGACGAACAGGCCCTTGTTCATCTTCTCGTCCCTGTCCTGCATAGCTTCCAAGGCAGCTTGCTTGTCGTGTACCTCCTTGTACTTTGCCATGTCAGATTCGCTACCGAAGTCATCGAAGTAACCGGCGTCAGTCTCGCTATCGAGCTCCGGCACGAATGGCGCCTTGTTTTCCCTCAACTTCGTCCAGTCAACTTCGGCAAAGTACTGATGGCCGTGAATCTCCGAGATGCCTCGGAAACGAGATGTTTTGGAGGCGACGAGGCGTATGATCAGATCCCATGTGCGCTTGGAGAGGAAGTAGGAGGGGTCTTCGTATACGGGCTTCCGCAATACTTTTTTCCACTGTTTCAGATTCTGCCAGGTCTCGTCCACAGTGGCGCCAGCGAAGGGCGGATAGCCGGCCAAAGCTTCGAAGAGCATGCATCCCAAGCTCCAGTAGTCTACAGTGAAGTCGTACTCATCGCCCTTCAATACTTCCGGCGCCATGTAATCCGGGCTTCCGACAATGCTCTTTGCGTAGTTGATGTCTCGCTCGCGAAGGGATCGATAGTTATCACGACGTTGGGCTGCACTTCGTTCTTCGATGGGGTTTTTGAACGGCGAGACAACATCACCAACGGATGCCAATTTGATGCGCATCGACTCGATCTTCGCGGGGGCAAGCATGCCTGCGGCCAGACCAAAATCAGTCAGCTTTACGTGGCCTGTGCTGTCGATCAAAAAGTTCTCCGGCTTCAAATCTCGGTGGATGTATCCCAGTTGGTGAAGCGAATCGACGCATGAGAACATCTCGGCGATATAGAATCGGGCATGTCGGTTGTGCAAGACGCCAGTGTTGTTGAGCAATGTGCGGAAGTCACCTCCCGGAACATATTCCTAGACTTGTTAGATCGAGTGTGTGCATGGAAGTGGACAAGACTCACCATAGCAAGGTAGATGCTCTTGTCATCCTGGAAGGCGTAGAGCAGTCGAACCAGCCATTCGCTCTTAGCCGACGTCAGGATATCACGCTCGGTCAGGACATGACGAACTTCATCCAGCTTGAACAGCAGTTTCTTGCTCATTACCTTCAAGGCGCAAACCTCGCGCGTGTCCTTCTTTTGTGCCAGATAGACCTGCCCGTAACCACCCTGGCCAACCTGTGTGAGGATTTGGAAATCTCCGTGCCGTAGACGGGTGCGTCGCTTGCGGAGGTTGGCGCGTTCACGCCCAAGATACTGTGTGAGAGCGTCGTTGTACTCTGCTTCTGGCGTATCGGGAGGCGCGGGATTCTGTGTCTGGAACTGAGTGAGGCGGTTCTGGCGGGTATGCACGTAGGTGAGGAGATCGTAGTAGTAGTCAAGAAAGTACAGCTGCGTCACGTTGGCCATGCGCTTGACAGCCGGCTTCCTAGCCATCTCGAGCTCTTCCGGCGAGAGACGCTGTGGCACAGGGTAGTGGCGCGTCGACTGCTCTGCCTCGCGTGTGCGGTATGGTTCCTGTCGCGACTGAGCTGCTTGGGTCATGTAGCTGGGATCCTTCTGCAAGCCCAGACGAGAGCTGGGTGGCGTATTCTCTTTATTTGCCTTACGCGTGGGACTGCCGGTCGACGAGCTGGGTAGTTCTTGTTGTGGAAACTCGACATTATCTCCAATCTGCAGCTTCGATTTGTTGGGCGATGACGGCGTTGCGGGCTTCGACTTGGGCGAGCCCATGGTTGGGAGCAGTCGCATAGCATTTTCGAACACGTGCGGTAGGTCGAATGCGCCAGGCGGTTGGTGGTGTTTGCTCGGGCTGCCCTGCGGGGTCATCTGGGGGCTCATGAATGGATCCTGCGAGGGCGTGCCGGGGCGCTCCATGTTGTTGGAGCGAGTGTGGAGCAGCGGCGGCGGGGTGGGCATCTGGAAGCTCTGCCTGTTCGGGTCTGCCATCGTGGTGGTTCTGGTGTTGGCTGCGATGATGCGCGATCACATATAGCGGCGACGAGGGGAGGAGGGGCGATGGCAGGCCGCCGTCTTTGTAGCGAGCAGGAGGGCAAGGGCAGTGTGCAGTGTCAAGGTCAGCACAAACACACGCAATCGCCAATGATGATCTGAAGGAGAAGTTTGGTTCGGTAGGAGAGAAAGCAGCGCATGTTGCAGCCCGTGTACTTGTGTTGTGGATAGTGGGGTTGTATGTTTGGCCTGCCAAGCACAGCCACTTGGGACTGCTCGGGCAACCAAGTCAAACAGTCGCAAATATCCCAGGGTATCCCATCTTCAGCTTGCGCAGACGCGGCTTCAACATTTGTTTGTCTCTCGTACGATATCTAGGCTCAGAAGTGAATATCCGACCGGTACCCACATATATTAAAAGAAATTCACGTTACAAATGGTGGTTGTCCCACACCGTAGAGACGCCGTCGATAGCTCCCAATAACTCCGTCATGCACAAAAATGATATCATAATCCAAGACCGCGCCAAACGCCGCACCATGTGGGGAGGATCAATTGTGGAGATGCCTGTGCTTCTCCTGCAAAAGCGACTCGCTCTTTCGGGCCTGTGTGACAAAGTCGGGCTGCAGGGTCGGGAGCTTTGTTATCTCAAAAAAAGGTTACAGTGTTCTCGTGATTATCCAAGTTTGCTGTGGAGATGTGTGTTCATTTGCCTGGAACCACCATCCGCCAAAAGTTGCACATCATAGATTGCTTTTGCAACGCTCCATCCGCAGACCTCACGTATGGGCAAAGTCGCCTCGAAGCTCGTTGGCGAGTAGCTCTTGGAACGCTGGACCATGTCGGGAAATTGCGTGCAACAGCGCAGGTGAGTACCGCACAGGTTCGATGAGCAGTTTACGGCACATTGGACAAGTGACCTTGTTCTTGTGGGTTTTGCAAGTATCAAACTAAACTCAGATTAGCCAGCCCCGTACTACAGGTTGGAGCACATACCCATTGGAAAATGCAAAACTCCCCAAAAGAGTGGCCACAAGGTAATTGTATGGCTATTTCATCTTCTTCTGATGGTTGCACGTAGGTGCTCGAGTAATCTTTCTGGCAAATGTCGCACGCACAGGACGCGCCTTCCGGGAGCTCACTCGGCAGGCGTCGTGGGAGTTTGTCTTTGAGATCCTGAATCTGTCGGAGACTCGGGATGTTGGGGTCCTGGCGCTGGGGGAGAAAGCGTGGCCGAACCTCTCTCGGTCGGTGTCGTGCGCGATTTGACGGCGCCGCACGAAGAGCGCCCTCTTCTGCATCGGACGATGTGATGGAAGGGGAGAAATCGGAGGAGTATCTGTCGAAACTCCGGCGGGTCGAAGTCCGAGGAGAGACACTACGGTCTGATCGACGACCTTGAGGGTTGAATAGTGCTGTTGAACGCCGTTCTGGATGCATGTATGGCCGGTTGTTGTGTGGAGGCTGTTCTACGTGTGACGACCTTGGATTGAGTGAGGGAGTCCGCTGATGCTGATCTATGTTTCCACGGTTTGGCGCTTGCATACGGTCTTGATCATCAGAGCTGAGGGCTGGTGGAGCTGGAGGGCCGATTGGATAGTGATACCGTCTAGCCATGGGAGAAGGTCCGTTTGCTGGTGGCAAAAGAGGTTCATGTCCTGCAAAATAGGCAGGAAAGAAAGCCTGTGTTCCGCGTGGTATGGAAGGGTCAACCCTTGGGAAGTTGTCCCCGGTATCCGAAAGACTAGGGCTGTCCATACGTCCGCCAGCAGAGCCATTGCGGAGGGCTGGAGGAAGCCTTGAATGGGGTTGAGGGTACGGACGCATATGTGGTGGGTGGGCTACTGGCATTGGATAGGGCGACCGTCCTGGTGTATGTGTGTAGAAAGCAAAGGCATGTACTTCGGAGAAGGGAGGCATAGGAGGGGCATTGACTTGATGATAGGGAGGCTCGTAAGACAAAGAGGGAAATCCTTGGGCAAACGAGGGTGCATGTCCAGGAAGAAGCGGGGCAGGCATCTCTGAGCCTTGTGGTCCTGGACCTGTGGAAAAAGCAGCCCAGTAAGGCGAGCTGTAGTCTGGCTCGGCCATTGATTTTGCGGTCAGGAATGGCGATCAGGACGTTTTGTGTGTGTTGTGAGGGTCAGTGGTTCGAGGTGGGTGAATCGAGGTGGCGTCAGTCAAGGTCGCTGGGGGTGGATGCTTGAGGTGCAGTGGATGGATTTTGGTTGTGAAAAGTTGCAGGCTGTTATTTGGCCCTGTTAGTTCAGTGGCGGGTTCGGCGAAGGGCATGAGCAGGCGGAAGGCTTATCAGCAGTTCAGAGAAATGCGGGCGGTGTGGGTAGGTGGAGTTTGACCCGGTGATTCACAGAGGGCAAGGAGCCAACGAGGCAAGACAGCAGGAACAGGAACAGCAAGAGCAGCAGCAAGAGCAGCAGCAGCAGGAACAGGAACAGAGACGGTAACAGCAGACAAGAGGGCTGCTGACGTCGTGGTGGGAGAAGAGGGGTTGCTTTACTCAGACATTAGTGTATGTGACGCTGGCTCCATATGGCGATTGCATGGCTGAGCCGTGCAATAACTAACGGTGACCTGGCTCTGGCTCGGGATCGTTTACGAAGCTGGAACGGGGCGATTCGCTACGAGTCTAATCATGAGCGTGGCCGTGACCTCGCCGCCACTATGCGGAAGCGGACGCGGCATCTGGTCGAGCACGCGTGCAAAGCACAAGGAGCGAGCGAGCAGACGTAGGCGAAGCTAAGCACAGGCAGGGCAAGGAAGGGAAGGGAGAGGCAGAGGCAAAGACCAGGAAGGCAAGGAAGGGCAGGCAAAGGCAAGGAAAGGCAGCATGGGCGGCAGCAGTGGCGGCAACATGGAGCCGGACAGGGTACGAGTGTCTTGTCGGACGCCCAGCTGGAGTTTCTTCTTTGCACCAGCAGCCGTGGACAATGGATGGGGGAGGCAGGAGCGAATCGGCGATGACGACGGATTACCTTTTCCCTAGCGATGCATGTTTCCAAGGGCGAACCAGCGTACGAGGGGAGCCAGAGCAGGGCGGCCAAGGCAGGCCACGTACTGAGTACGAGGAAGGTTTCACAGAGGCAGGCCAGGCATGGTCTGCCGTCTACATAGTACACAGCCAGGACATGGGGTGCCGAGCGCGCGGCAGCGGAGGCCGAGCGTGGAAGCGCCGAGGGTCGTGGTTAAAGGCGTGGTTAAAGGCGAGCTGGGTGGCTGTTGAGTCGAGCGTGGTGCTGTGTTGCCCAACGCCGACTCAAACGCCGACTCGAATAAACTATGGCAGGCCAGAGCGTGCTGAGGGGACGGGGAGAGTCGGGGGGAGAATGTGCAGACAGGGCTGCCCAATAAAGAGGAGGCAGACCAGGCAGATCAGACAGACAGTGCCGCCAGTGCAGACCGCGGTGAAAGTGCTCTCTGGCTTGGAGACGGAGCTTTTGCTAAGGCCTGTCCGAGCTCCACAGGCCCGACTTCTCCCGACGCTCCCGGCCTGAGTGGGCGCGTCGCGGCTTCATATTTGCGGTGCGACGACTCCAGTCATTCCTCGTCGTCTCGCCATTGAGCCCCCGCCATTGAGCTCCCCCGTCGCAGCTCCAGCCCCAGCCGCCTGCCATGTTCCGCTCCGCTCGAACGCAGCTCCGGGCTGCCGAGGCCGCACATGCGCATATGATCCCCCGCAGTGCCCGCACTCTCTCCGCATTCTCTCGCCTGCCCGCCAGGACGCCGCTGCAGCACCGCCAGTTCAGCCTCTCGCGCACCATGGCCAGCACCCGCACCGAGAGCGACGCCTTTGGCGAGATCCAGGTCGAGGCCGACCGCTACTGGGGCGCCCAGACGGAGCGCTCGCTGGAGAACTTCAAGATCAACCAGCCGCAGGACCGCATGCCGCCGCCCATTGTGCGCGCCTTTGGCATCCTCAAGGGCGCCGCCGCGACCGTCAACATGAAGTACGGCCTGGGTACGCGCCCCGCCCCGCCCTGCACAGCTCAGAGCGCTGACACGCGGCAGACCCCAAGCTCGGCCGGGCCATCCAGCAGGCGGCCCAGGAAGTGGCCGCCCTCAAGCTCGTCGACCACTTCCCGCTCGTCGTGTGGCAGACGGGCTCGGGCACCCAGTCCAACATGAACGCCAACGAGGTCATCTCCAACCGCGCCATCGAGCTGCTCGGCGGCACCATGGGCTCCAAGAAGCCCGTCCACCCCAACGACCACGTCAACATGTCGGCCTCGTCCAACGACACCTTCCCCACCGTCATGCACATCGCCGCCGTCCTCGACTTCGAGGAGTCGCTGCTGCCCGCCCTCGCCAGCCTGCGCGACGCCCTCAGGAAGAAGAGCGAGCAGTGGGAGTCGCTCATCAAGATCGGCCGCACCCACCTGCAGGACGCGACGCCCCTGACGCTGGGCCAGGAGTTCTCGGGCTACGTGCAGCAGCTCGACTTTGGCATTGAGCGCGTGCAGTCGTGCCTGCCGCGCCTGAAGATGCTGGCCCAGGGCGGCACCGCCGTCGGCACCGGCATCAACACCTTCAAGGGCTTCGCCGAGGACGTGGCCACCGAGGTCAGCAAGATGACGGGCACCGACTTCATCACCGCCCCCAACAAGTTCGAGGCCCTCGCTGCCCACGACGCCATCGTCGAGGCCCACGGCCAGCTCAACACCCTCGCCACGTCGCTCTTCAAGATCGCCCAGGACATCCGCTTCCTCGGATCCGGCCCTCGATGCGGTCTTGGCGAGCTCAAGCTGCCCGAGAACGAGCCCGGCTCCTCCATCATGCCTGGCAAGGTCAACCCCACCCAGTGCGAGTCCCTGACCATGGTCTGTGCCCAGGTCTTCGGCAACCAGGCCGCCACCACCTTTGCCGGCTCCCAGGGCAACTTCGAGCTCAACGTCTTCAAGCCCGTCATGATCCGCAACCTGCTGCACAGCTCCCGTCTGCTCGCCGACGCCATGCGCAGTTTCGAGAAGAACCTGGTCGCGGGTCTCGAGGCGGATGAGAAGCGCATCGGCTCGCTGCTGACCGAGAGGTGAGTCTACTCCATTTATTTTCCCACAAAATCTCCCACTAACAACACCCAGTCTCATGCTCGTCACCTGCCTCAACCCCGTCATCGGCTACGACGCCGCCAGCAAAACCGCAAAATACGCACACAAAAAGGGCATGACCCTCAAGGAGGCCGCCATGGAGCTCAAGGTCATCAGCTCAGAGGACTTTGACAAGCACGTCCGTCCCGAGCTCATGATTGCCCCCAAGGAGGCCAAGCTATAGACGGTTAGTGAAGAGTCGAAAATCAAAAGTAAAAACTTGTATATGTATATACAGCTACCATCCAGCATGTGAGTGTTGTGTAAAATATAAAGTGTTGTCGTAGTTATTTGCTATGCTATCGTACTCTCTCTCGTTCTTTTCATCCATGTTTTTGGAACGCGATGTTTGATCGTAAAAGTTGTCCGGATTATTCTGTTCATATCAAAAACTCAAACCCCCCAAACGCCTAGAAATGGAAATAACCTTCTTCTCTCCAACAAATCCTGTCGACTTCCCCCACCACCACCAAACCCCCTACTTCCATCAACCCAAACCAAACCACATCATTCAGCGCCACGATGGATTCCGGATCGCTTCAAGTAGCTCCTCGTCCGTTACCTCTTTGCGTTGGGTCGCGCTTCTGTAGGATCTGCGGGGTGGGCCTAGTGGTTGTGCTTGTGCTTGTGCTTGTGCTGGTCCTTGTGTTGGCTGAACGTTTTGCGGGAGGTGTTGACGAGGATGGGTAGGTCTGGCATGGGTGTTTGGAGGGGGGTATTGTTGCTGTTGTTGTCGTTGAGGATACTGGTCTCGTCGCTGAGGATGCTGGTCTTGTCGCTGCGGCTGTTGCCGTTGAGGCTGCTGTTGGGGCTGCTGTTGCTCCTGTCGCTGATGAGGCTGTTGCTGCTGACGCTCCTGCTGATACAGCAACGCCAGCGAATTGTGCTGCTCAACCAGGGCGTTAAGCACACGCCAAACACCCTCAAACTGCTTAACACACCACTCTTGGTTTCCAGCGACGGCCGCCTTCACGCCATCAAACTGCTCAACACACCACTCTTTATTCTCATCGACGGCCGCCTTCACGCCATTAAACTGCTCAACACACCGCTCTTTATGCTCATCGACGGCCGCCTTCACGCCATCTATCGAGTGGCGGCACTCGTCGATGCCCTTCCTATTCTCCGCCTCGAACTGCGTATTGAAACTCGACCAGTTGTCTTGGAGTCTTTTCAGCTCGTCACTCAGCTCAGCGCTATGTCTGTCGAGGTCGCTGGCGCCTTCCATTGCGTCGATGGTCTTCTGGATTTCGTCGACGCGGTCACGCAGGTTGCGCCGGTCCATGTCGCATGTCTGCAAGTCCGCTCTGAGCGTGTCGACAGCGGACCAAAGGCTCGGAATCTCTTTGGACACGGTGCAACATTTTGAGCTTGGAACGACGACCTGGTGATTTGTTACCTCTGTGCCTGGATGTTGACTCGCGCGTTCTTCCAGCTTCGTGATGCGCCGTTCCTGCCATTTAAGCACGCCGTCTGTGGAATCGTAATGTGCCTGAGTTGCCTTGATGTCCTTTTTGATGTCCTCCTTGATGTCCTCCTTGAAGCTGGATTTGCATCTCCGAATCCCGCCCTCAACCAGCTCCGTCAGCTTGGACTCTATGGTTTCTCGATCAACGGCGATGGCTTCCTGGACGTGTTTTTCTACGTCGCTTCGAAGCCCTGCTACCTGGGTTGTGCATTCGCGCTTTGTCTCTGTAACGAGAGCACCGTTTTCTTTGCTCAAGCGTTCGAACTTGGTCATCTTGGCGTCTGTCATCGTCTTGTTGGCCGTGACTACGTTGTTGATACTATCCACGTCTTTCTTGATTCTGTCGTAGCTCTTGGCAGAGCTGTCGTTAGCTTTGTCCAAGTTTGCCGAAAGTCTGGCTATCTCATCGGCGTGTTGCTTCTCCAAACTCGTGAGCCGTTTTTCTTTTTCAGCCAGATCCTGAGCGCGTTGTTTCTCCAAACTTGTGAGCCGTTTTTCGTTTTCAGTCAGATCCTGAGCGCGTTGTTTCTCCAAACTCGTGAGCCGTTTTTCGTTTTCAGCCAGATCCTGAGCTCGTTGCTTCTCCAAACTCGTGAGCCGTTCTTCCAATTCAGCCCTGAGGTTAGAATTCAAATCCGTATACTCCGTTTTCTGTGCCTTTAAACTCTTTTCCAGGCCGGGGATTACCTCATTTAGAAACCTTTTGATGTGATCTCCTGCCCATCTCATATTACTCTCCAGAACCTTAACTTTCTCTATCAGCCCAGTGAATTTGCCTTTGACCCACGTAGAAGGTCCTGGAGTCTTCGGAGTATTTGGGGTCGGACACGTTGTACTAATGTTAGTGCCGACTACCTTCTCTAGGGCGTTGACACGGTCGCACATATCGGAAGTCATTTTCGCATCTTTCTCCTGCACAATTTGCTTGAGAGTCTTCATTTCCGTTCCAAGCGAGTTCTGCGCGTTCATGAGCCCGGTATGAGACTCGTTGAGATCCCGAAACTGGCCCTGCATCGACTCAATTGCATCGAGCGGCTTGTGTTTTGTAAACTCCTTCAGTGTTTCGTCGTGCTGTGCGACATTGGTGGTGATAGTCTTGAGTTCCGTATCTATCCGTCTTAAACTCTTATCAAACTTATCTTCGATAGATGAGATCATCTTTTCTAGATATTTGCAATATCTGGACAACTGTTGAGAGACAAAGCTCCCGATTATCGTCGCAAGACCAGAGCCGAACGAGTCCTTGCCATGAGGATCGTCATGGCGTGGGTTCAAGGAGAACGTTTCCACTGAGTCGGCGTAGTCTTGACTGTCTGTTCTTCTTCGCTTGGTCGGCGAGGTGATGCATTGATCAGGTGAGCTACGAGCTCTCTTGACAGTAGGTCCTGGGGTTGGTAACGCAGCGCGGTCCCCTCTACGTTGAGCAACACTGTGGTTTGTTGTTGGGTGACACTCAGGACTACCTATATCAAATCAGTTATACCATGAAAACAGCGCGTGTTTTCGTCCGAATGACACTCACTCGTATCTCGAGCCCGATCGTGTGTCTCTCTGTTTGCGACCGAAACAGGAGTCGACGATCTCGAGGAGGAGGGAGATGAATCGATAGCTCCTTGGATGATTGGCATAGTGAGGAAATTCGTGTAAGATGAGCTTGCGAGCTGGTGATACAAGCTGTCTCGTTGTAAAAATCGAGAATTATGTGCTGCTGGCAAGATGACGACGAGAGCGAAAGAGGCACGAAAAACGAGGGTACAGAGTAAGGGTTGTGAGAGCAAGGGTCGTGAAATATGTTGGAATCAACCGGATCAATCGTGGTGAGATTGATGCACCATAAAAAATGGTAAAAACGCATTCACCGCTATACAAAACCCTCATTGCGCTACGCTGGGCAAGGTACATATGTGATGCACTGCACAGGCATCCAACCGCCGCAAGAATGGTCTGGCAGCATCACCGTTCCTCCGGAAACTTACTGAGGGTGGCCATGTATCCCTGCTTGCAAGCCAACAACCATGTCTTACTCTTACTCCTACCGTGAAAGTGATTTTGATAAAACACCGACATAAGAGTGAAACTGTGCAGGAAGACATCAGAATCCGGTAAACTAACTGACGGTTCTCGCAAGTCGATTACCGTTTGTCGAAACAGGCGGTCAGGCAAGCGCGAATAGAATGGCAAGGCGCAATGCAGATACCCGATATCAAGAATAATCCAAAGGTAAGACCGCTACTTACTCTGCGTGATGCTTGAAAGAGAGGATGTTGTGGAACTTCGGGAGTGAGGAGAAGACGATATCCCAGTGCACGGATGATGCGTTAGTCCAAGAGCGGTATCGCCCCCGCTTCTGTCTGTCTTACCGATACCTTCTTTGACACCTGTCTTAAACATACATTAGAACCATCATCATGCTGTTTACACGGACGCTAAGGTTGAGACGACAACTCACATCGACGCCTGTCTTGGGAGTGTCTCACAACCAAATCCACTCTAGGATGTTCACTGGGCGACCTTGTTCACAAATGTTGTGTTACATCACTTTGGTTTGACAAACGGTTGTCTACATATGTTAGCGCCTAGATCCATTCCAAGACATGCAGCTATCCTGAAATATGTTATTGGTTTACCGTTAGACGATACTGCCGCTACCTGTCATTGCTACATGTGTTGAGCTTGTCTTTTCCCCGCTTCCCAGCTAGACACCTACGGCCGTTACTGTTACTTTTCACGGTCGCTGACTACACTTGGCAGAGTTCGGCTAGTTTTCCGCTTCCAGCCGAGAAGCCTACACTATTCTCTTCATTGCAGGGCCCAATATTCCAGTCTACTTCATCGCCTTGCAGACCAGAAGTATAGCCCAATCGCCGTCTTGTCAAAGGCAAATACATGGTATATGGTCTTTTTATCTCGGTCCGACATGTTATAACATCGATCCGACAAGAGAAATACGGATGTCAGAGTTTTGGCTTAGCTTGTCCACAATCACTGTTTACGTTCATGCGGAAGACCATCTTATACAGTAGGGCACGAATCAAGAAGCCCTTGTTTCCTGAATTGGCAGTTGATGCATTCATTCGTACATGGTTTCCTCAAAGGACTGCGAGAAATTCAAGTCGACTTAAATGGCGTGTAACGATGGGGTTCTAGGCTTTGCCAACCATCAAAATCTCAAATCCAGGTAAACTGCCTTCATATGCAACCTCAACCTGGTATTTGGACTGTTAGTGAACCAAAAGCCACTTGATTTCTAGCATTGTGCTTCCTGTCTGTACTTTGTCGTCCGCGTTCCTTAGCAGAATAGTTATTCTAGTTCAGAGCCACCACTTTCCCGAAGACCAAACGCAAAATCTTCCCTAAGCCCAAAGCAATAATGAATACCAGGGCTGGAGTCAAGTATCACTCAGGTAGCAAGACTAAGGCAAGGTCTAGGACGAACCCAACACCCAAGATCGCACAGAAGTTGCCACAGAAGGGTCTTTTCGCTGTGGTTCGAATCGAATCGCAAATCTAGAGGTAACACTGACGAATGGTTGACATGAACTTTTAGCTTACGAAGTACACTCTCTTATGACAAGGTGTTTATCTATCCGACCGCCTATCGGGTTGATGTGATCCCCGATGCGGTACAAGGAGTGACCTAGAGTATCTTCGCTACAAGAACTGCGGTTGAGCAAAACGATATGGAAAATTGCCAATTGCTTGGACGCGTAGAGAAGTCTGAATCCCGTATCGCGTAATTGAACCTTCATTTACTCCTAACTATCATCATCGTTCTCGTTGTACCCATCAAGATCTTATTTCAAACCGTGAAAAATCTCCCGCATCTACATCTGCTTTTATGCTGCTCGACGTTGACTCGTTCCCGTCATAAAAGTTAAACAACGCATGTCTGCCAGAATCTTTGAGGTTCAGATATCCGGTGTCATTGAGATGGACAACGGAGCCTCGACTCTTGAACCACATCAACCATGCTGTCCGTCCAGAATCTTCTTCGAACCTATTCAATCTGTCAACATAGTTCAGAGATTGGTGCAAAATTTGAACATACTCTTTGAACATCATGATCGTATCTTCCTCAGGTTTGTCGCCCTCGGGATGAAGGCGCACCCAATCGCCATCAACAGTTACCAACTCCTGGGTTTCAACGTCGCGGAGTCTGTAGCCACTCCAATCGTCGCCGTCGTATTTCTCAACCGCGAATTTGAGATTTCTGCCATCGTCGTCACGGGTGGACCTAAGACAGTTGCTGGAAAGTATAACATCGCCCCGACTACCGTCTTCGATCTCGTCGCGGTTAACCGAATCGCCTTGCATAGGCATGTGTCGTCTTTCGGCCTTCAATTGAGTTGAAGTGCTGCCGATACGGAGGGCGGGTGGCCCCTGACCTGCCGCAGTGTAGTCCTCGTCCCAAGTCATATTGTAAAAGGTAGTGTGTTTGTGAGAAGATTGCTTTGATGTTTTTCAAGATATTGGGTGGTACAGTACGACATTATATATATATGTAATCTGCCACGTGATCGACGTACCTCTTCTCCCGCTAGAAGCCAGTCCCAAGATTAGTGTGCATGTCTGCTGCAGATCGAATCCGAATAACGTATAAGGCGGCAATGACAAATACCAATGCATCAGAAAACCCTGACAATGATACCTATGTATGGTATTGGCCATAGACTCAAAGATGATCGACCTATCTAGAACACAAGAGGGTACTGTTTTCTCCCATGTGGGTACAAGCGGTAGTTAGACTGGTTGTTGTCCTAGTGAAAGTAGACTGCGGCTGCCGCAAGCGTCAAGCGACGCTTACCATAACACGGGAAGTGCTTTAGAATGTGGTCAGTACCACGAAACACCTATAGTGTTGTAGACTGATATAAGATGATCAAAGAAAGCTACAGAATCAGAACATCTCACCAAAGAGAGTGCATGATATGAGTGAGGCTAGAGTGCTTCTTGGCTCGCTGGACTTCTTTATAGTTTTGATAGGTAGAGGCTGGATCCAGGCGCTGACGTCAAGCGACATACGCTAATTGATACACTTTAAGTACGAGCTGTTCGCTTGTTGTGAGTACCTTTCGGGACACTCACGAATCAAGTTGTCGACCATCGACCCTGCCGAAGTAGAGGTTAGTGTGTGAAGTGGAGAAGGGCGTATCATTATGGAGATCACTCACTTATGACGTCCCTGCGACTTTCCTGCAATGTAGTTCTTTCGGCGATAAGCGATGGTGATCACGCTACAGCGCGATTACGCAACTGCAAAGAAAACACCTCAAGATAGTGTGGTGGAGCGCGATTCAGTAAAGTAGTGAAAGGGGCGAGGTATTGGGTATGGACAGAGCGTCAGGAATCTGATCAGGGCGAACGGACATCTCGTAGAGCGTCATGCGATCATCGTAGACATATGCTGGTGCTTAGTAGAGAAGTGCTTATGGTACTTGCCCATCCAATGTCTACCCAACTTGTAACGTAGAATACTCATATTCACCAGATAGTCCTTTGCGGATTAATGTTTACATACCAAATATCCCCCTGAATACGTGACAGTCTGATAGTTCTCCCACATGTCTGCAATGACCGTGGTGCCACTACCTAAATACACTCCCCACATGGTGCTGCACTAATGTGATAGCGCCTACCGACAAAACCTATCATTTCGATACTAATTGTAGTCAAAGCTTTCGTCTAAACTGAACCCCCTCCTTGATAGGTTGGGAGCAGTGTACTATCATGACTCGATAAATACCCGCTATTGTTTGCTTTTTCTTTCATTTTATCCCTGTGATTAAGAGAAAATGGCAAGGACGTGTTCTTTCTTCAAAGTAGAAGATAAAATTCTTAACTCCATTAACTCAACACAAGAGTATATCCTCTTGCCATTCCTTAGCAGGTTTCCGCATATGCACATGTGATGGAGTCACGGAAGACTAGTAGAGAACTTCTATCACTACAACTGACACGTAGTTATCAGCACCTGCCGTCATATGTCCTCCCTCCACTCGCCAGCATCGATTTCTTCTTGCCTTGAACATCGATAACCTCCAGTATGCGCGAATGAGCACTGTCCTGGGCTGTGTCAAATCGCCTCTATCTACCTGGTGTGGCTGAGTTATCATTGATGTATACAGCGCCATTGCGCACTATTTATCAGAATAACGGGTTTCCTCCGGTGTTGGCGATGATCTCTGTTCCCTCCACAGCGTCGAAGTCGAGCGGTGATGAGGCCACCTTGTAATAAGCCAGACAGCCGCAATCGCTCGTACCGCACACTTCGAAGGTCATGATGTACGTCCCTGTCGTTTTGATATGCGCTACGGTTGTCATGCGAGGACGGTACTCGTAGATAGGATACGTAGCGTTATTCTTTGGCTCAGGCCAGTCTTTGAGATTGGTAGTTATGTTATGGGTGAGCTTTTGTGCGTACTTCGCGTCGCGTTGGTCCGAGAAGAAGTAGACAAGTGACGGACGTTACAATGATAAGGATTTTCTCTTGTAATATGCTATGAGGCCGTTGAGCTTATTGGCATTTTTCTACTACTGGCTTAAGTCCGCAACCCATCCAGAACCTTTTCTAGCACCATCCTTCGCTCAAGCGGAACAGTTGAATCCTAGGAGAAACCGATGGCCTAGAAGAAGTCTCGTATTCCAAGAAGAATCATACTATTCATCTGTCCATGGCATATGGTTTGGTTACTGATCAGCGGAGGCATTCTTTCTGGAAGATGAACAGCCGTTCTTCCATTTGATCCACGCAAGACCAGAATTTCGACAAGTCCATCAAACCCTCAAAGTTGCGGGTCAGCTGTGTCCGAGCAGTCTTTACTTCTCTGTTGTTCCCGAACAGTAGTAGATGTAGTAGTATTGACGACAAGACAATGGTCTTGTGCGCAACCGTCAAATATACCACATGGCAGTCTCTGAGTCCGAGCTGTATGCAACAGGCGACTGAAGGCCAGCTTATGAAGCTTACATCTGTCTGCATACGCGATGGTCTTATGAGTCGCCTAGTAATCAGGCTCGGGATATTGAAAATAGAGTAAAGTGGAATAGTGATAACATCTTAGGTACAGAGCAACAATAGTCCCGCCATGGCCCTTTATCTTCTACATGTCGAGGTTTTCGTCATTCTTGATCATATATGGGAGTAGTGAATCATGCCAGCCCTGTACACGACCCGCAATGCAGTCGACTTGGTGATCGATGGTTGGCCTAGCCACCTGACTCTGTCTCAAGGATAAACTCATGTCCTGAAAAGAAGCGAAAATGTCAACCAAGGTGGTTTCGTAAGCCCAGAGACCAATGCGTGGGCTTGTCGCAGAAGATTCATTCGTAACCATGAGCTCTTGGAAATCGATTCCATCTGTTGACTTCTTTGCGGTAGGGTTCGAACGAACTTTTTCGCGCGGTCCTTACCCACCGAGGGGCGTAAGTGTATTTTCCTGCTGTTGTCAGATAGATACCCATGCTGAGAGGAGGAGATAGAGCACACCCACCACTCTTGAAGGTATCCAACCATAGGAGGACCAGACGAAGACCGTGTTCTCGGGCGTCAAGAATGTCTCGGTTGAGCCAAGCAAAGTCGAATTGGCCCTCTTCTGACTCCTGGTCAGTATTTTTTCATCTCTTGAATCCTTTACCTGTGGGTAGGTTGCACTGATTCGTGATGAGAAAGACGTAAACACATAGCTGATCCATGACATGTAGTTACAACTTTGGCTTCATCGGCGGCAGCGTTGCGTCACCCTTCTTCACGAGCTACTTCAACAAGCCTAATCCTAACCAAGTGTGAGTTCGACAAAAATTCACACATGCTTGGTACGTATCAGTATACTCATCCTCTCCTCAGGGGCGTGGTTGTTCCTCTATTCACCGGCGGTGGCTTGTTCGGGGCTTTACTGGCCGGCCCGAGTGCAGATTGGCTCGGCCGCAGACTTGCCATCATTGTCGGCGCCGTTACTTTCATCCTTGGCGGTCTGTTTCAAGCAGTGACCCAAAACATCTCATTCTTGTACTCTGGTCGTGCCATTGTCGGATTCGGTGTCGGCTACCTGGTTATGATTATCCCGCTCTGTCAGACCGAAATTGCGCGTTCCTCAATCCGAGGTCGTGTCACAGGCTTACGACAGTTGATGTTGGGCATGTAGGCGGTCACAGCAACTGAGTTCTCAGACCACAAGTGTAATTGTGATGTGTTGAACTCATCTACAGCATGGCTCACGCATGGCGCCAACGTCGGGCTCTCGGGAACCGACAACAACCAATGGAGGATTCCACTGGAGAACCAACGGAGGATACCACTGAAGATTCAACTCATCCCCGCCGGTATCCTCGCATCAATGATACGCCTCTTTCCAAAGTCTCCATGATGGCTCATCGACCACGGCCAAAAAGATGAAGGGTTGAAGAAACCAGCCAGACTCATTTCCAACGGCAGCGTAAATGACGCCTGGGTACAAGAAGAGTACAGTCAAATCGAACAGGCTATCTCCACTGAGCACGAGCAAACTGCAAAAGGATATAAGGACCTATTCACAGACAAGAGCAGTTTCCGGCGTCTTTTCCTAGTGACAGCCATCTAGGCGTCGGTGCAGATGACGGGTGTATCCACCATACAGTCCTACACGGCAGAAATCTACCGTGTGCTTAATACCGGCACCGGCGACGCATTGATATACCAGGGCATCAGCAACATGCTCTCTGTTCTGGCGCAGGCGTGCACCGTCGCACTGATCGACCGGATCGGGCGGCGATGGCCTTTGATAATCGGCAACATGTTCAAGGGCATCTGCTGGATCGTCGTTGTCATTGCGATTGCGCTGTTTCCCACCGCCATACCGTCGCGTCGGAACGTGGACTTCCATTTGCATGAACTGGCTCTACCCTTTCAGTTTCACATGCAGACTTCTATCATGGAGCACCCCAGCAGAAGTCTTCGACACAAAGACGCGGTCCAAGGGTATCTCCAACTGTGGCATGGTGCCGTTCGCGTTCAATACTTTTGTCAGCCAGCCGACGCCCATCACCATGGCCAGCGTCGGCTGGCGTTTCTTTTTGACATTCGTCATCTGCAACTTTACTAATGCTCTTTTCTTCTGGGCGACGTTACCTGAGACGGCGCGTCGGCCGCTTGAGGAAATGAACTCGCTTTTCAGCGAGAACGTCTGGTTTGTCGCTGGAGATCGCGGGAGAGTGAGACTCTCAAATGATACGAATGTTGAGAGAGTCCTCGGCGATGAGGCGGCTCATAGTCGCACAGAACAGCTCGAGTGAGATAAAAGTATAGGAAGCTGTTCGAGCCTTGAAAATAGTATTAGGCATGATTTGATAAAACGATCCACTGTATCATCAGAGCTCTCGTTGTAAGCTAGAGCGAATGAGATAATTGAACTTATCGCCAGTCGTAACCTACAAGTTCAGTCTTTATGCTTAACTAACTTCACTGCTTGTTAATCAACACCTATAAGAAGATACAGTAGAGGTAATAAAAGGCAGCCTTGCTAGACTATCTCTTTTCATCGAGACAGACAACCCATGTGCCCTCAACCAATTCCCAGCACAAGATTCCAGCAGGTTGAACAGGACTAGACGATCTTTCCACGTCATTAACAAGGCTCGATAGACCAACCATGTAGAAGAACACAGTGACCCTCGACGTTTCTTTTGCTACAAAACGTGTACAAGATGCACACGACTGAGATGCCAAGAACGACGCTACCTAGGGAGTAGAAGGACAGGTGGAAGAAAATAGAACAAGCAGTACCACCACGCCATAGAGTTTGATACGCGCTGCAGGAGAATTTGAGACTTGACCTTTGCAGGAATCTTCCTTCTGCGACAAAACCAAACAACACGTGTCACTCCATGCCGACGAACAGATGTTGCACCAACAGTGTCGATCATTGAGTGTGGCTTCTATCGAAGATCTCTTTTTCTCGACTCCTTCCACGATGCCGAGTCCATACGTGTTCGATTTATGCTTACCTAGCGGAGTAGAGTCCGTAAAGTGATCGTGCGATGGATTCAAGGGCCGGGGAGACGAACGTGTCAGCCGTCGATAGCACAGTTTGCGCGTTCAATCAGGTAGGTGACTATCCATTGGCAGGGGGATGTGATTAATCAGCCGCTCCAATGATGGGAGGCAGAAGAAGAAGAAGGAATAGATGGAAGGCGGTTCGAGAAGCGATAGGTTGACGGGACCCATACCCGCACGGCGATATGCATGCACGATGATGCAGATAGAAGCAGCGCGATGCGATGCAGTGCAGACATGGCGAATTTACAATGTCGTGCAACCGCATCTTGCTGCTGGGCGCAGTCGAGTTGGCTGGCTGGCTCCGTGCAACAATGCACAGCGCACAGATCTGCGTCGCTGGTCGGCCATGTGGCATAAGCGCGGAAGAAAGGTGCGCGTGTTACTGCAGGATCGTGGCGTGGTCTAAAGTTTATGACCTCTGTAGCGTAGGCCAAACTTCCGTGAAACATGTGTCCAATAGCATAACAAGTGGTGGCGGAAGGATAGGAGCGAGATTAGAAGGAGTTACGCCAGGGTTTACGCCGCACGAACAACACACTACAAGTGTTACCGAGGTATCGCCGTCGACTCTGCCGCAAAGGAGTACCGTGCGTTTTTTGACATTCGTGGATTCACTGGGTTGTGGTGCAAGTCCAAGTAAGAAACACGTGGTTTTGGAAAAGAATTCTCTCAATATCACGATCGTAGGAGTGGTGACAAGGGAGTGAAACAATTAGATGAGAAGGGGCAAAAACAAATGTGAACTGTGCACCCCCACCTGCAGTTCGTCTACTCTTGCTTCTTCCTACCTAGATACTCGCGGGGGTTTGGTTTTGACAACTCAATACTCATAGAAACGCTTTAAACAACGAGCCAGCGGCCAGCGTGGTGAAGGGTCGGGCCGAGTGTGGGCGCAAGGGGACCTCGTACCTTCGGAATGAAGATCCTGGTTAGGCGGCAGATCGACCAGCAGCGGCCCGAATGGGGGCTGCGTAGCTCCCGCTTTGGGCTTGGGAAAAAGTTAGCGAAGAGGCCATGCCACTCGTTGCATTGATTTCTGGGGGATGGTTTGGCATTGGCTGCCGTGATGATGGGTAGTCCGCGCTTATGTCGGTTGTCGAACTGTCTGAGGATGATCGCCCGCATTCGCATTGGATTTGTGCTACGCGTGTCGATACTTCCGCGGATGCTTGTCTAGAGAGCAACGCCGGTTGCTGCCCGGAATAGAGAAGAACATTGATGACGGGCAACTACCGAATGCCCGGGCTGTGGAGGTCGAACTGGTGGCACAGCATAGGAATCGAATTCGATAGTGGATTCGGTAGGCTTGCGTAGGCTCAACAGCAGGAGAATAAGACATGAGGAGCAACGTCCCGCATAAGTAACAATGCAAAATCAATATAGGGGTAAAGTTGCCCTTCTTGCCTCATGTCGCCCTACCATGATCCTGATACGGGTATGACGCACAAGCATTTCAGCCACCGCCGATTCCGACTCCTTCTGGCCCGAGCACTGCGAGGAGTGTCCCTCACATCAGCTTCTGCAAAACAAATTTCCGCCAAGGCCAGACGGAACTCGAAGAGAAGTTGTTGAGCCCTATAACCTCCTGGTTCTCTTGCTTCTCGCAGTCCCAAAGCCTAGTGGACTTCCCTCGACCGTCGTTGTTGTTCTCATACTCCCCTAGAAGATGAGTATCCGGATAAATGCGACCGTCCACGAGGCTCGCACAGCTGCGGGACACAGCAGAGAGCAATGGGACCGGTTCTATGTAAGTCAAAGTGCCTCATAGAGGGCTTTGTGCGAGGCTAACGAGGACGAGTTCATCACAAAGGACGAAGCCAAGCAGCTCTCGGAAGCGCACCCAGACTGGACGAGATGGATCCTGATCCCCGCGAACGAGAAAGAACAAATGTTGGAGCGAATAAATGATCGATTGCGCGCAGAAGGCATTCCTGCAGTGGAGATGATAATCTTGAAGTGGCGGGTCTCCCAGCTCTTGCGGGACATTCAACGGAAATACGGTACGTGCGCGTTCACCCGCTCTTGTAGATGCGTCCAGGCAAACAAGACGCATAGGCATACTATATGTGTAGTTAGCTGATATAGTGTTGCCTAGCCGAGGGAAGCATGTTGTCCGGTATGAGCGTTGCAGGTTCAGGACCGCACATAAAAGTGCAGACCAATTCCGACAACGGCCTACAGCAATCACCAAGCCCTCAGCGATCGGAATATTCGCCAAGCGAGACCCGGCCGTACGATCCCATACGGGATGTCTAGACAACACATGGAGGAGCTGAGAGAAAGAATCTGGTATCCACATCACCACCTTCAACGGCAAGATGAGGAAATTTTGGTCAATACTGGCATCGGAGGCTCATACCCTAGATGTTATGCATGATACAACGCATGGGTATGGAGTACGCTGCCTAGTGACAATCTGTACAACGTGGAAAGGGCGTTGATGCTGGGCACTGGCCGTTTCCAAATTACAAATAAGCAGGAGAAGCGGCATCAGGGATAAAGGCGGACAACGCATGCTAGAAGGGCGAGAGCCAGGCGAACTAGAAAGTGCGCACTCTGTTTCGCAGAGAGATGTGAACTGCAGCTATGTGAGTAATTGGTATTTGACCGAGACGTTTTCCAGGGCATCTATACCCACTTTTCGTAAATCTTCGTTTCTCAATTCAAACTCTCTTCCAACCTCTTTTACTGTTCAGAGTCTTTCGGTGCCGTCTATTGGTAGTTCGGATGTGTATTTTTCTTTTAAATCGGTACGGTATTGTGCGTCCAACCTGTTCTCGAGCACAGACGCTTGTGAATTACTCCCAAAACCGCAGGCCAGTTTATTTGCAAGAATAACCACTCTCATCATTTTTGGCATGTCGCTTTCTACACCGTTGTCTAGTAGCAAGGGTCCCTGCAGGAAGATCAATGTACGCGTCTGCATAGGGACGTCCCGCGTCTACACCCGTGCAGGATGTTGTATCGTCTTTCTAGCGCTTTGGATGCGTGATCCCAGGTTATGTCTTTATCCAACGCCGATCGTTGCTTCGAGAAGGGACGCGTTCATCGGAGTGCGGGCGTGTCGTCCGGGCCGTCCCTTTATCTGGTGTGTCAGCAATCGCCCATCGTAAAGATGTTGACCTGATACGACAAGCTGAGGCAACTCGTTTGCCTAAGATGGAAGTCTCCTAGAGGAGAGATACAGGGGGTGTGGGACTGGCTTCTTCTTCCGACGCGAGCTGAATGAGCGGTGAAAAGGCCTACTGTTAGCAGCCTGCAGGGAACGCATGGCAGTCCGCCACACCCGCGTTTGCATGCCGCACTTGGGGATTCCTAAGCCATCTTAACGCAGGTCGAGGGTGGAAGAGGACATGGGTTAATGACAAGAACGGAGGGTTAAGCAATGACGCGACTTCGAAGTGAGGAGGTCGCACTTGCTGCCTTCAAAGTCTGGCACCCTAGCACCTAGCACTTGGCCCATCCCAGTCGCACGAGGCATACGATCACCACAGTATTCTTGACATACCTTCAAGGAGAGTATACGTACCTCCTTTACCGATTTGCATGCACCATGCTCTTGTGCGTGCTCCCTACTCTGCGCGTTAAGACTTTGCGGGGAAATCGCGAATTGCCAGCGTTCTCAGTGTGGTGTCCAGGCAGATGGGCAAGCTATCGCTGAGCAGCTCGATCGTTTGGTGTGTCTCCTCTTCCATCGAACAACTGACACTTGCGCAGGGCGATGGCTGAAGGAGTTTACCTTTACCCCTGTTGGTAACACCCGCTGTGTCAAAGAAAAAACCAAGACTGTTCTATGGGGACAAGTAGGCTGTCTTGAGTAACGCAGAAGCGGTTCGCCTTTTGTACCTGATAAGTAGTATGTCTAGATCTGGCAGTCAAGAGAGTCGTTCACCATGGGGAGGCCAGATTGAAAAAGCAAAAACAACGTTGTAATAGAGATGCGCCTTCCTCCGCCGCCAGGTCAAAAGAAGAGCAGTCAAAAGATGATGAAGAGGCCCCATAGCCAGCCTTATATACTATGCATCGGGTCTATACTTCCAGCGCATACGAGCTAAGCGCTGATCGAACCCACTCGCGTACCTTTCCACGGTGGACCGTCCGATGACTTGGCTCACTGCGGACTTGTGCCCGCTGCAGGATATATACATGGACCCGCATATTCGACTCCACGCATCTACTCACACACTGTATCGCACCTAAATGCACGGTCAGAAGCATCTGTCTAATCACCAGTATATTGAAATGAATTCCCAGGAGGAGACGCTGTTTTATTGCACATGGACATCAGCGTCCTGGTATCAATTGTGATCATGACAAGCCACATAGCTATCCAAGCCTCCCTAGACTAGACGATAAACATGCCAATCACAGTTTTTTTTGGTATTTCATAACATCGTACTAGGTATTCTTTTGCTGTTGGCTCATCACCCTTGCATGCCAAACCCAGGCTCGATGCCCGCCTTTCTGAGCGCCTTTGCTTTTCGCGAATCGACCTCTTTCTTGTCCGCCTTTTGAGCTGATGCTAGCGCTCTTACTTCCTCCATGGACGCGAACTTTGCGCCCTTGGGTGTGTCTTCTCGGTCGAGGTCGACGGTTGCGCAGATGGTTACGTTCTCGCCGCGTATTGTCATGATGCCCGGGAGCTTGACGTCGTGTATCAGCCACCTAGGGACGGTCGAGTCGGAGGACGGTGTTGCGTCGGGGTTGCGGGCTGCTATCCGCTCGTAGCATTCTGTGAGGACGAGGTTGGCTGGAGGAGTGTCAGTGCTTGTGCTTATGTTGGCGAGGTATAGAGGCGTACCGAATTGGTCGTAGGACCGGAGTATGCCAATGTACTCTTTCTCGTCGCGAAGCAGGACGTCGACCTTCTCTGTTGCGGTGTCAATCCTGTGTGCCTTGTCACATGTACATGCAGGGAGTGCCCGTACTGTCGACCATGTCCAGGAGCATCGCCGAGGTCAGGAACGCTTGCGGGGGAAGGTCAAAGGGGAGAATCTGTTGCGACGACGGCGCCCTTGCTCCACCGAGCACATTTGGGCCGGACGGCGGTGGTGGTGTGGCGCTGTACACTTCTCCATAGCCTGCGCAGGCGCGTCAGCATTTCGCCATCGACTGCGCACCGAACAGGCGCTGTCCTTACCAATGGCTGACGAGGGCCGCCCGGGGGCTTCGGAGGGGAGTTCCAGCTGCCCTGGTTCCTGCATGGAGCGCTGCAGCATGGCGTTGAAGTTCTGAGCCATATTCGGGGGTGCTCCTGCGGGGCCGCCGTGGGGCTGGTTGGGGTTGAAGGACATGATTTAGGCGCGTTCGGCGCAGTGCACGAGGGATGCGGGGGGATTATTGGCGGATGGGGGAGGCGAGTCGAAGTGATGTCAGCATGGCGAGCCGTGAACGCGGCCTCGTGCCTTTACTTTTACTTTGTGAGAGGTTGCGGATGTGCTCCAACATCAGACGTGTGCCAAGGCGGCCTTAGTCACCCGGTCATGGTAGGTATTCCGCTCCTTTGGCAAGTCCATTCTCCCCGCCATCGCTCACCTGAGAGAATGCTATGGTTGCTATCTGCTGGTCGCCCAGTCAAACCACCCATATGGCGTGTGAAGACACTCGACAATTCGCAGTACCTGCCTGTAGACAACTAACCGTTCCACATGTCCCAGGTTTGTAATGGACGAATCAGGGCCGTGCTTCCGCCGCAGCATTCATCCGTCTCTCACATACGTACCCTTCTCACGTCACGATACCTAATTGTCCAGCCCCCCTCAACAGCAAAGCTCATATCGAGCTATGGCTGCACTAGCTCGCATCTTCAAGAACAAATGGATCACTCCGCCGCAACCTGTCACAGAAGACTACTCAGGCAGGTGCATCATTGTCACAGGCGCCACCTCAGGCATCGGGAAAGAAGCAGCCTTTAAGTTTGCGGCGCTGGGCGCGGCGAAAGTTATCATTGCGGCACGAGACCTGAAGAAGGGCGAAGTGACCAAAGCTGCCTTGGAGCATCGCCTGGGTACGAAAGATCAGTTCGAAGTCTGGGAACTCGACATGATGTCCTACGACAGTGTCATCGCCTTTGCGGAGCGTGCAAATGGACTCGACCACCTCGACATTGCCGTGCTCAACGCTGGTATACAACGGGTGGCGTACGCTCAGTCAGGCTATGGCTGGGAGGAAGACCTCCAAGTCAACACACTGTCAACCACACTTCTCGCCGTCTTGCTGCTACCGAAGCTGAGGATATCGAAACAGCCTGCTGGCAAGATTCCTGTTCTCGAGTTTGTCAATTCTGGGCTCCATCAGAATGCCGTTGTCCCATCAGAGGTGCGCCAGGAACCAAGCATCCTCGACTATTACAACAAAAGTGAAAATTTCAAGGAAAGCCGTCAGTACGGCTTCAGCAAGGTCTTTCTCATGTACGTGGCGAACAAGCTTGCGGACGAGGTGTCTTCTGGCGACGTGATCGTTACGTCCATCTGTCCCGGGTTGGTGAATACAAATCTTGGGCGCGACCACTTCTTCCCAGGCCTGCATGTACTGTTTTCCTTTTTCATTTTCTTGTTCATGCGGACCCCATCTCAGGGGGCGAACATGATTTTGAGCGGGACGACGCAGGGCGAGAGTGTGCATGGACGGTTTTGGCAGCATGATCAGATCCAACCCATCGCGCCGAGTGTTGCAGGTTCTGAGATGAAGGCCTTCGGGGTGAGAGTGTGGGGAGAGGTGTTGGCGGTGCTGAAGAAGGACGTGCCAGAGATAGTCAGCATGGTCATGTGACGACGTTCTTCTTGGAACGACTGCTTTGCCTAGAAAGATACAATAAAGTTCTCGTGTCCATGCAGAACAGATGACAGGTGCCTGGACCCCAGACCGACAGACTGACAGACTGACAGACCGCCATGCCCCATGGCCCATGCACGCTGCACGCTGCACGCTGATCCACGGATGACGTGTGAGGGCCAGATGCAAGCTTCACACCTGGCCAAAATGTCAGAATCGCTCCCCGACACGCCTACCATCCACGTCACCTTCTGACTCGGGCAGGCAGCTGTCTGCGTGACTGGATGCCCAAGCTGCCCTTCCGCCGCAAGTCCGCCCACGGCTACGACTCTCTCCTGCGCTTCCTCTTTCCCCAGACCCGAGCACGCGCCCGCGCCCGCCTCTCCGAGTTCCGCCACACGACGGTACCGTCGCTGAAGCACCGCGCCCAGTCGCGCATCTACAAGTACATCCTCCATCGCCAGGCCACCAAGCTCAAGGGCACGCCGAGCATCCTGCAGCGACTGCGCGGCCAGTCCCGACGACTCCTTGGCAGCAACCATCTCGAACATGAGGCCCGGCGCCGGCGGAAGAACCTAGTCAACGAGCCCGGCAGCAGCGCGCCGAGCCAGCGAACAATGGGCTCCCAAGACGGCTATTCGGAGCGGGAGGGGGGCTCGCGGCGGAGGAAGCTCGCCGGCTACTTCAAGGCGGCTAACGAACTCCGCCAGACGTACCAGCAGCAGTACGCGCCCAACTTCAGCGGCAGAGAAGCCACGTACGACTATGAGGACGACACCCCTGGCTCCTTCCCGGACGCGGCGATTGTGCGGAGTGGCGAGGAGGACATGATCCTGTTTCCCAGCTATGCCCGCCGACACATCAAGAGGAAGCCCGAGGCACAGCCGGGCACCATACAGGAAGCCGAGGGCGAGGGTCGTGACGTACGCGACACGGCCGGTGCTGGCGACGCCGAGTTCTGGAAGCAGCAGTGGAACAACTACGAAGACGACAATGCCGTCGTCGACGTCGACGTCCGCGGCTGGATTTACTCGCCGCACAAGGGCAACATGTCCAGGAAGCAGCGCCTTTTCATTGGCCTCGCCCGCCAGCTCGTAGGCATATCAGCGCCCCCCGCGGCCGCGTCTGCATCCAATTCTGCAGGGAGTAGCCGTGACCCGAGTCCTGGCCACGGAGGTCTTCGTGAACGCGCTGAAATGCGCCAAGCCCAACGCGATGCTGAGCTGCAGGCCAAGGAAGCAGAAGCCATCCTACGCAAGGGCCAGAAAGAAGCAGAAGCAGCCGCACGGGGTGCCTACAGCGAGAGGCCCGGTCGAGGCGAGGAAGACGACACATTGTTGTACCGAACAGAGAGCAGCAACAGCGTGCGCACCCAGGGGACTCTCTCACACATGCACTCCAACAGCTCACTCAGGGACGAAGCCAACATCACTCCTCTGAAGAAGAGAGCGTCCTGGAACCAGCCAGCCGACATGAATGCCGCTGAACTTGCAGAGGCGAATGCCCGCTTGATGGCTAGGCTACGACACTTCCTGGCTGTCCCTATGGCCAACGCACCCATCAGCGTCTTCTTCTACAACGACAAGATTTCAAAGCAGAGGACTGTGTACACAAATGCTGCAGGCCATTTCAGCGTTTCTGCTGCTCTGGACTTTGTGCCCACGCATGTGCGAATCCTGGCTTCCGAGCAGCTATCGGCGACAGAGGAGGTCCTTGTGACAGAGTCGGAAGGCATCAGTGTCATCAGCGACATTGACGACACCATCAAGCACTCTGCCATCAGCAGCGGTGCCCGAGAGATCTTCCGCAATGCATTCATCCGCGAACTCGGCGATCTTACCATTGACGGCGTCAAGGAGTGGTACAACGACATGGCCAAGATGGGAGTCAAGTTTCACTATGTATCAAACTCGCCCTGGCAATTGTTCCCTGTCATATCCAAGTACTTTGCGCTGGCCGGACTACCACCGGGCTCGTTTCATCTGAAACAGTACAGTGGCATGATGCAGGGTATCTTTGAGCCTGTTGCGGAGCGAAAGAAGGTCACATTGGACAAGATTGCAAGAGACTTCCCAGAAAGGAGCTTTATCCTGATCGGAGACAGCGGCGAGGCGGATCTAGAGGTTTATACTGACTTTGTTCTCGAGAACCCAGGTCGGGTTGTCGCAGTTTTCATCCGTGATGTCACGACGGCAGACAGCGGCGGATTCTTCGACCCTTCCGTTGCGCCCATGTCTGGAGACAGATCTTCGTCATCCTCCCAATATGACACAGGTGGTGGTGTGGCTGCATCGCGCAGAGCCCAAGCATCGCGTGGCGACGATGATGACCCAGAGCTTAAGGCGGCAATTACGGCATCATTGCAGGATTTGGAAGAAGACAACTTGAGGCGATCGAAGTCCATGTTTCCACAGGTTGACAGAGATCATCCTGATCTCAGGCCGAATTTACCAAACCACAAGCCAACTTCCCAGATATCATCTCAACGCACTCCACAGACTTCTATGCCAAATCTGATAGACCTCTCTCCGGACGAAGAACCTGTCATGCGACCCACGATACGGCGCGTATACACGGACACGGATTTCGAGACCGAGAAACACCGAATATCAATGGCTTCGGATGCAAGCATGAGATCAGCTCCGCCGCGACCCAAAAAGCCTGAAACTCTACGAAGTGATTCTGGCGACTTGATAACTCTTACTCCAGCATCTGCTTCTTCTACCTCAAAAGCACCCCGACCGCCCAAGCCCCGAAGACCCTCCACCACAATCAAGCAGTCGAGCCCCCTCATACAACAAACCGCCGCTCCCTCGAAACCGTCTGTAGCACCGAAACCAGATTTTAGCACGCAATCTCAATCCGAATCCGATTCTCAATCAACTTACGCGGGCATGGCGCGAGACAAACTTTGGTCTGTATACAGCAATCTCCCATCTCTATCCTCCCAAGAGCAGGCTACAAATGCGCCACCTGCGGCAAACACTGGAATGTCCAAGAAAGCTCCACCCCCGCCCCCGCCTCGACGCGGTGTTGTCGCAGCCGTCGGCAACAAAGCTTCTTCAGCATGGCAGTATGCGCCCTCACGCCCACATCTCACGTCGTCGCAAACTCAACAGCCCTTCTCCACATCATCTGCGCAGCAAAAGCTCAATCGCACGAGTACAAGCACAACATTGGGGCTGAATGGGACAGAGGGACAGTACGTCAATAAAAGGGAGCTGATGTGGCGGCAGAGGTGGGCAAGAGCAGAGGAGATCATGGCAGATCGGGGAGTTGTGTTGAGGACATGGAGGGTGGGAAGCGATGCTGTTGCCGAGACAGAGCAAATTATCAGGAGATACGAGAAGAGAAACAAAGGCAATGAGGGGAAACTTGAGGACCGGAGTGAGATGAGGAATAGTAACGGTCCGAGACATAAGAAGGCCGGTGGAAGTGGAGGTGGGAAAGGGGATGGCAGCAGGAGAAGCGGTGGAACTTCTACTTCGTAAGTTGGGTCGCGAGTACGCATGTACGCAGCCTAGCTATGGTATTCATAGTGAACACATAAACCTGTATCATTGAGATTGCGCATCTGGGAGAAGAAGGAAAGACAAACAATCTCGCGTCACATATCATCACCAACATCTCTAGATTCGCTTCTTCCCAAACACATCCTACACACCCGCCACAACTCCTTTCTCCTCCCATTCCCTGTTTTGCTTCCCATCCCAATCCCATCCAATAAACGCCTCCATCCCAATCAAGACGTAAAAGAAGGCTGGGAGGGGGGAGGGCTGAACGCAAACCACGCACGTGCACGCGCGCCCGCGCGCGTGTGGAATTAAGTTCCCCGCTAGACTCCAGTCATGATGTCATACTGAGCCAGCCTAGTCGGCAGGTACGTTTTTTTGGTGTGGTGGGACGGCCGCGATAAAGGAAGAGGTCGGGGTTGTTTACTCTTAATTTGTTCTGCTTGGCTGTGCTCTGCTTTACTCTACTTTACCCTACTCTATCAGACTCTACGTGTTTATCGTCGCGTCGCAGATACAATTTTACGCGTTACTCGTTACTTGTCCCTTAAGCTCTTGTATTAAACATGCCGTCCAGCAAGGGAAAGCCTACGGACCCGAAGCTTCGCGAGGAAGTCAAGGAGAAGGTTAAGGGTGAGACGAATAAGGATGGAGGTGGGAAGGGTCAATGGAGCGCCTGGAAGGTTAGTCTTGCTATGTGTTGTTCTTTGTCGCGTGTGATCGCGTGCTGTCGCGTGTTGTCGCATGTTGTCGCGTCTTGTCGCGTCGCGTCGCCGCACATCCCCCATGTACAGCTGATATTGTGAGAAGATATACTGACCAGTTTGCGCGTGTTCAGGCAACGAAATTAGCTAAAGAGTATGAGAAAAAGGGCGGTAGCTACGAGAATGAGGAGGGAAGCAAGAATGAGCCGAAGAAAGGGACGCCTAAAGCTAAGGCTAAGTCTGGGGGGAAGGGAGGGAAGAAGGGTGTGAAAGAAGATGAGAAAGAGAAAGAGGACGAGAAAGAGGCTGAGAAGGAGGATGATAAGGTTGAGGAAGAGAAAGAGGAAGAGAAAGGTGACGACAAGGTTGAGGAAGAGAAGGATGAGGAAAAGACTGTCAAGACTGATGACGAGAAGGAAGAAGATAACAGCGAGGAGAAGGAAGATAATGTCCCTACAAGCGCGCAGAAACCCAAGGCGAATTCAAGTAAGAAGAAGGATCAACCAGTCAAGAAAGACAGCGCAAAGAAGGCAGCTACGAAGAAAGATGTCACGAAGAAAGACGACACAAAGAAAGAAACTGCGAAGAAAGACGACACAAAGAAAGAAACTGCGACGAAGGGCGCCGCGAAGACAAAGAAGCAGGCTGCAAAGCCCAAGGAGAGAGAAGAAGGCACGAGGAAGAGCTCGAGAATTGCCGGGAAGAGAAGCTACGCGGAGGAGGATGTCGAAGACGAGGAGGAGACCTCGACGCCACCAAAGAAGAAGTCGAAGTAGTTCAAGCTTGAAATTATTGAGAATCACTAATGGGATTGAAATGGAATGGTTATCTGTGCTTGCCTATCGCGCTTCAATATCACTTATCGATCACACTATGTCATCTACTTGGGTTCATAAGAGTTGTGATTGTTGTTTAGTTTATCATGCCTCCAATGGATATTGTCTGTCATTGGTTCTCCTCGCTTGGTCCCTTACTCGCTGTTGGCGGACACTTATCCAACGGCCGATATCTCCACTCTCTAGTCATGCGCTGTCGATCATTTGATACGGATGGTCTCAGGCTGTATAGATCCGGCTCTCGCCATGGCTATGGCGCCACACAACGTAGCAGAGGCACGCTAAATCATCGGGGATGTGGAGGCGCATGTAACCTGTGACGCGACTGGGGTGTACCATTGGTAAGATTCTATACGCCCAGTGGCTTCATGCACTGATATGTATGTAATCATAAAGCGCACGGCGAATGCATATCTTTGAAGGATGAACGATATTTGCAGTATTGGATCTTCATAAGAGCAATGCTGTCAAAACAATCAACCCAAAACATGACGGCCTCTAATGTTAGATCATAAATACAAGCATGAGGCGCAAATATGACAAGTTACATGTGACTAAACTCGGAATCACTGGCCAGCCAACTAAAAGCCCACCTGCCGCGTGGAAGTGGGCGAAGTTAAAAAAAGGTCTATGCAGGGGCAACGTCCGCGTAGATGTTTCGAAATGGTACTGTGGATGACGAACGAGTGTCTGGATGAGATGGTGGTGTTTTATCGATGATGAGGCGTGCAGCTTGCACGGGATATGCAGCCCTGCGCGTCGAGCTCCAGGAGCTAGGACATGCTCTGCATCCCACTGGGAACCAGCCTTGTTTCCTGACATGCATCCCATCCCCTCAAGCTTTTGTTACCAACGTGTAGAGCGTCGCTCTATGGCCTTTGGCCACCCTCGTTCTTCGCCTCACGGACTCTGCCTGCTACCCCCAAACGAATGAGGTACGCGCAAACGCCTGATGCCTGCTGCGAGCTTGTACGCAACCAGCCGCAACCTGACTCTATGTCGACCAGCTCGCAGTATTACAGAAGCGCCAGCACCCACTCGCGCTACCAAAACATCCCCCCCAACGACCACGACCAGCTGTATGCAGCCAATTTCGCAGTAGTATGGCAGGGCCAACCTTATGGCGGCCCTTCATCGGTCTTCACCCAAGGCGGAGTCTCCTCCGATTTTGTCACTCCCTCTGATCCACCCGCGTGGTCCGCTGCGTATCCTCGTCAGAGTTTCCATGGATGGGCGCCGCGCGCAACCTACGGTGATGGTGGGGCGAGCGCGGCTGTGCCACAGGCGAATCACTCTGTATCACGTCAATACCAGGCATCGAACACAGGGTCGGTGTTGCCCCAGGCTGCCCCGGAGAATACATTTCGAAGCATAGACCAACTAGGTGAGCTGCGAGTATCTTCAGTGAGTGTACACGAGGTGTTGTGACCTACGCTAAACACGGCTAATTTACTTAGAACTCTCCCGCCAACCCGCTTGACCCACTCTTCCCGAACCAAAATTCGACGACACACGCAGTCTCGCGACGCCCGGATTCCCAGTCGCAGACATCGCTTCTGAACCTTAACAACTCACACGTACCTTCGCAACTACCTGCTTTTTGGGAAGTTAGATCTCATGTGCCTCCAGTAGGACATCACCAATACCCGGACCAGATTAGTAAGGCTGTAACCAGCAGCATAACAACATCTGGACTTAGCGCCTCGTCTGGTACACTATGGCCTACAGCCAACCCAGGCGAAAGCCCATCTGATACTGCTGCTGTGTACGAGCAGACGCATGAGCAGGTTCAGCAATGGCCTCCCGTCCAATCACAGATTGAACATGGAGCCTTTCAGCACCACCAAGTACAAACCAACCAAATACCCGAGGGTACTGCCCATCAACAGAGCAACCGAAGAGCGTTCACGAAGAAGAAACCTGCGAGAGTCCCTTCGTCGTTTGTAGAAAGACAGGAGAAGTTGAAAGTTTCCAAACGCAAAGGTCCCCTCCAGGACAAGCAGAGAGAAAAGACACACACTATGCGCAAGACGAAGAGAATCTGCGTCCGATGTAGGTTTTACAAATCAGGGGTATGTATACTACGACTTACGAAAGTCATCAACTAACAATGGTTTGTAGTGTGACGAGGGTGACCCGTGCCAGAAGTGTGACAAGATCGCAACTCACGCCAGATCATTTCTCGAACCTTGCTACAGAGAACACCTTGAGGATACGAGCCTCGTACGCCGTTGTAACGGTCGCGAGCACCAAGAAGAAGCCGAATTTCTTGGATACGACTGGATTCCGGGGACGCAACTCTACGAAATGGAAGTAATGTGGAATCTTCCAGGTTTTGGGCCGATATCTAATGCACAGCCTATGCGCATCGTCTTTCGGCATTACAGCCCAAGGAGAGGCTCTCTGGATGTCGCTGCGTCAGTCTGGTCGAATACAGAGGGCGAAGTCAAGGCGGTGGAGCAGCCAGCATACGCCATCTATGATACTGCAAACTTTGTCCCGGCCTACGAGCGATATTTCTCTACTCTCCAGCCTGCGATTGAAGCTTGGGTCTTTGCTCGTATCCGCCAAGACGAGATCGCTTCTCTGACATATCAAGAGGTCACACGGATGCGGAGTCTGACCGGATCCAAAGTGCTTGACTTAGCTATGCGGCTACAGTGTCTTTCAGTCGTATCTCAAGGCTATGGCACTGTGTGGTCAAATAACATACCCGGGATTCAAGAGTACGATTATCGCAGGCTAGGGCGTAGTGAGTACGAAGCCTATGATCGAAACTCATGTGATCGGCCACTTCCAGGCGCTATAACCCATCAAATGGATGTTGCAGCTGTAAAGTACTTGAAGAAGCTGGAAAAGTTGTTCGTCAAGGAGCTGGCAGCCTCGATCTTTAAGCCTCGAATCAAACCTTGGTATGAGCTATTTCTGGCTTTTTACGTGATCTTCTGGAACCTTGAGTACGTTCATTATGGAGCAAAGGGCTACATCAAGTCCAAAAATGGCACCGTAAGTCGATTTCTCTCTCCAGTTGAAGACGAAACCTGCTGACCTTCTTAGTCGATCGAGAACCAAGTCAACAACGTCGTAAGCAACCAGATAAAAAAGTGGGAATTTGCTTTTCCTGTCCTGTTGTATCATTGGCGTTGCACATTGCGTGGTTATTCGCCATTCAAATTGGCGCGTGACAACCCCGAAGAGTTGCGTGACAGAGGTCACATTGACGAGGAAGGATTCCAATACGTGACCAAGATTGCACATGTGTTCAATAGACTTGGCGCTGGTAAGTATCGCGTTCATCCATTGGCTAAAGTTTCTAACAAGTGATATAGATCGATTTCAGCCACCACTGACTGGATTTGCCTCAGCCCATTACTCGATGTCTAGTGAGTGGATAACGAAACTCTTCAAAGAAGCTGGAGCTTAAACTACATTTCCGTGATCATCGCATTAAGGTCATCGTGGGTGAAGTTTGGCCAATCACAATTCCAATACATATGTTGAGCAGCGTTGTCAAAGCGTGTGATCGATTCGAGTATGTCAAGCTTCAGTCCGCCGCAAGATATGATACTGAGACGGATACTCGTGAATACAGAACAGCAATGATATCTTTCGCCCAAACGCCATGCGTGAATGCATCCTACAATTCTCTTCAACAATCATATCAACAATTTCCCTGTACGTTAACAGCCTGTCTCCAATAATATGCAGCTGCAACATTAACCGTGACTCTCACGCCCGCTAATAACGCGCCATGGATCAGTGTCAACAACGGGAAGATTCTGCTGTCTCCCAGGTGTGAAGGGGTCGTCAAAGTTGTTGCGGAAGCGAGCTGGCTTCTCCCAGGCGTTGGCGGGATCCCGAAGAAACATACGCAGCAGGTGGCGAGTGCTGGGCTTTCCATTTGTGCCGCAGTAGGCTTCGCGGGCATGCATGATGCTCAGGTTGTTGATGAACTGAATGTCTCCCTGCTTGCGGTCAAGCTTTGTGCAGAAACGCCTTGCCAGCTCCTCAACTGCTTGTATAGCACGTATATGTTTAGGTGAGACGTTGGGCATTCCAGTGTCGCGGGGAATCAGTGAAGTCCCGAGTAGTGGGGCCTTGACGAATTGGCATATGGGCCTGCCTTTAGAAAAAAGCAGGGTGGGCCCCATCTCGAGGTATGGCTCCCTGTCCCTGTTACTCTGTCAGTAACCGCTTTCTGGCAAACCCGTTCACAGGAACTAACTCACTTCTGTTTCAGCTCGAAGGGCCAGTCCGCCTCCGCCATAGTCTCTAGAACCTCAGGCTCATTTATTAGGAGCTCGTTGTAGATCCTCCAAAAGCTAGCGGCGTACTGCCCGCCGCCAATTCCATCACCACCATCATTCCTAACGTGGAGGGCAATGATATCGCCAGAGAACCGATCGCTGTGGAAGTCCATCGCAGTTGTGATCTTGGAGCCAGCCAGCCCGATGTCCTTGGCCCACACGGGTACAATTTCTTTAGTAGCGTCGCGAACGTGGCCTAAACATATCAACATCACTTCTGTCTTAATTTCGTAGGAAAGCAAACTCACTTAACGTCTGGTTGGCGTAAGAATCCGTTGCTCGTTCTGGACAAATGTATGAACAAACGCCAGCGAACGCAATGACAGCTTCCTCATCGTTAAACTTGGCAGCTTCAAGACCTCGCAAGACAACTACGCCTTGACCCTGGTGGAGCTCCTTGCTGATCAAGGACAATTTGTTCTCGAGCTTCGGATTCTCCAGTTTGAAGGTGTCATGTCGAATCTCGGATCGAGGAATCCCTGAGACTGTATTTCAGTCAGTGGATACATTCTGACAACAGTTGTACGGTTATTACTTACTTTTGACCTTGATAACCGCAGCCCTGATGTCTTGGATCTCGCGTTGGTCGAGCTTGACGACATATTTGACTGGATCGAGTTCGCTTCCTTCCCAGACCATGGAGCCTGTCATAGTGGGGGCGAGCTTGTCTGGGGATGAGAGGGCAGAATAATCGCTCTGCAAACTCTCGCTAGAGGACTTCTGGCTAAGCGTGGTTGCCACTGACATGTCTGTGAATATAGTTTGCTGATCGTTGCTGGTCTTGGTAGGTGCGATTCCTAGTTTATCTGTTCGCAGTGATTGATTGGTGTACAGATGAGAATTTTTGATATAGTAGTTGAGGTAAACCGAGACTGGAGAGCATTGGTGATATTGGACAGAAAGTTGAGGGCAAACGCGAAGGGAGAGCGAGTTGAGCTGTAAGTATTGTATATCATGTCTTGAACTACAGACTGAACGTAAAGGACGTCAGACGTGGCTTAGCACAGTAGGGGATCATAACGTGGGTGTTCCTGGTCCAATGCCCGGTATCAATCATGCGGCGTCGCTCCCACGTCGCCCTGCGAATGGGGTCCAAAAACGTGCAGCATCCGGGATTTGCCACATACCCGGTATCGGTCTTTAGGCGTTCTTCCTTTGCTCCGAATCCTTGATTGGTTGCTTCGTCATCGTCTCCACGAATACCGTACGATTTGGACGTAATACAATGAACATGGGGCTTCTTTTTGAGTGCCTTGTACATTCGTTGATACTACGTAGATCATGAGTGTTACGATTGATGCATGTAAGCTCTTATGTGTTGCATTTGATCGACAAACGTTACGATCGACACCCTGCATCAGCCTCATGGAAGTCCACCGGTCAACACCTTTTCTGTGGAAACCACAGCCGACCATACCATGTGCTGGCAAATACGCCTCCGACCGAAGATTGGGGACGCCACGATGCCCAACAAAATCCTTCTCGTGCGTCGTCACTACCCAGCGAAGGATCAATAAGAAGGCTCGTAAGTACTCGGAGAAAGGCCTTTCCGAGCTGCGAATAAAATCACTCCTCACATCTTACATCCAGAGTGATGTGAGAACCATCCTCTTCATCAACCCCATATCTTACCACATATCATATTAATAGCATTCACCGGAAGCCTATGCGATAAGACTACACTGTCGTACAACTGACCAGCTGACCGGAGAATCACCCCGTATGATTACCACCAAGGATCGATTTCGTCCACCCACTGCCCTGCTTACCTAGCTATGCCGCTACCAAGGACCTTTCGCAGCTAATACTACATTGAACATCCTAGTCAGAGCGGACTGCCGACTTCCAACTCACAAAGCGATCTCAATCCCGTTGGTAAGCTTCAATAGAGGCTTGCGTAGCATCTAGATCACTCGAGACACAGGAAGTCCCACATATAGTCAACTGGCGTCTACCAAGGAAACCTAAGGAGTCACTCGACTGTGTCGTGCGTCGTGGTAATCCCTACTTCAAATCTGATAATGGCTTCTGGGGCTTCACTATTGATCACCTATACCCCAGTTTCAAGGTATTGCAGTGTAACTTCCCAGATTATGTACCATATATGTGACTAAGTCATGGTAAGTTGCGTCGAAATGATGGTTCAACAGGGAACCAATGTGCTAGGTTCTACCTAAGCAAACAAGGGAGTTTGTTAATCCTAGAATATATACTTGTTGCCGATTCGTTGAGTGGCAATTCTGAAGTCTCGAGCCATAGGCGCGGTAAGTGCGGGTCACTCGTTCGTGGCGTTTTACGAGAACGCCATGCCTAGCTATAGTAGCGCCTCACTCCTGTAAGTGAACCCCTAGACGCCAGGCATCTTCCGCCTTATCCGTTGACGAATGTAGAGAGTCGCGTATCGCGGACATTGGTCTCGCATCAGCCTGATTGTGAAGCTGATACCGGTAGGAGAGGCGAAGCTGCACGTCTTTCTTATAGGCAGGTTTTCCCAACCCGGATCCGGTTTATGTTGCATGCGCTCAATCCTTCGCTTGCATGTCGCACGTCGTATTCGAAAGCCATGGTCTGTGCTTGAGCCAACGGTGTGCTTCTGGAGTGGATTGTGGCTGGAAGGAATGTGCGAAAAGCCCGTAAATCCTGTGACCCTACCGATCGACAGTCCGCCTCGAAAACCCATTGCGCGTACTATGATCCTGCTCGTCTCTATATTGTGGTTGCGTATATTCATAGTCAAACAATGGTAGCCCGCGAATTGCCACTGCAATCTCAGCCTTCTTCAACCGTACCATCCAATTGGTTTCACACGGTGCTTACTTTCTTGATTCCCAAAAGTTATCCTGCAGAACGGAGGTGTTTGGCCCAGGCTTGAAAACCGCCTTTTGTTCCACTCTCAAAGCGGCGCTTGGGATTATACACTGGGATATTGGTGAGCCGATCCAATTGCATACCTCGTTCTTCAGATTGAAACCATCTGCAGCCATGTCAAAATACGGAGACTGGTGTGCGGGTATTTTCCCACATCCCCAACTGCCGTGCAGATCTCGAAAGAATATGCACATCATCCAGCGCCGGTTCTGTGAATACGTGCATAAGCATGCCAACCTGTTGATCGTAGTGCGTTAATGTGTGCCGCGTCTGGCGGAAAGAATGACCTAATCAGGAAATAAAATAGGCTAAGTTTCTTGAACCATGTTTGTTTCTCATTGCAGCTAGATCGTGAACAGTGCCCAGGAAAACGTTCAGTTTGGGGAATTGCATGAGTATTCAAAAGTCCGACCTATATTAGGTTGTGGGTGGCGACTACCTTTGTTGGTATGGTTGCCAAATTATCAGTGGTTACATACAGCACGAGTCTTGATGGTTACATTCCACCATTATTCCCCATACCCGGGCCGGCATAGAGCAGAACCGTGAATTGACGCAACCCCCAAGTTGAAGTATCTCATTCTTTTACTTTCAGCTTTGACATCTCGAAAGTACTCACACCGGCAATCGCGAACAGAAATCCCGAGTAGCCACATGCTATGTCCTCGAGTACTGGGCTCAAGATCCAGAAGTTGATAAGCGTCTATAGTGGTGACTTGAGCGCAAGTTACTCCTCTTGTCGCCAAGTTCGTATCAAGACTAAACCAAGGAAATTGTTGATGTAGTAGATTGAACATGTGATTATGACATATAACCTTGTAAGTAAATTCGAACATGGGATTTGGGTCATGAGGTATATTCCAGGCGGGTAATGTCTCTTCCAGAGAAGCGTATAACGAGACGTTGGGTCTCGATACAAGCGTGGTAGTGGACATATTTGTAAAACAAGTGAGCAGGTCATTTTATACTTTATCTTCTAGAGTTTCTTAATGAAGTCTCTCTTCATATCAAAGAGGTCACAGAGTAGAACACGATGTACATTGGGTTGATGAATGAGTCGGTATAAGTCTTTGGCTTGCTATTGCGGGAGCGCCGGCAACCCAGCATGAGATCATGAACTACAATTCAGCACGGTAGCTGTGTTCTGACATTCTACAGCGTCGTTTGTACTGACGAATTGCAGATCTCTCGATTCTCATGATGTTACGACATACAGCAAATTAAGCATCAGCGCAATAACTCGTGCGGTCACCGCCGTTCAAACTTTCAAGTTGAACAATCTGTTGGCAGTGAACTTTTCAGTATAATTGACATATATGCAACGGTATCAGGCGAAAGGTTAGAGATGTGAAGGCGATGTCGAAGTTGAGGTTGAGTTAGAAGCTATGACGCGTTTTCTGTGGTCCAAGCTCAGAGTTTGGTTTGGCAAAAGAGAAACTCGCCTCCAGCAGCTCTTGGTATCCTGGTCGCAGTTATCAAACTTTACGCGGTAGTCTCTGCCGGACCTTGGAGGTAAAGTCAATTTCACTACGGAAGGATCGGGAACAATCCACACGCATGCACGCAGCTTGATCGATGATGCAATAGCTCATCGCTAAAATCGATCGTCGAACGTTACTATATATGGCTGCTCCCCGCTGAGCTGATCCGCATGTAAATCAGAGATTTCGACTATCCCAAGACACCATCTCATAAACAAGCACCTTGATTTATTCCAAAATGGCTCCATCTGGTCTCGCCATTCTCATTGGAGCAGGTCCCAACGCAGGGACTGGAATTGCCCGCATCCTCTCTCACCCTTCTCACGGAAACCTCGCCGTCGCTCTCCTGGCCCGTCGTCCCGAATCCCTCAAATCCGTTATCTCAAAAATCCATGAAGCAAGTCCAGATGCTGTTCTCGAGGCTTTTCCAACAGACACCTCAAAAGCTTCTCTTGAGAAGGCTTTCCGTGACATCAAAGCGCATCAGAGCTTCAAGGACTTGAAGCTGAACATGGCTGTATACAGCATCAAGCATTCTAGCAAGAAGCCATTTTTGGAGGAGACGAGGGAGGACTTTGAGGAGAGTCTGGAAAGTTATGTTGGCGGGGCGTTTACTTTCTCTCAAGAGAGTCTTAAGCGATTCTTCGAGGACCATGGCGAAACACCGTTGGCTGATGGAGGGGAGAAGAAAGGAGTCAGTTCCATTCCCCGTCCCTATATAACTTATAACTCACAAGCAACCAGACTCTCATATTTACCGGCACCCTGGGTGCACTCCGTTGCAGCGCACAGTTCGCAGCCTACGGCGCAGGACGCGCTTCGGTGCGTCAACTCGCCCAAACACTGGCCCGCGAGATGAGCGAGAAGGGCGTACACGTCGTGCACACGATCGCCAATGGCGCCATCGCAGACGATGACAGTGACGAGCAAAAGTTGGGAAAGAAGATGAGTGCCGACGCTGTAGGTGAGACATATCTCTGGCTGCACAACCAGAAACCGTGTCTCTGGACGCATGAGCTAGATATGCGACCAGCGTGTGAAAAGTTTTAGTGAAATGAAGCTGTCGCAATATGCGTAATTGTACAAAATGTATTTCTTTTACGGATACGTCATCTCTTGCGGACTGAATCTGGAAAGAACATTGACATACGTGAAATGTAACAATATGCTTTCATATCCAACGTTACAGACAAGCTAGCATATTATTATGCCATAACGCGTCACTCATCGTGGTATGGGTCGACTTTATAATGATTACTGAGACTATATCTGTTATGCCTAGAATAATTGGCTTTTAGGGACAACTATTCCTATAATGGAGTTGCAGAATCGAAACACCCTCTGCCTCGTCGGATTGAGACGGATTATTGACGCAGTTCGGTTCGGAGGTCTGCTACAGGAGGGGTCGCAGGTATTCGTTGTTGTCGACAAAGTGAAGTCCATGATTTTGTGACGATAGATGTCCACTAGGAAGTATAACAAGTGCCGAGACACTGAGTTATACAACAGAATGCGTGGCATTATGAGTTGCTACTTGTAGCTGTTGTGTAACATGGTGGACGGGCTGAGCAAGATCGAGCACATTGTTCGTATGTCCAAGTGTATGGTGTCGACCTTTGTAGACCCAACCCGCCCAACATCGTCTCGCTTATCGTTGTTGTCTGGAGTGACGAAGAAAAAGTGCCGTAAGTTGCTTGCCCGCTGTTCCTAGACTTCGAACGTCGTGATCATGTAAGGCTTCTTTACACCAACTCATGACTACTCTTTCCCACTGTATGGCGACAGTTGATGTTTTAGAGACGAGTAAGTGCGATTGACCATTTTCGCTTCGTAGCTTGCGTAGTAGGAGTCGATCCCATGTTCCTCCAAGTCGAATCGTCGAATCGTCATCTCTTCTTCACCCCAAATATTTCAGTTTACTTTGATTCTCATTTTGCATCAACCAGCCTCCTCCCCCCTCCCAACCGGTTCGGGTCTAGCAGAAAACACAATCTTATATTTCACTACTTCCACGATCTCCAACTCCTCCTCTTTCCCCTCCCCATCCTCTCTTTCTTCACCAACCTCATTCATATCCACATCCACACCCCTATCCCCAGCTCGCTCCTTCTTCCTAACAACAGCAAACGGCCGTCCCAGCTTCTTGCATTCCCCTGCCATGCGCTGATTCTCGCCCACGTAAAAGTACACGCGCTTCATCCACTTAGTATCGCTCGGGTCATTGAGCAGCGGATTGTACAGTGGGAATACAAGCTTTCCGACGAGCGTAGACTGGTCGGATGACGAAGCGGGCGGAGGTGGGAAGTGGATTGTGCCCTGGAGTTCGAGGAGGGCGAGGCCTGAGGGCGTGTGTAAGAGTGGGGGGAGGGGGTTCTCAACGGCAGTTGAGGTACAGGAGGGGAGGTGGAGGGGAATCGTTGGCATTTTGCGTGGTGTGGTGTGGCGTTGTACTGAGTTGCGAGGATTGAGAGTAGAGATGTATGCGACTGGTGAAGGACGCGACGCGTCGAGGTTTAGTGGGGCAGGGGTAGCGCGTTGAGAATCGTCTGTGCATAGCGGGGAAGTCGGGTTGATTGGTACTCTTTCCTCAAGAAGAAAGTGTTTTTGAGTCGGGACAACAAGCATGATTTAGTCAAAGAACAATTTTGAACGAAAGGAACGCATAGTTTCAATGTATCATGTCATTGATCATGTCTGTCTATCATAATAGTTGTGTTCTTTTGAAAACATTAGGCATTTTTCCAACCCATTCACGCCCTCTTTCCAAAAATCTCATCGTATCCAATCAATGTCAGCCTGAAGCGCACATTGTCGTTATTCGCCACACGCTCAACAGCTTCCTTGCAACCCGCCTCGCTGATCTTGATCGTCTCAACCCAGCTCTTGATGTTTTGCTTCGATGCCAATTCGAACATCTCAATCATCTCAGGCCTGTTGCCAAGATGCGACGCGCCCAAGTAGCAACCGTTGGGCACGAAAACCTTTGCGTCCATCGAAGGGAGAGGCTTGTCGGGCAAGCCAACCATGTGGAATGTTCCGTTGACCTTGAGAATTGAGAAATACTCAGAAAGGTCGAATTGATCTGTCGCATCCGCGCAGCAAATGGCAATGTCCATGGTGAACTTGTATGGATCGGCCCAACCCTTCTCCTTGGTCTCGATGAATTCCTTCGCGCCAAGCTTCAGTGCCTGTTCCTTCTTGCTAGGGGAGTGGGAGACGACGTAAACCTCCGCACCGAGAGCCTTGGCCCAGAGCACAGCGAAGTGACCGAGACCTCCCCTAAGACTTGTTAGCATTCAAGCCTGAACGTTTTTGCCTTGGTACTCACAGTCCAACAACGGCAATCTTCTTGCCAGGTCCAGTTCCCAGTCTCTTAAGAGGAGAGTATGTGGTCAGACCAGCACAAAGCATAGGAGCAGCAATTGCAGTGTCGAGGTTATCCGGGATCTTGAATGTGAAATACTCGTGTGCGCGAATATGGCTGGAGAAACCACCCTGAGAAACTGTGCCGTCAGGGTGCTCAGCACCGTATGTATCGATTTGGTTCGGGCAGTAGTTCTCCTGGTCGGCTTTGCAGTTTCCACATGTCAGGTCGGCTCCAACTTGGGCTCCAATTCCAGCACGGTCGCCGATTTTCAATGAAGTGACCTTGGAGCCAATCTTGACAACCTTGCCAATAACCTCATGTCCTACGCAAAGAGGAAGAGGGATGTCTTCACCCCACCCGCCAGTGATTGTGTGGATGTCAGATGCACACACACCACAGGCGTCAATGGCAAGATCGACATCGTACTCTTCAAACTTCTTCAAAGGCAGCTAGTCGGAGAGTTAGTACAGTTGATCTACCGCTAATACTGCGGATTTGACTTACTTCCTGGCGCTTGAAAGTGCTCCATTTCTTGATGTCGGTGACGGTAAACGCGTCAGTCGTCTCTGGATAAGGCATTATGGCGGTTGTGAAAGCTGATTTAGGGTGTAGAGTTGCGTTGAGAAAGGCGTGATGACGAGAAAAAAGCTATTGAGGGGCAGGTGCGCGTATTTGAAGCCTTTCACCATCGCGCGTTCCATGATACGCCTCGCCGTATTCCCAGAAGTGAGGTCATGCAAGATCTCAAATCAGAAGCTTTCCGCGGTCTCGTCTCGAGCATCATGTCTGATTGGGCCATTTCGGCCGCCAGCTGTGTGTTGGCGCATGGCATCTTTTTCTATCGTCACCAACGCGTCAACAACAGTGACATCAATGTGATCGACCATCGTATTGCTGGAGCTTCATCGAATCGGAGCCATCGGAAATCTACAAATGCGCTACCGCTCAGCAGCCACTTCTAGACTCGAGAACCGTCGGAGGGGTGGAGACGTCTTGAGTGACATCGCAAACCTTCAACGTAGAGTTTCCAGAAATGTTCCGCCGTATCCGCCAATGACGTACCTGTCGCGATTTGCTACAGTCCCGATCATTTTTCCGAACTACTCATCATCAAACTCCATCGTCGTCTTTCCACATCTCTTTCTTAGCCGTTTATGTGTCTCGACAAGGAAAAGCCTTGGACAGACCTTTCGAGATGTCGGAGCCGAGCTCGTTACGAATTCGATGTCCCTGACGCAACGGACATCACCGGCGCCTACCGTCCAGCGGCTATTGGCGCGTTACCCTACCATGCGCTGCTACGTCGTATACGATCCCGGAGGACTCTGGTGATAGAGGAGTCCTGAGATTAAAGACATGAGTGTGTTACCCCGCGATTCGACTGCGGGGTGATCGAACTGGGGATTACCGGATCGGGTATGCCGTTGCTTAGCGCGTTCAGCGCACGCGTAACAACGAATCGCATGTCGAGAATGTCGAATGCACATGGACATAAGAGCGATGAGGGGTTCGGATGCTGGAAATACAAGCTTGCAGTGTCAGGTAGAGAGTGACTTATGACAACTGTGGGCGCCAGTTTAAAAGAGTCGGAGTCCTCCTCCCTGGCGTCATCTTGATCGCAGCTGTACTTCTCACTATCCAGCTGCGCAACAGCAGCTTCGGTTTCCGTAAAGTGAGCATATGTAATCTTGAAGCCTACAGAGATGGCACCAAGCACACAAACCATGAATGCCGTCCGGTTTCACGGCCAACACGACCTACGCTACGAAAAGATACCCGTTCCAGAAGTTAAGCCTGGCCAAGTGAAAATTCGACCAGCTTTCGTCGGAATCTGCGGATCAGATTTGCACGAGTATCTCGGTGGTCCAGGTCTCTGTCCTACAACACCCCATCCCATAACCGGCGAGAGTGTCCCAGTGACCTTCGGCCACGAGTTCAGCGGCATAGTCGAGGAAGTAGGCGAAGGAGTAGCGGAGTACAAGACCGGCGACCGTGTCGTAGTCCAGCCTATCATATACGACGGTACATGCGGCGCATGTGAAGAAGGACTGCAGAACTGCTGTTGGAGTAACGGATTCGTAGGATTGAGCGGTGCGCAAAATCTCCCTCTTCTTTCAAACGCACACCGACTGACATTGCTAGGCTGGGGCGGCGGTCTGGCCGACCATATCGTCCTCCCAACATCAACATTGTACCACCTCCCAGACAACGTTCCACTCGAGATAGGTGCGCTCGTCGAGCCTCTCGCTGTCGGCTGGCACGCCGTGAAGTTGAGCCCCTACAAACCCGGCAACGCAGTGCTGATCCTCGGTGGCGGTCCGATTGGCATATCTACCATTTTGGCCCTCAAAGCAAAGGGTTGCGAGAAGATCATTGTCTCCGAGGTCTCGCGTCGACGTCAAGAGTTCGCTAAGAAGTTTGGCGCAGACTACATCATCAACCCCCTGACCGAAGACCTCGTAGCCCGGTGCCGTGAGCTCACAGACGGTCGTGGTGTGCATATCGTCTTCGACTGCGCAGGTGTGCAAGCAGCATTGGATCAGGCAGTGCACGCCACGCGTGCGCGGGGATGTATCGTGAACATCGCGATTTGGGAGAAGCCGTGTACAATCACGCCCAATGATTTCAATTTCAAGGAGCGGACATATATAGGCGTAGCGACGTATGAGGTAGGGGATTTCCAGGAGGTCATTGATGCGTTGGCCGCGGGGAGTATGGAGCCAAGCTCTATGATTACACAGCGGATTAAGCTGACCGAAGTTGAAGAGAAGGGATTCAAGGCACTGATTAATGATAAGGACAACCAGGTCAAGATCCTGGTTGAAGTTGGGGGTGGAGATTGAGGTGCAAATCCTATCTTCGGCACTCGGAAACTATGTTCTTATGGTTCTGTGTCTCAGAGTACCCTGATGTCGGATTAGCGTAATTGGGTACATGTACGATGGTAGATCTCTCGATGATCATATGTGGATCCATCAATTGATGCAGCAATTTGAAGCTAGATGGTTACTTTCTTGTCATGTCCTTCATGGAACATGTTTGACCATATTTTCACACAAGGCTTGCACACTTTAAACGTCGAACACAACATGCTTCTAAATCTTTTGATGCTCGATGTATCGCAAGCACGTTACAACTTGCGTCATTATGAGTTCCAATTCAAGCATGCGTACTTCTCCATCAGCAGATCTCTTAACGCTCCATTGTCTTCAAGCCATTGCGCAGCTCTAAATGAGTGTTCTGCCCACGTCTTTGAACTCTGATCATTTTCTTGCATATAGTAGTCAATGGCACGATTATAAGTCGTTGTTGCTAGCCACTCGAGTTCGGTAGAAGGGTATCGGTCAGTATTCTTGGACTCATCGTCAGTCGATTCCACATCATCGTGCTCGTGTTTGGAAGGGCTTGATGATGGCGGGGGAGTGTCCAGCATGAGAGACGTAGTGATATGGTAAGATGTCTGGGTACGCTTAACAATATTCGCGAAGGGAGGGGTTCAAAAGAACTTACTCCCTGGTTCGCCGCTGCGATGTCAATAGCCTTCTCAACACAACCAAGACTGAGCTTCTCGTCGAAAGTAAGCGCAATGTTGAACAGGCAGCGTATCCAGCGCGCGAGCTTGGTGATGTCTTTGCCAGGCTGACGCCAGGTGAGATCGATAATCTTCCGTAGCACTGATAAAATTCCTGCGCTTATGATCAGCATTTTTGTAAGCTCTCGACCTTGCCAAACTTACTACTCCGGTACTTCTCCTCCAAACTCACTGTGACCATACTAGAGTGAATCACGAGTACAAGATCTGCGAGTGTTTCGTAGTGATCTGGGCTTTTGTACTTCCAGCATTGATCGAAAAGGTCGTCAAGCTCATCCCATTTCTCAAGCTTCAGTACCGCTTCCAGTTCCAACTTAACGATCTGAAAATGCTTCAAGATTATGTCCGACTGAGCAGATCCGCCAAGCTTGTCCATCCCTTCAGCTGCCGAACGACGAAATTCTTGACTGTGTTTGCGAGCCTCTAGATAGAATTGAAGCTGAAAGAGTCAGCTATTGCATGCAGCAGAATGCTCACTACTTACGCAGTTCTGTACATTGTCCTCTGCTCGGGCCATTGTGGTATAGCTACAAGTAGCAAGAAACTCGCAGAACACTAGCCTGAGAGAAACATCACTCCCAGTATCTGACTTTTCTTGTTCATTCAAGAGCTTGATGAACTGCCGGATTGTCAGATTAGAACGAAACCAGATATGATGAACTGTTTTACCTCTGTGCAAACAGTCAACAACCTGACCAGCATACTGGGTTGCATCTCTGCACAGTGCCTGAGTGAGAGATTGTAAGCGTTCTTGGAAAACCACTCAAATTCCTGCGTTGTAAACAGTTGTTGGTCAGGAGTACTTGGTCTTCTCCGAGATGCTCTAGCTTGTGAACATGCTAGCTATTGTTAGTACAGTGGTTTTGCAAGACGCATTATTTCTCACATCCTTCGAACACGGTACATAGCTGTCCCATGATATCAGAATCGATATTGCCATCTTTGACCAGTTCTGATTGAAGAAGCCTTGCAGTGCTCCTACTCGTGTTCAGTATGGGTGGTAGAAGAACTGAGAGGAGAACTTACCGCAAGAGCGCAGGTAGATGAATACCCGCGGGCGCACTGTAGTCGTACTTGTCGAGGACACGTTCTAGTGCAATTATGGCCTGCCGCTTATCGCCAGCATTCTGCGCCTCCATCACGCAAGCATATAGTAGAGTTGCATCTTTTGATGAGTTCCGGCATATGACGTCCAAGCACTCTCCAGCCAAGTCTGTGTCATTGCTCTGAATGCCCAATTTGTACATCAAGTATCGTGTCACAGGCTCATCTTTTCCGGTACTAGGCATCTTCGAGTATGCCTCCCGAGCAGCGGCAAAGTCCAGCCGTGCTAGAGCACACTGAATAATCTTCCTGCGTTCGGTCAGAATCGAATTGTTCTATCAAGTCAAACTCCACCGTACCTTGTGATTTTCGACTTGTTTTGTGCTCCAGCTTTGTCGAAAAGCATGTGAAGGCAGATGCGACACCACGCTTCAGCCACGCCGTATTGTTCCTGGCTATGTGTCCCCTCGACCTGCTTCCATAGCAATGTTTGTGCGGCATGAGTGGCTGGTGCTGAAAGGGATGTCTTCGAATTTTGCAAAACCCTATCGAACAACCGCTGCAATTGCTCGAGTGTGTTCTCGGCAAATGTATTGGTGGTCCCTAGCCAGACACGCGTGATAACGGCTTTCTCAACCCAGGCCTGATTTTCTTCCCTGAAGAGACGTATGTCAACAAGATCGTCAAGTGCTTGACAGGCGGAAATGATGCTGTGATCTTTTAGTTTGTGTATGTGATGCATAATCGTTCTGAAGTTTGTGTCGTTGAGGACCACCGAACGCATCATACGAAGAAGCACATTATAGAACTCGGTTGTGTCGAAAGTCTCGGCTGCAGACAAAAGCTCAATCTTTAGCAGCGGAACGACCATCTTGTCGCCGTATTCAGTCTCCATGAGTCCTACCATATGCCACGCTTTGTCTTGCGCCTCAGGCGTCTTGAGTTTCATGTGTGCATGTACGAGACTCTGCATCGTACTAAGTCGCAGCTCACCAGCTTCTGGACTGAGCATTTCCAGATCCTGTTCTCCGAGCACATCGTAAGCGCGTTCGAGCCAGCGAACGGCGAGTTCGTAATTCCGCTTTGTCAGGGCGCCCTTGCCAATCTCGTAGAGCAGGTCTGCGAGATTTTCAGCGGTGGTGGGAGTGAGGACGCGAACGAGCTGTTGGCATTTTACGAACATATGCTCTGCAGTATCCATACGGTCTTGACGCCAGGCCTGTATATGCACACGTCAGCACACGAAGCTGCTCGTTCTGAATCTAGTGTACTGAAAGGACTTACCAAAGTCGTTCGTACAGCATAGTATTCGACCCGCGATCGTTCCGCAAGCTCTGTCTCCTCATTGCTCACCACATCATTATTCGCGTGGCTCAGGACTTCCTGATACTCTGCAGCCCTCTCGAGGACCTTCGTCGCATTTTCCAGCTCATTACCGTCGATGCATACTCTTGCCGCTTTCAGTGCAACCTTCATAAGCCGAATGCATGTCTTCCGTTGAAGAGTCTTGGTCGCCTGTTTACCTGCCGAATCGAGAAGCAGGAACGCAAACACGCGTACAAGGCAAAGAACACGACTCTTGCGGGCTCCTTCTTCGTTCCCTTTACCATCTAGGGTTGACTCATCACGTCGCAGGCGGGTGGAGAGGTTCCATAGCTCGCCACCTAGCTTGTCGAGATTCTCTTGCTTCGTTGTCGCCGTCGATAAAGCTGGGAGTAACAGCACTCGTATATGGGTCTGGAGGTCAATGATAAGCGATGTATCACAGAGGTTGCCGAGCCGATCGGCGAGTAGTGAGGCGAAGGCTGCGAAATGTGAGTGTCAAGCGTTGAGATGCGGATTGGAGAGCGGTCACTCACTAAGCACCGACTTTAGCTTCTTTTCGCGTTCTGATCTTGCTGTAGGTTGCGTCGGTGCCATGTTGCAAACGTCTGGAAGTATGTGAGTGGTGAAGAGAGGAAGCGCATTGCGCGTGAGATTGTGGGTCGCGACTTCCGTATCAGGTGCCAGCGCTGGACGCCAGCTGCAAGCTGAACGTGCAAAGCTACAGGCAAATACTTTCAAGCGTCTAAGCGGTATTTACTGAGTGTAAGTGCTTGAACGATAGCAAAAAAGGCGATTAAATATTGAAACTAGGTAGATACCAATGTAGATGATACTCACCGAAGACCTGCGTCCTCATGATATTATAGACACAGCTAACGGCTGCTACTGCATCAAAAAGACCCAGATAAGTCCACACTCACCTGAAATACATGCTAGGATAAAGAGTACAAAAACATAACATTACCGAACCCAATCAAGCACTGCCGTCTCGCAAGATATTCATACAAGACCACCATGCAATTTTCATACACCACTAATATTTTAACATGGCAACGAACCAGATGTTGCCTCTGTGATGGGAAGGAAATTGCCCACAATCAGCGCCGGGCTAAAGCAGTCAGCATATACCGATCCGCGACTACTCGATCGACTCACATATTGTTAGCATCTCTCTTAACAGTGAAGGAAAAACAGCACCGAATCTCAGGATCCTTCGAATTTGGATCTGGGTTCTTCAACGAACAACTGGTAAGGATAGCTTTCTGAGTGTGATCGAATGCAATGGCGCCAAACTTCTCCCAGTAGGACACCAATGACGGCTCAGCGATAATTTCATGCAAAGCAATATTACCCTATGCTGTGAGTTAGTTATGATATCAATTCGGCGAGGCCTGCTGCTTACGTCTCGGAGCTTCGACATTGGTACGTGGATGAGGCTTGCCATCTCTTTGTTCCCTCTGTATATCTCGCCAGTTCTCCGCCAGCAGCAAGCAGGTATGGCCATGCTCGCGAACACACGATCGTATTCCATCAAACTCTTGTCAAACCACATCTCAATGCGCACCAGATCCATGTCGGTCGAATTGTTGATGCGCTCACGAAACTTAGGTCGAAATCTGTCGAGCTGGCGTAATATTCGCACACGAGACACTTGTTGTAGGTTCTGTTCCATGTACTGATTCAATCGTGCGTAACCCTTGACATAGTTAAACGGCCTCAACAACCCCGCATCCATCTTAGCTCTAAGAAGCTTGTTCATTCGTTCTTCAGGGCTATCCGAGCCAGCAGGATCAGCAGCGGTCAAAAGATATCTCTCCCGAGCCTTATCCATAGGAAAGCCACTGGACCGCCGTTGCTTAGGGTTTCCGGTAGCGGGTTGAGCAGGTGGAGGTAGTAATTGAGCGTTTCGAGACGCATTTGGGTTGAAGGTAGAATTATTGGTTAGGGTGCCCATGGGATTCATCAGAGAAGCATCGGAGAACAGAGCTTGAAAGTCTCCACCTCCGTAGAACGAGCCGTCGTCCATAAGGCTGTTATTGAGAAAGTCGTTGAGCAAATTGTACTCATTACTGACTTCGGATGCGTTGAAGTTATACGAGGGATGAAGTTGGTGCATATCCTGAAAGTTATTTTGGGAGGGGGAGACCAGATCACCATAATTTAAGACTTCAAAATCATTCAGCGAGAAACTTGACCCTGAAGCTGGATTCATGTGTAACTTACAGGACTGATTTCCAGGGGTAAGGGAAGACAGCTGTGGCGTTGATGCGGGTTCAGATTGGGCTATCGATGCCGTGCGGGCACCGCTATCAGGAAGTAGGGGAGGCGGTGCAAGTTGTAGCCCTACATCCGGAGCGCTAACCTGCTGAGAGAGAATGGTTGAGTCGGCATCGGAGACGGTGACTCCATTCTCTGGGGTTTCGCTCTGCTCTTCGGCCTGTTCTGGGTCTGTCTTGGCTTTTTTGACACCCTCGCGAGGCTCGTCGTGGCAGAGATGCCCGATGTTTCTCTTGATACATCGTGTACACGGCCGCTCCTGCAGAGTGTGATGATCAGCTTTTGGAAATAGAACAGGGTTTCCAGTGCACCTACGAGATCACAAGTCATATGCTAAGGATAACGATGTTAGCGGGCATTGTGGAATGTCTTGGAAGCAAAGGGACCATGTATTGGATGCCAGGGAGACGGCTGCGGCTCACCGAACGTCTGCAGTATATGCACGCTATGTCGTGGCGTCCAAGTCAGCAGGGTCAAGGCAACCAAAGTAGTACGACATATGATTCTTACCATGATTGACCTTTCTGCGCTTCTTTGAAGTTTTCGTTGGCGTTCCAGAACTTAATGAGGAAGAAGCTTTGTCCTTAGATGGTGAGCTGTTTTTGGCAACACTTGATTTGAAGACGTCTTTCCCCCCATCCATTCCTCGGGAGTTCGTCATGTCAGACGACGTAGCTCCATTGGACCTGCGCGCAGCTTCCGTCATCAAGCGTAATGATGTAGGCAGGTTTCAATGCTGGTCGTTCTTCTCGCAACCTCGACGTGTTCTACGACTTGGTTTGTGCCACGCGTCGGGGCGCCGAGAAGAAGCAAACAACTTTGGCAGTGGTTAGGGCACGTTCCCCAGTGATACAACGAAGCATGCACTGGAGTAAAAATGGGGCAGTTGAGGTGTTGTTCCGGCAGCGCGCTGACGATCAGTGAGGTCGCGTGTGTTACCGACCCGAGGGAGAAACCGGAAAGGCGGGGATGTCGTAATCAGCTTGTCTTGGCATAAAGTTGACAGCTGCGGCGCGTGGCCCGCACACTATGTCTTCACTCTTCAGCGCTCACTAGGATAACCATGGGGTAGGCAACATGGTGTTCGCATAACGTCGAACTGCGCTGCTGCAAGACACGTGAGAGTTGCATATCCTGCACAGCCAATCATGGCTTCCAAATGCTGCACTACAGCTGACCACAGTGTCGGGTCTCTCAGTGCTAAATTGGGTACAGCAAGGAGATAAGCCTCAAAAGTTGCCTTTCCATCGCGTGTCAACCTTCAATTTCAGTCAAGCTATTTGTACTTTGCCTCGTACAGCCCATGCAGCGGACCATCCCTGTCGCACAGGTCTTGCTACAGAGTATTGAATATCCCACCAACTCCTTAAAAGTATCGTAGACAGACCCAGTTTATCCACGTTGTACGCTAAGCCATGCAAGACTACCAGAAAACTTGAAAAATCCTCAACGCCAGCTGAGTCTACAGGCCCATTTAGCTCAGAACGCAGCGTACTGCTGTGCGCTGGCGTGCCTGAATAGGATGTTGTCCAAAGCTGCCTGCGTGTCCTTCATAGCTTCATCGACGCCCTTGACCTGCGCATGATTACTCTGCATATTCTCAAGACTGCGCCGGAGTTGCTCGAGAACTGGGGCGAACTCAGAGTCAGGCGCATCGAGCAAGAAGGTGTCTACTGGAGATGACCGCTTCAGACCAATTTCGTCAGGACCATCACTATCAATTACAGTATCATCCGATTTTTGGAGTAGAGGATGCAGCTACCGTAAGTCAGCCGCCCGTCCACGCGTATTATGAATGGAAATAGCTTACCCGTCCATGCTTCTCCTGGTGTTTCCACTCTGCCTTCCACTTCCTTGCGTTCGTCTTCAGTTCCTCCAGGCTCTCCTCGTCCTTCTTCAGTAAATGCTCGGCCACCTTGACCTGCTCGCTGAGGAGCTGCTTTGCGTGCCGGGCGGTGGTGACTTCTCGAAAGACCTGCGCGTTTCGCTCTGTGAGCTTGTCGATGTTGAAATGTATATCTTTAGCCTGAGGTGGTATTCGCGAATTTGACAGCTCACGTGCCAACTTTTGTACGAGAGGATTTAGAATGTTGTGTGCCGCAATAACTCTGCGCTCGTCCCGCTGCGTGTTCGCAATGTCCTTTTTCGCATCGCGAATCACAGCGACGATCTGCTCCAAGACTTGCGTAGAGACCTGCGGCCACGAGTCTATCTGCTCTTGGGGTATCCTTTTTGTCTTCACCTCCAGTTGCACGTACTTCTTGCGCGGCTCTGACTGCTCTTCGGCAATGACATTCTGTTCAGCGTCTACCTTACGCTTCCGCGGTCGCAATGGCTGCGCATTGTCTGCTCTCGAAAGCTCGTCATCGTCCCCGTCAACGTCCACTGCTATTGAAAGTTCATCTTCGGAGTCTCCCTGCGAAGGTTGCTTCTTTGTCCTCTTGCCCTTTGGCTTTGTTGTTTGTTTGGTCGCAGTCCGGCCCACTCTCGAGAGTTCATCCACGTCCTCGTCCTCAGCCTGTCCAGATATTGCCTGCTTTCGCGAGGTCCTGCCCTTCTTAGCTGCGGGCTTTGCGACTCGCTTGGTCGCTGTGACAGATGTGCGGCTTCCAGGAGGCCTGCCCCGTCGCTTCTTCGTATTGTTGTCGTTTGATCGCGTCGGTGCCTTCAAAGAATTAGCAGGAATGGATCGCTGAGTGAGATTTGTAACTTACCATGACGTCGTGGTTGAGTCGCGTGTCGCGTCGTGTCGCGTTTGTTGATTGCGAAGCTTGGCGAACAACGTCTTCACGTGTCAATGATTTCACACGTTAGACCTTTTGGTTGTACAATCTTGATACAGGACAAGTTTTCATAATGAATGTTTTGTTCATGGCACTTTCCGAACGACCGTTCATAAGCTCGCATGTCGGGTGAATATACATCATGCTGGACACGATATGTTCCTATCCAGACCTCATAACTTGCATCTGTGGCGATTAAAGTGCGTCGCCATCAATTTCAAGCGCTGTAATATAAAAGCCATATACTTCGCGTGGTCCTTTACTACATCGGTAATTGTGACCTCTTATGCGTATCATAAAATCACCATGGGGAATTCCACACAAACCCACAAGGCTGTCTTTTCACGAGGTCAATGCCAGCATATGAAAATCACGCTATGCTCATCGCTGAGAAGAGCTGGGAAAGACAAACAAGGCCGCAGACGCCGAAAAAAGGGGGTGTTTCAGGACGAAAAAGAAAGCGCGATACATTGTTGCTGATCAGGCGGAGCGACGCTGTACCATAGTCATTAATCTACCGATTCAAGTTATGCCTGCGTAGAACGTGAACGACACGACATTGAGGGAAGAGTCAGGGACGCCCGGTGGTCAAACACGGGCTTGATAGATCCGGGAAATGATCCAGAAGGCTTGGTATGGTAATTGCAGCGGGAACCAGCTTGATGCTTGTGGGGGTGCAGGAAGATTGCCGCATCGTAACGTCCATTGCGATCGCGTTGTGAATGCCGCGGATGTGTTGCTTTGCGTGAAAGGTGCATGCGGTAAAGTGTGCAGTGAGGAGCGTTGAGGCCTCGAGGATACGCTACTGGTCGATAATGCGCGCCTTGGCTCCGATTTGTACGCGCCAACGTCATGTCACGCATGGGGATGCGGGTCAGGAGTGGCAGCCTTTACACAGCGACAGGCGACCAGGCAGGGATGACTTCCTTGATTGCCGGTCACGGTCCAAACATATCGCCCAGCTTCTGGAGATTTGTTGACTGCCAGGACGCGTCCTTTGTCCTCTTAAGCACGCGAACAGCATGCATCACTCTTCACCCTGCAGCTCGACAACATGCTGCGAAGAATGTCCAGACAGGTGGCTGAGGTTAGCGAGGGCGAGAATAAGATGGAAAGGAAGAGAAGCAAGCGGGAGAGGCTTGTCCGGTTCTTCAGACCCAGGAAAGAGCAGCCACCGAGTCACAATGTAACCCGCCTGGACTACCGTCTTATCTTTACCTCGCCACCATTTCAGTGAGCTGATGTTCTTCCAGTCCAATGCGCTTGCTGTCATCGACAAACCAGCCCCTCCAGAACGGTCGCAAAGCTCGTATACTGCTGAAGCCGAACCATCCAAGCCTGAGCAACCGATCTGCTCCGTCGAGATGGCAGACCCATCTCCTCCAATAGACCCAACAATAGAACCTCCACCCGAGCCCTCTGTACAACAGCCTGAGCAACCACTCGCGCCGAGCCCACCACCAGAGGTGCAAGAGGAACAGAGAGTCGAGGTGCTTGACGAGGACCAAATACGCGCCCTCTTTGCAGGGGCTCCACGTTTTAGCATCACAAGACTAGAAAACCACCCCACAATCACAGCTTCATACCCATGGGACAGCGATGCCACTGCACGCGTCGTGTCTGACTCAGTCAAGCCGGTCAAGCCTGCCTTCTTGGCTGCAACTATGCACAGACACCTGGACAACGCACAACAAACCGCGCAGAAAGAACAAATGCACCAGGGGTATGAAATAGACGTTGTCGAAATGCCGAACATGCTCAGTGCTCAGGGCCTCGAGCCAGGCAGCGTTGGCTCCTCTCATTTCTTGGAGTTACCCATGGCTGATGTCCTCATTAGCGACCTGCAGCAGTCTCGATCCAGCCTGGAACTAGGAACTACAAAAAACATGGAGATCATGCAAACGAATCCTGAGCGAATCGGCATCCGTCCTGTGGAAACGAGCCTGATCTATGATCGTCTTATCGAATTTTGTGACTTGTACAAGGGACTCCAAGAAAGTGCTGAACAAAGGATGAGCTTCCGCTCAAGTACAGGCGACCTATACGCAAATCTGTTCAGTAAATTTCTTACCCCTCCAGGTTACGATGGATCGACCGATGATCCGACAGGGTTACAAGTACAAATTGTGACGTTGTTCAAAATACTGAAACTGGAAGATGTTTGGTACGATTTCAGTCTCGTGGAGTGGAGAATCAAGTTAGGCCAGGTGCTTTGGAGCGAACCAGTTGAACACGAAAGTCCGCCTATGTGGACAGAGCGAGATATACTGCTGCTTCAAATAACCCTGGCTTGCGAGCTGTTACTACGGCTCGATGCCCTTGCATCAGCGGACATAGAGGATATGAAGCATCAGTCGGGCGTGGATCATCGGAGTATGCAGGATTTTCTTGACCTCAAGACCAAGAAGATCGACTGGGACCTCGTCTTGGCGAGAAGGTTTCTGGACAACATCAGGGTCGTGATGAGCGATGATGACGATACACCTGCACCAGTCTCCAAAGCGCGCGCTTTGCTCAACATGTGGAATGGAAGTACACCAGAAGAGCCACGAAAGCCGGACATCATCTTGCTCCCTATACATCAAGAAAGCCAGCTTTCAGGGCTGCTTCATTTCGCGAAGACAATTGAGTGGCCAGACATCGACAGGTTGCAAGGAGACTTGACCCGGAAGTTGGGACTTTTTCACAACTCTGCACAGTCTGGGCAACCCGTCTCGCCAGATGGAAGGTTCTTTGATGCTACCACACCATCTTCCATAAGCATCTACGGAACTCCTCTGCAAACTCCGCGCTCTACAGACGTGCATGATGGCTACTTTGGGCGTGTTGGCAAGCATACTCTCAATCGTAACAACTCACGCTCCTTGCGAATGCCACTCTCTGTGGGACCAACGCTTTCCCCTCAGCTAGAATCACTCGGGGGCGACCCCGACGCTGTATTGGATAACGTAGGCGGCTGGCTCAGTCGATCATTTTTAACCGGGCTTATACTTCCAGGGGAGGCCATTTCACACTTTCTTATATCCACACTTCTTGAGAACGATAAGCTTGCCATTGCTGCATTAGGTGATTCTGCCAACTTGTACGGTGGGTTTGTTTATGCCAATCGAACCTGGTGGAGTAAAAGCTCTATCGTCGGGCGTGTATTGGCATGCGTTGAAGGCGCTGTAGAATGCATGGGCTGGATCTCTTTCCAGAGGTTACCGGAAGGATCAGCCGATGGTTGGATTGCTATACACAGCGAGCAGCTCCCATTATCGCATTCGATACGTATCACAGCCGAAGAGGATGTAGTAGCCCAGGATTCAGCCATAATACCTGATGACGACCGGGATTCTCTCAAGTCCAAGGACCTCACACTACCATACGATCTTGATACCCTTCCAAATCCCTCGATCACTTTCACGCGCTGGGAACTGACGCCATTGAACTCGGATTTGCTTGATGTGGATGTCACTCCGGGTCTATCTATTGAAAGCGACGTTCACGTGCCGTCGCTCATTTTCACGGCTCACAGTCAGGAAATCAACCACACACTCACCCTCGCCTACGATATACAATTCATTACTTCCTGGCCATGCAGGCCGCCTGCCTCAGCCACCGCTCCGGCGCCGGCCCCAGTATTGCGACATGTACCGACCCGCTCGATCACGGACACAGTGTCGCGTACATCCTCCAAGCGCAGCGAGATTACCAGACTATCTCGCCGCAGTAGTCATGGTTTTGAGCCACTGTTATCCCACCCCCCGGGCTCTCCAGATATTGCACCACAGCGCACGTACACCGAAGGCGAGCAGGATGTGCCGTCGACAAAACCCATTCCTATGAATGCACATCCTCTCCATACAGCCTACAAGTACGAACTTATGCCAGCAATCGACGTACTAGACTCGGAATTTGTCCCTCCCTTTCCAATGACGGGATCGAATTCGTCGGACAAAAAAGCAGTCCTTGTTCTCGATGCGCGGGACTCGACAGACATGCAACTTCTTGCGCGAGCTTGGTGTGCGGAGAAAGGCCTGCATGCACTTATCGGGCGAGTGGAACGCACTTGTCTGGCCTGTTGCATTCGCGAAGCCCGTGGATTGGGCGTGAACGTTGTCATTAGGGTGTAGAAAGCTTGAGATCTATTTTTGGCGACACGGCGTGTTCATCTTGCTTCGTGGCGAGAATCTCTGGCTCATATACCCAGGCAGTGCATCTCCCACTGCGTACGGACACGCATGTCACTCGACGTACGGACACGGGCGTAATTCTCTCGTGGCCTCGCTTGCGCTGAATATCGTCGACGAGGCGCAAGCAAGGCAGTGCATCAGCTTAGACGGCAGACTAGCTTGTTGTGGGAGTAGCTACTTTATATGCGGGAGGCCTTGATTTGCTGATCACCATCCGCGACTCATCCTTCAGCGAAACATATAAGGCCCCGCTCATGGCTATTTGACGACGCCATCATTGTTATCTTCTATTCGCGTTCTTCAGTATCATCGTGCGCAAAGTCATTCAAACATTATCGTCTCCCCATTCTCCACCATGAATTATACACCCGTGTCCGACGCATCGCCCGACAACTCTGGAGCGCAGTTCGAAGAATTGCGTGATGACGGCAACACGCCGCGCGAGCACACTGGAATGGCAGGCGGCGCCGATGTCATTGCGAACTTTTTCATGGCGACGGTTGCATTGATTGCATCTGGGTTCCATGGTTGCGGAGAATGCTGCGTGTCGAGTTGTTGTTTATGCTGTAGTTTGGGTGGTGGGTCTTGAGCGAAGAGGAAGAGAAGAATCGAACCGACTGAGGAGTGCATTTCATCTGTGTGGGTTGAAGACGGGGTGAACTTTGCCCTGCGAATTGCGAGGGAGCGAGGTCGTTGCTGGACGTCTTGCCATGTCTGTTTACATACCAACGCCGCAACACAATCTTCTGCTCGACCCTGTTTCTATCGCCATGGAGTCGCTGTTATCCTTTCGCTGAATGGACGTTGAGGGATTGATCACATTGTCGACGAAATGGTTACCAAGATTAAGCACACATCACTTAGGAATGGAATACAGCGAAATGCATGTGCTGGGAGCGAATTCAGCACATCGAGGCATTGATGGAGGGCAAAGAGTAGTGTGGGGGGTGGAGACGAAACTGTGGTGGAAGAATTTAGACGAGTTTTTCTATCGAAAGAGGTTATGAAGTGTTCTGGGTGGGAGCAAATGTGGTAGGATGGGTGGATGGGGAGACCGCCCAAGGAGGTGATTGGAAGCTCTTTGTGGTCTGAGTGGTAGATGGAGTGAAATGGTCGTTTAGTTCGACCAACGCTATGGACGTTAGTTGAGGTCGTAAGTGACTGGATAAACATAGACGGGTTTGATCAAGGGGGACTCAAATTGGTTGACTTATGACACATAACATGCCTTCTCAAGGTATTCCAAAAGGCCGTTTGCCTGGTTCAGATGTCGAAATAAATCGGGTACATCAGCCCACTTTTCAATTCCAAGCTCAACCACTCCACGGCCAGAGAGATGCCATACAAGTCCCCTCTCACTTCTTCCCTGCCTGTTCTTCCCCGCTTATGACTTGACAATCCTTTCAGCCTTATCCGCCGTGGCCTTCAAATCCTGCTCCAGGGCCTTACCCTCGCCCTTAGCCTGCCCCTCAGTACCCTCCAAGCTCTTGTTATACGAGTAGATGCGAGCAACCTGTGTTCCACCGACAACGAAAACCAGAGCATTAACAGCGGCAAGAGCAACATTCTTGGGGCGGATCACAAAGCACCAGCGGGTCCAGATGGCGCCCGTGCACATAAGGGCGAAGTTCTGGGTGAAGGAGAGCTGCGAGGCCGGGCGGCTAAAGTCCGATGCGCCGGCGAGAACCATGCCCCATTTCATGACGGGGGCCCTGGAGTGGGAGTTAGCTGGCTGGAGAGGGCGAGTCCAAGCAAGGGGTTATGAGGGAGGCACACCAGAAGTGGACTGTCTTGGGGCCGACGGGGCTCTCCCAGAACTTTGCGAAGCCGGCGGGTTGTGCGCCCGCGGCGGTGTTTACTCGTCGGCGGCCATAGGCGTTGCGGAAGGAGCTGAAGATGCGGGCGCCGGGGCGGAAGGACATTATGATGGTTGGTGACGTGTGGGGAGAGGGACGATTGCGGTGACTGGGCGTGACTTTGTCGTTTGTGAAGTCGGTGTCGCCAATCTCACGAGCACAGAGATATCGGAATTACGGTCTTGTTTTCCCCGTTGCGCTTTACCGCTTTGGGGGAGGCGTGATCATTGAGCTTGAGGAACGGAACATCGTCAACGTCGACAACGATTGGTGGTGATTGACGACGACACACCAATTGAGACCCTCACTCGGCCCCTCTACACTCACCATGGCGTCCAAATATGCCTTTTCCTCGGGCCTGAAGGAGCTGAGGTTCCTGTTCTGTCAGTCGAGCGAGCACAGCGCTGCGACAAGGTACGCGACACTTCCCACGCTGGATCTGCGGATGCGCGGCCAGAGATGCGACACGACCACCATGCTGACCCAAGGCATAGAAACTTCCTCTCGAGCACCTACCCTACCATGAAGCAGCAAAACCCCAACACCCCGATTCTGATCCGGGAAGCCAGCGGCATCGAGCCCAAGGTCTACGCGCGCTTTGGTGCGTGCCACCCACTGTCCGTGTCAAGAGGAATACTAACCGCTGCGTACTGCAGATTTTGGAAAAGAGAAGTCGCTCTCCTTGAAGGGCATGGACAACAAGAGCATCGAAAGTGAGGTCACACGGCTTGCTCAATCCAAGATATAATTCCTGTCGATTGTGGGCAGTAATGATTTGGGAAGGAAGAAAAGAGACATAAAGCCATCTCAGAGTAGATGTACATGTATTATCACGAATTTACTTGTTACAGCTACTGCTATATCGTAATTACCAAGTGGGCTGAGAAATGGCCACACGAGCAGCACATGTTCATTTGAGTATGAAAGAACTGCCAGGGTTGTCGTTTCGCAAAGACTACGTCAACAGAGAGTACATGCGCCAACTGTAAGATATTAGGAAGCGTCACGTTTTTCCACATTTCCACGTCGTTACAATCAACATGGACTACCTTTTCAACTATATTCTCTCAATCTCAATATTCTCTCAATCTCAATATTCTCTCAATCTTCAGTTTCCAATACAATTTTCCTCGTCATATCAATCACCACAATCGAAACATCCAATCTTCTAAATTAGCCGCCAGGCCCCAGCCATCCTATTGGTCTTTGTTCTTCTTTCACCTGCGCAGCGCACAGCCCCCTCAACTACCCCCACTCTGATCGCGTGGCGTACTACAACATCGCGCAACCACCACACGATAAACACTCTCCACTCCACCCCCAACCACACAACTCCCAACCCAACTACCATGGCATTTCTTGCCCACGCCTGGAAAGTTCTCGATGGAGTCGGCCAAGAAGCAGGGAAACATATTGGAGGCGCGGCTGTTCACACTTGGAAGCACCTCGACGCATTCGGTAAAGAGGCTGGGAAACACATCGGCGGCGCCGCAGTCGAAACAGCAAAAGCGCTCGATGGCTTTGGTCAAGAAGCGGGAAAACATATCGGCGGTGCAGCAGTTCACACTGCCAAGACACTCGACGGCTTCGGCAAAGAGGCGGGAAAGCATGTAGGCGGCGCAGCAGTGCACACTTGGAAGCATCTCGACGCGTTTGGGCAAGAAGCAGGGAAGCACATTGGTGGTGCAGCAGCTCACACTGCCGTAACGCTTGACGGCTTTGGCAAAGAGGCAGGAAAACATGTTGGTGGCGCAGCAGTGCAGACGTGGAAGCATCTTGACGCCTTTGGCCAAAAGGCAGGAAAATGGGTCGCCGCGCACCCTGGTGAGACGATCGGTATAGCGAGCTGCATTGTCGCAGCACCGCTTGCCATCGCCGCTACGCCTCTTGTTCTGGGTGCTGCGGGGTTCGGAGCGGGTGGTGTAGCTGCCGGTATGCTTGCTTTTTCTGCCTTCTACATGCTAAGTATCCGCTGATCAGGATTCTGCAGGTTCTGCGGCTGCGGCTGCACAGGCAACTATTGGTAATGTTGCAGCGGGGAGTGTGTTTGCTGTGCTGCAGAGCGCTGGCGCCGGGGGTGCAGGGATGGCCGTTGTTAGTGGGGTTGTGGGGACGTCTGCTACAGTGGCTGCTGTTGGGGCGACGGCTCCGGCGGTGATTAGGGCTGTGATTGAGGATCAGGGTAAAGAGGATGAGGTCGAGGATAAAGAGGGCGGTGAAAAGGGCAGGACGAATGACACCGTATCATCCAAGAGCGAGTTGTAGTCTCCAGATCTAGCGGTCTTACTCTGTACGACGCGAAGCGTTGTAGTATAAACGTGTGCATCTAATAGATGTACCAGCTAGACTGAATAACACCTGTTTCTCAACAATTCAGGCGATTGCATAGGATTGGCCCACTCCCTTATCTCCCAATCCCGCCATCTTTTCCTTCACTTCCATGTAGCGAGTGACGTACACCAAGCTTCCCCGCGTTCCAATCAATCTCCGCACCCTACAACCATAACCTACACAGCACACGCGATCTCCATACTCAGCATGGGCATCCTAGACAATCCATGGAAAGCTATCGACGACATCAGCAAAGCAGCATCGCAACATATCGGGCCCGCAGCAGCAGAAGCCTGGAAGCACGTGGACAAGCTTAGTAAAGAAGCTGCAGCCCACGCCGGCCCAGCCGCAGAAGAAGCCCTCAAACACGCAAAAGCGTTTACCCAAGATACCGCTGCGCCCGCATACAAGCGCCTGGAGACGGCGGCGAAAGACGCTTCCCGCCATGTTGGAGATTTCGACTGGACGTCTCTGACTCGTTTTGGTGAAGATACGGGCAAACTTGTTGGGGCCACGGCAGACGAGGTATGGACTTCGCTGCTGAGCGGACAGATGCTCGATGCCGTGAGTCAGAAAGGTGGTTCCATGTTCGAAAACGTGCGAGAGCATGTACCCGGTTTGGGCGATAGGGTCGTTGCGTGGATTGTACAGCATCCCAAGGAAGCCGCTGCGCTTGTGGCATGCATCCTCGCTGCTCCAGCTGCCATGGCTGTCACGCCCGCCGCCTTGGGGCTTGCTGGTTTTACTGCCGGGGGGACGGTTGCTGGTACGTGTTCGCGTTCTAAGACTATATCTTCGGGTACGTTGATGGCTGAGAGTAGTTCCTAGGATCTCTTGCTGCTGCAGCGCAGGCTGGCATAGGACATGTAGCTATTGGGAGCTTGTTCGCTGTGCTGCAGAGTGCTGGGGCTGGTGGTTCAGGTCTTATTGCTGTCAAGGCAGTTGCTGGAAGCTCGGTTATGACGGGAACTTGCAGTGCTGCGGCTGTGAGCTTTCTGGAGGCCATGAAGAAGGGAAAGAATGGCGAGGATAGAGAGAAGTAGATGATTACAAACAGCTTGGATGAGATTGTGCGGGGAATTTGACCTGACACACTGAGGACAGCTCAGTTCCTGTCGTGTTTAGACTAGAAATTTATCTTCAGATGATTGACGCCTGAAGGGATAATAGTGTGGTTCAAAGTTAGTTCGGATATTACAAGTCCGTGGAGACACATCGTTTCAACATTAGATCTCTACGTTCATCCGACATTCCGGCGACCAAATCTCGAGCTATATACCGAAACGCTCTCCAAATTTTCGTATTACCATTACCTGCAATACCGCTCGTTCATAAACAACCCGAAACCCAAGGAGCCCAAAAAGGGGGTATAGTACGTTCCTCGCAATCCGAAAGACCCATATTCCGCCATATCGCTCACTTTTTTCCCAAGCGAAACCTTCTGAACAAGCCACTCAAACACCCCCCTTCTTTCTCGCTTCCCTTCTCATCCTCGTCGGCGGACATTTCCCGAATCATCATCAGCTCTTTCTCTTTCTCACTCTCGAGTTCATTAGCCCTCCTCACTCTCTCTTTGACCAGAGCTCTGTGCTTATCCGCAAATCCCAGCTTCGCTGTTTCCCGCTCCAATTTCCACATCGTGAGATTCTCTCGGCTAGGCATGGCCCGTTTCTCAAGACTCTGCGTGTACGTAGCCATGTCGACACTCATTGCTCTGTCTTTCTGCGGCGGGGAACGAACGCGATGAGGAATTGTAGCACTGGACCGCGAGCGAGAATGCTGTTGGTTGGAGATGGGGTGCTTAACATATTCATAGTGCGGATTTGCATTCAACCATGACTCGTGCGTGAATGTGACTACGGGGGGAGATCTGCGATGGTTTGATGTGTGCTCATGAGACGATGCTGTAAGGGCAGCGAGAGATTCGATGTGTGCTCTCTCGACCTGACTGTAGTATCTTTGCGGCTTTGGCCTTGGCGAGGAGCGAGGTGAATGTGTATCAACCATCATGTTGTATATGGGCAGAGATGATGTGCGTGAGGCTGGAACAGTTTTTGAGTTCATCGATCGAGCTGACTGGCCTACAGCAATGTCATATTGATGTTGATGGAAAGCGACATTTGGGTAGTGATGCTGGTATGGTGATGGTAACATCGTTCGCATGGGAGGTATAGCCTGCAAGGTGTACGACTGATCGGAACAGCCTGATCTGGGCCGTCGAATAGCAGAATCGCGCCCAGAGTGATATGAGCTCGAATCTGTCCTCAAATGCCTGGAGGACCTAGTGTCAAGACTGTAACGATCAGCCTGTCCGGTCGTGCCACCAACACTAGAAGGCCGTTCGAGTAACTGAGGAGGATTGCTCGTGGGGTGATTATTTCTGGGTAGATATCGTTCACCTGAATCAGTCCGATCGTGAACCGCTCGAGATTGGGCCAGAGGTGATGGAGACATTCTCGGTAGTGTCGATAGAGTTATGGCGTATGTACTGTGACCTGGAGGCTCTCGCTGAGCTATTGTACTCGCCACTGTCTGCTTGAGTTGGATCCTTGCTTGAGCCCTTCTCGCATTCCAACCTTGCTCGTATTGCAACGACTGTATTGGAGCATCAAAAACTTGTGTTGAAAGCGAGTGTTGTGGTGCTGACGTATACGATGGTGCGCGTGTGGTCGAATAGTGGGCATGGAGTCCCTCAGATGACGACACTCGCATGTCGTCAGGGCTTGATGAGACCCTCCTTGCCCTATTTTGTGTTCCTAACTGTCCTGCTCGGGCATAGTATCTCGTTGCATTGAATGAGCCGAAATCTGATGACGCATTGCTAGGAACGGGCAGCTCACTGATACTTCGCAGTGTCCGTCGATGGCCTGGTGGTGAGTGACTCTTATTAGAATGTGGACTAAGTGGAGCTGCAACGTTTGGATGCAGCTTCTGAAGAGGCATTAGAGATGCTGCTGCAGTAGAACGCTGTGAAGACCGCTGTCGATGTTGAAGTGCCTGAGATAACGATTTGAAGCTTGATAGGAGGCCAGATGTTCACGATCTAAGCCTCGAAGGATGCTGTGATACCTTTGATATTAGAAGAAGAGCGAACTGCTAGTACTTTAGAAAGTTAGGCGTGACCAGGTACGTAATGAAATAGAACACTTTGGGAGGGATTCACCACATCCAGTGTCACGGGACGGGCAAAGAGATGTGGGGGGTATCCAACGCATCATAATCTGGATCGCGGAAGGCTCTCTATATGAAGTGACTAAATGCTTTGCCAACAAAACACGACGGATCGCGTTAGTCGTGAGCATCGGGTGGAGCTGAAGGTTGTGTGACTTCCTTGCATGTACTCCGGAACGGGTTGCGGACCCTTGAAAGGTCTGTTCGGTTTGTTGGCGTTCCACAGCCGAAAGAAAGACGCGTGGATACCATGCGAGGACAGCACTGCTTCGTGTGTGCACCCGGGTGAATAGACTCCTATGATTGGCCAAGTCGTTGTCAGGCAAGAAGAAAGGGTCCATGTTGAGAAAAGAGAAGCGTCGTCGTCAATGTTTTTTTATTCTCAAGAATCTTATGGCCGCAAGCACAGACTGCCCTCTAGTGCTCGTGACCGTTTCCATATCAGTAAGCTATCTCTTGTAGGAGAGGCTACTTTGATGTTCCTGAGCGCTAGGCTTGATATACATAACAAGAGATGTAGTGTTTCTCAAAGACAACATCCAGTGGCCTTGCACGTTTCATACTTCCTGAAACTCAGGTATCACAACCTGGTTCGACTTTGTTGGTTCTTTGCAGGAAAAAACAAATCGATGTCGCAACACTACAGGGGGTATAATGGCGTAGAGATACGAAAGACGCGGCTAATGGGTTGACCCGATTACTGGGTATGTGTACCCATTGAAGATCCAGATTGCTCCTGAATGACTGCTCTTTCGCCGCATTCCTGGGTGTTTTCCGTTTGCTTTTGCGAGCATAACCGAGGAAACTAGCCTCTCGATGAAGTTTGCTGGCTCGTGTAGGGGTTGAGTGGAATATTACTGAGTATTGTCAAAACATGAACTTGCACTGTGCATTAGGATAAGCCTAAGACAGAACGCCACTACGAATTGCGGCCGGAGGTCGAACAGTTGTCAAGACGATGTCTGAGATAATGAGTCTGTGGTGTCTTCTTCGCGGAACTAAAAGAGGGGGTAGCGGCTTGGCGCTAGAAGTTAGTGTTTCCTCGCAAACATCCCTCGTCGCTCACTCGATCCGAAGCTCACCGTCTTTTATCGATATAGTAGCAAGAATTGTTGTTTTCACCCAGCATATGTTTCAGATCTCGGAAGCACAAATAGAGGTCGTATATGCAAGCTCTAGCAACCAACTAGCTAGAAGATCTCCAGCGCTACTATCCATTGGTAGCTGATAGGTACATCCAAGCCCGACAACAAAAGCTCTCACGGATCAAATGCCTATTGCTGTACTTTAGGCATGTCTCGCTCTTCTCGTCCCAAGAGCGCATTCTGAGGCTGTTGGTTGGTTCAATGTTTACAACCGCAAAGGATTCGCGTTTTAGCGAACCTATGACGAAGCGCATGATGTCATCCATGATAGATACGTTTCTAGTCTAAAGACAAAGTAGCTCTCATCTGACTACACAGAATTTCATAGCCAAAGAGGATAGCGAGACAACTTGCGTGCTCGTTGGTCTTATCGGATACGCTTTTGTCACAGCTCTAAAACCCATCGATTGTGAAGACGAACTGAAGCCCGATTCCTCTCGATTCCCTGAATTAGCATATGGAATCGAGGGCAAATGTGTTGCTTGGCGCAAAGAAGCCATGGCCCTTTTCGAGAAGCATAAACTAGACTCTACAAAAGTGCCAGCCGATACAATTGTTCTTCTGGAAAGACTCGAGCATGTGACGAGTTACAACGAGAATGTTGCTTTGAAAGGTTGGACAAAGAGGATGAAGCACCCGCAGGTTCAGAAGGAGACTCGGAATCGTGGGACGTGATGTTCAACGTGTACAAGGAGAAGAACAAGCCGAGGATGTACAACATTACTACGATATCACAAAGATGACGAGGACACAACGAGCGGAAACGTCATATGACGGCGAAGACCCATTGGCAGATTTTCTAGCTAAGGCTCTCAAAGAGAACTTGCTTGGGGTTAATCGAATGGAATGTAATGGGGATAATGGGCTATATAGCATAAAGATACCCTTGCGTGAGTTGATTGTTTGTCAAGCGGAATTTGGAATTCACTTTCCATTTGATATTGGTTACAACAAACACATACTGGGAGTGGCAATCGAGCATCATTGCACCTTCCCACGGCCATCTACTAACCAAATCTCTTCAACTATACCCTTCCGATACGCATAGTAAACATCGTGTAAGTTGATGGTCGGATCAATATGGCTGGGAACCATCTCGACGCGATCGCCGACCTTCAAATCCGGTCCATCGGTCCAAGCAAGCGATCCATGCTCATCACCCATAACCCCGTACGCATATCCCGCCGTCTTGCACTCCGCCAGCCCACTATCTGTAGTCAGAGACTTCAACCCCGCATCAATCGTGACACACTTTGGGCCTTGCTTGCTGAGGACTGTAGACAGAATAGTCAAACTGTTCGAGTACTTTGATCCAACAGCATTGCGATAATCTGTGTCCATGAACAAGAAAGATCCGGGCTGGACTTCGGTAACGCCAGGAACTGTGACGCAGAACTCCGCTGTACCAGTCCCTCCCGTGGTGACTACATCGATCTGATGCCCGTCTTTCCGCAACGCATCCGCGGTCTGTGTGAGAATCTGCATGGACTCCAGACACAGTCTCTTCCTCTCCTCCAGCCCGTGAATATGCTGTAAGTGACCCTCATACCCCTGCACCCCAATCAACCGGAGATGCTTCAGTCCGGCGACAGTCTTCGCGAGTTTCAACGCAGGCTCACCCGGCTGCACACCCGTCCTATGCAATCCGACGTCCAAATCAATCAGCGTCATGATTCTCTCTTCCGCGCCGCTTTTCTCTAGCGCCTCATCAATAGCTCTCGCCCCTTCTTCGCTATCAACTACAATCCTAATCTCCCTGAACTTTGCAAACAACTCCACGAGCCTCTGCACCTTTGCTGCCCCAATGATTTCACACGTGATCAACAGATCGGTAAGTCCCTTCTCGCACATGACTTCTGCTTCGCTGAGTTTTGCAACGCAAGCCCCTTTTGCACCTGCCGCGATGAGCCTTTTAGCCAAGATGGCCGACTTTGTGGTTTTAGAATGGGGACGGATATCAACACCGGTTGGGAGGAGTTGGGACATGAGTTTGGCGATGTTGGATTCCATCAAGTCCAGGTCCACGATCATGGAGGGCGTGTCGAGCGACGAGATCGGGTCCCCGACTTTAGGTGTGTATGGCATTTTTGCTGTTAGGGTTGAGATTGGACCGTTTGAGGCTTAGGACAAGATGGTGATGCGGCTCGAAAAAAGTATTTTCAGGTGATGTAGTGTACCTACAGTTGAGTTTCGTCAATCCCAATAGATGTTGTGTTGGTGATGAACGACGGATGGGTTGTGGAGGGGCCATCTCGATGTGGTAATCCGGCCGGTCAGGATCGGGCGCTAGCTTACAGAGAAGTTGTTTGTTCTCCGCCTTGTCACTGAACAAATACATTCCCTACTCTACTATTACAGGTTCAAAATCTGGACCGAGCTATCCCCCATTGTGAACATTTCGTCACGACACACCGACCGTGACGACGATTATACTATTGTACTATGGTACCGCACCAAACATAAACAACATTCGCAAATACACTGCCTTCTAGAAATCCCAAACTTCTGAGTCCTGATCCGAATGTAACGCTTCTAAGTTGGAATAAGAGCGAATTGTGTAACTAAACAATCCATCAAAGGAGTAGAAGCATCCAACCTGCTGCACCTATCACCAAGCTCTCCATCCATTTGGCAATTCCTCCACCATGTGTTGAGATAGCGGCTGCCTTACTAGTTTCGCTAATTCCGGTTGTGATGGGATCTCCGGGTTTGCCTCCACTATTACTGGAAATGGAGCTTAAGCTCGCATTCGATCGATTGGAAGAGCCTAGGCTCGCACTAGAATGACTGGCGGAGTTTGGGCTGGAGGTGTTCGCTGACATCGATTGAGTGGTGCTCGCGCTATTGCTCGCTGGAGTTCTCGGAATGGAACTCGTCTTTCCATCGATGACCAGCGCTGTTCCTTCCTCATCCAGAGAATATGTCGTTCCGCTGAGCGTGACCGCGCCGCCGGGTCTCAGCGTCGTTGACTCGTCGATGACATACATCGTTCTCCCATCTTGCACAGTTGCGGAATATACCTCCCCCCCAATAGCCAACGCTTGTATAGATGTGGTGGGCTTTTGCGCGAGTGTGGAGCTTTTGCCATTGATCACGATTATAGAGCCAGATGCGGATCTAGGCATAAAGAAAGTGGTTCCTGAAAACGTAAGGTCGCCGCCCGGAGTAAGTGTCTGATCCCCGAAGATGAAGGCGGTTGTACCACCTTCTACAGTAGCGCTGACGAGTCGAGTGGGTAAGGGAAGAACAGGCAAGCCGAGCGGAGGTAGAATTGAGGCAATGCCGTTGATGACGATAGTTGAGCCTGAGCCGCCAGATGGCAAGCTGAAAGTTGTCCCATCCAGTGTCAAAGCACCACCAGGCGAAAGAGTTTGTCCTGGTTTGAGCACGAAGATTGTGGCTCCGTTCTCTACCGTCGCGGTAATAGACTGTTTGTCTAGGATCAGGACAGGAAGGCCGGCACTCAATATTGATGTCATCCCATTGACGACTACTTTGGAACCCCGACCATTCTCTGGCATGCTGTATGTCGTTCCGTCCACAACAGCAGCACTACCTCCAGGAGCAAGCGTGTTTCCTTGCTCGAGGACGAATAGTGTAGATCCACCAATGATTGTCGCGGAAATGACGCCGCTACCTAGAGTCAAAACAGGAACCTTTGTTGCAGTCGGCATATTCTGAAGTGTCTGTGTAACACCGTTCACTACGGCGATTGTTCCACTTGGGCCCAAACTCAGTGTGTTGCCACTCACCACAATCGCTGGCCCACCTGGTTCCAGTGTCTTCGTGCCAGCGATGAACTGTCCCTGAGAGTTTGCTGTGACTGTGGTGTCTTCCATCGTGAGTACTGGACGCGGTACATGCGTTGGCCTGGGATGAAAGGCGATCGTGCTGCCATCGACGACCATCGTAGTGCCGCTCTCGCCAGTGGGTACAACGATAGGCATGATTTTGGATTCCTCAGGAGTAAATGTCACAGACCCTATCGCTATGGCTGACGGGACTCTGTCATGCTCATCAGATCTACTACTCTTATCTTGTGTTGGCTGTGCAGGATTCAGAACGAAGGTCTTGTCACCAATTGAGATCTTTTGGCCTGAGCCGTTAGACTGTGGCTGGTTTTGTTCCGTAGGACTTGGTTCGTTTCCAGACTTAGACTTCTCAGATGTTATTGTTGGTTTGGGGAGTATTGTATTACTGAGACGCTCTAGCTCTGATGTCGGGGTATGAGGAGGGTTCTTAGACTGGTTCGAGAGGTCTGAAGGCCTCATAGCCGGCTCCTGGGATGTAGTGCTGGATGCCGTGTCACATCTCAGGCAACCCTGTTTTGTGATATGAGCAGAGGTCGAGATTTGTGTTTTGTCAATCCACGTTTCTGTGGGGTACGTGATAAAAGGAGCTGGTAGTGACGATGTTGGTTGTAAGGTAAATGCTGCTGATGACTCCGGCGATGGAATTCCAGACGAGAGGCCGATATCGACAGGGCGAAGAGTACAGGTAGCGATGTCGGCACCCTTGTATTGCGACCCGATGTCTGGATCTTGCTTCAGGAAATTGATTAGTTGCTGCGGCGGCGGCAGGGGTTCACGGCTATGAGTTCTGGCAGGCGCGCTACCAGAGTAAGTCTGAATTAGGTAACTCCAATCCTCAGAGCGAGTCGGCTGCCAATTTGTCAACGTCGTGGGCACATTGTAACAAGTCGGCAGTGTCGAACCCCAATACGCTGACTGATCAGGGGCACCCCATAGATCAGTGTAGATAACATACGTTGGGCCTCTATCACTAGAATTGTGTCAGTAAAATTGCTTGGAGCTGTCAAGAAGTCTCTTCGTGGGAAGCGGGCGGCATGACCTACACAGTGAGATACACCCCCCTCGTTGGGGTAATTGTGAACATCGGCGTGCTGTAAGTAATCGTTTGGTTCCTCGAGCCCGTAACAGTCGTCGTCTGATTGAGTGTTCTTGTCTCAGAAACAACAGTATCAACCGATGTTCCTACCATCCAAGTAATATACTCCACAATCACGGTCTCCGTGATGATGATGCTAGTCCATGGTTGCTGTGGTTTTCCATCGTTCTTGTCATAGAACCGAGTGATGGGATACGCTTGGATTACGCAGCCTGTGCATGGTTCTATATGCGGCGTTGAAATATTTACGGCGGTAGTCGAGGAAGCATTGACTATCGGAGTGAAAGGGGAGTGGACCAAGGTCGTATGCCCGGCTAGTCGTAAAGTGACTGGAGAGGATTCCAATGAGGATTCTTCTTTGTGACCAGTTGGAGTGATAAGTATGGGAGATGGTGTCTCCTCTATGGAGCTGGTTTCCTGTGATGTGGCGCTGATTGATGCTGCAGGGATTGATGAATTCGTAACTAGTTCTGTTAATCGCAACAACTAACGTTAGTAAACCTCCATCTACATACATCCTGTGAAGTTTTAGTATACAGTATCTGTCATAACTTCTATATACTCACTTCTCTCGATGTGCAATTTGGCATTGGAGCCAGCTGCAAGCCAAAAAAGCGCGTACCTCCACATTGTAGCTCTTCTCTACCAAAAGTCAAGGAGAGGAACAAAGTCTCAAAGACTAGAGCTTGAGAGATAGGAGTGAAAGCTGAGGTCTGGACCCATATGAGTCACAATGCAGATCATTTGAAGAAGCAGTTCACCGGTGGGCTGAGTGAGCACGGGCTGCTAAGTATAACAAATGTGTGTCTTGGTGATCAAATGAGGCACCTAGAATTGGTAGCTTTGTGAAACTGGTCAGCACGTATGAGGTCTGGGCAATGCTACTTGGTCCAAAAGGTGCATGCCCAAAATGGCTGTGCATCCAGCCTGAGTGGAGTAAGATTCACTGTGTTACTTAACAGCACCACCGAAGGTCTTCGCCCACAACAAATTTTATATATACTACTGACAAGCCTTCGATTGCCGCAGCAGTTCGAGGCTCGGTTTTGACGTTGTTTTTTTTGGGTCTTTACTAGATCGGTTTTAACAGGGTTGGAGAGGTGGCATTCACGACGATCATATATAAGCGATCTGTCTCAAGCAATACACTAATTTTACGATTACAACCAAATCATGTCGACACCGGTGAGACAGCAGAGACAATGCCTCTATTGGGAGGAACTTACGTCTGGGGGCCGATTTCGTATTGGTGGCTACAAAGGGCTGACATATTTGATAAGTGTCTGCATCCCAACAGACAAAAAAGAGCACTTTGGTTGGAGGGTAGGAGCAAAGGCTTCTTGGATTAAGACATGGAATTGGTTGGTGATTGCGAAGCAGTGCGGTCATTGGTCCAGAGACCAGCCCTCACGCCAAAACATCATACCATTATATCAGCCCTATTATAGACCTCGTAACCAGCGACAACCTGTCTTCACACCAATCGTGGTTTTGCCAAGTCATGTCGTGCAACTTCTAGCAAGAGTGAGTCCTAGTAGACCGGTATTGTTTATGATTCGACAAAACTTCTCGGGGACTATGCCTCATGGTTTCCACACGACAGACTCTGTGTGACATTACTCTGTCTCATCTACGCAATTTGCTCTGGGCCTAGCGTCTTGTGCCTGCTTCTCGCCTTGTACGAGCACACTTGATCACCTCGACTATCTTTCCAAGCCACCTTCTCTCCTTCCCGCTCGCACTCAGGGGCATCATGGGCTTCGCCGCGCGAGCTGCACAGTCCGAGCCGCCGGCGCCGTACGTTATCCCTCCATCGCAAGAATTCGACGGCAACGATGGAAGTTGGAGCACTTTCAAGATCAGTGTTGGAACGCCAGGCCAAGACTTCCGCGTGCTGCCCTCGACTAAAGGCGGAGTCACATATGTGATAGCACCAGAAGGATGTCTGGCAGATATAGACCCCGTAGACTGTCCTAATAAACGAGGCGTCGGGGTCTTCGACAGTTCGCAGAGTTCTGGGTTCGATGTCGGTATATCGACGACGTGGTCGGCGATAGGACAGTATGAGGTGGATCTAGAGGAAACGCTTAATTACACTGCACAAGGACTCTTTGGTTTCGACAGAGTGTCGCTGGGTTTTGCTGCAGATGGTACCTCCCTCTCTTTGCCTCACCAGGTCGTGGCTGGAATCGCCGATTTGGACTATTTCATGGGTGTCCTCCCCTTGGGACTGCCAGAGGCAAGCTTCTCGAGCCTGAGCCAGTCTGTCGACTCGCTGCTGTATACGCTACGGAATGCCTCGAAGATCCCCAGCTTGTCGTATGCCTACACGGCCGGAGCCAGATACAGATTGAAGCGCGTGTTTGGAAGCCTCATACTGGGAGGATATGATTCGACGCGTTTCCAATCACATGCCGATAGAGTCTCATTCACATTCTCCTCGGACCCGTCGAAGCTGTTGACAGTCGGCGTCCAAAGCATCATGGCAATGAACACTCTGAGAGGAGCATTTTCACTGACTTCAAGCGCGCACATCTCCGTGCTCGACTCGACGATACCTCATCTCTGGTTACCGCGGGCCATCTGCGACCAGTTCGAAGCAGCATTCGGGCTGACATACGACGCCACGACAGACTTCTACCTGGTCAACGACTCGATCCACGACCGGCTCTTAGCGAAGAACCCGACAGTGACGATCAAACTCGCAAACTCCCTCAAACACACAGCAACGCAGTACACCAACATCCAACTTCCGTACGCCGCATTCGACCTCCAAGCCACCTACCCCCACTACCAAAACGCAACAAACTACTTCCCCATCCGCCGCGCTGCAAACACCACGCAATACGCTCTCGGCCGCACCCTCCTCCAAGAAGCCTACCTGATAGTCGACTACGAGCGAGCAAACTTCACCCTCGCACAAGCCATATTCCCCGACCCGCTCCCCGCCGCGAGAATAATCGCGATTACGCCTCCCACACGCTCCGGCTCGAGAAAACCCGGACCCAGCACAGGCACGATAGCCGGCATAGCAATCGGCAGCACCGCCCTCGTAGCCCTCATCCTCGCGCTCACCATCCTGTACTGCAAACGCCGCAACCGAAAACGATATGCCGGCACGCCCGTCGCGGAGCAATACTCCACCCTCCATCTCGCCAGCGAGGTCGCGCATGGCAAAGTACAAGAAATCGGCGGCACGCCGCTGGTCGAACTTGGCGCGCCACAGCATCCGAAGACCGTCTTCAGCGTGACTAACATGCTGCACGAACTACACGCCGCGCCAAATACACCCGTCGCACCGCAATGGCAGGGCGTTGGATTCCCCGTGCGCACATCAGCTCGGTATGAGATGGACGGGACGGGACGAGCCATGCTGTAAGCCAGACTCCGAGGAGTGCCAGGAGGGGGCCTAACCTCGATCCAAAAATGGCAAATGGTTCAGCTGCCGAGCTTCGTCCTTCTTTTGTACCACCTCCATCTCGCCATCTCCGTCTCAGCTCGCCGACGCAGCATGGTCTACGGTACACTGACCCTCCATGTGGATTCTTGGCTTGCGTCTCCATCGCGATGGGTTACTTACTAAAGGTTGTGGGGAAAATTGGAATGAGCATGAGGCTGGTGGATTGGATTGTATCGGATTGGATCGAAGCGAGTCGTGTACTACGCTCGTGTACCGATTTAGTTTTCTGTAGAGTAGTGGATCATGTAACGAGACCGATCACGTACCGAGAGTCGATTGCGCGCAATTCTCAGCCCCTCTCCACTACAGAATTTCAGAAGTGATTAAAAAGTAGAACCTTCTTTACCTGTCTACTAAGAAGAGTTTTTTTATTCTAAATCTCTAAGAATAGTTTTCTTACTGCTTATCTAGCTATCAGAATAGAGGATTAAAGTTCTAAGGGCAATATATTAAAATCTAGAATTTAAGCCTAATTAGAGAGAAAGTGAAAGATTACTCTTAGAAAGAATTCTAATACAAAGATTTAACTCTAATGTAGCCTAATCAGATTGTTAATGCAGCTTTTCGTTGTAAAGTTACAGCGTTGCGAAGTCGAGTCTCGGTACGTGATCGGTCTCGTTACATGATCTACTACTCTAACTATAAAGATGTGCAGAGCGAGCGTGGAAAGCAAGGATAGGTTAGGAAGAGATGCGTAACCCTTTATGTGTTATTTTGGTGCTCTATAGTTCAGGAAGTACATACAGGTCAGTTGATCTGTCATGTATGTTAGACTAGAAACGATAAATTAGGCTTAGCACTTCGAAGTATAAAGCTCTTTCAAAAAACCAACCCGAGTAATCAAACACATCCGGGTATTGGTAATGCTAAAACTAGGAGATCAAATGTGATTAGTCGAACAATCATTAGATTATGTCATGGACAAATTATCGTTCATATTCAAGGAGTGCGAGTTTTAAAGTGTATCAACGAACAGGTTCAGTGCTGTGATTGAGAATTTCCATCTTTCAAAGCGGCAATGAGAACCCCATTCCCAAAGACCAAACAAAGCGAGAGACTCAGCTAAAGACGTATAAATCGGTTTGATATGACCGAGATCTACTCATATTATGCCACGTTCTCCATTCCTTCCTGTAGGTCTCCCTTTACACGACCGGGCCGGCAGCCGAGTGCGCCGACGCGCCCTGACCAGGGCCGATAGACTGCTGCGTAGCCTTCCTGTGAGCCTCCTCCCTCTCCCTCTGCTCGCGCTCCAGTTGCTCCTCGGTCCGCTTGTTACCGCGCGCAATTAGCTTCTCGAGGAGACCGCCCTTCTTTGGCGAGTCGTGCTTGTCTGAGTGGTCGTACTCCTGGAGGTAGGCGACGCGGTCTTTGGGGTCCATGGCGGCGAGCTCTTCGTCGATGGATTCGCGGTTCTCTGTGGAGGGGGCGGGTGGTTAGTTTGGGCTGCTTGGGGGATGTGTGGGGGAGAGGAAAGGGTCCAGTGTAGTTGGAAATCGAGTCTATCGTATATGCGAAGCTCAAGTGTAGCATGTTTACATACCGGCAATGGTGCCTACACCTCCGGTGGTGCCATGCTTGCTGAAGTCGTTGTCAGGCTGAGACGCGCGGCGGCTGCTGCCAATGTGAAGCTTCTCCTTGATCTTGTCCATTGTTGCTGGATTTAACTTTTTGTGTGAATCGGGGGATGTAGGAGTGACGTCTGATTCGCAAAGTCGGAGTAACAAACTTGTAGTGTTGTTGGCGAGGGAGGAGTGGGCGGGGCTGGAAGCTACGAAGAGGGGTGTGTTTACCCGTCGTATGCACTACGTCATGGGCGTGTTAGGTGTCCATTTGCTGGGCAGGCTAAGCACTGCCTGTTCAATCGGCCCAATGGGAAGCCTTGCTGCTCTGCTCTCCAAGTATTTCTCCATCGCATGTGGAGCATCGTGCATCCTGTCCAGATGATTATTCAGAAGAATCGGGGCTGGGCCCCTGGTACAGAGGATCCAAGCCACTCTAGGTAGCACTGTGCCGCCATCCGTTTGGAGATCGACTTTCGATCGTTCTGCCATGCTTCTTGCAAGGTTAGCTAGTGATACTTAGCCTCGGCGTACCAGATCAGTCTGAGTTTTGTGCATGAGACTCCACAGCATCAGCCGTACCATTCCACATCGTATCTAGTAGATGGGCATATACTACAAAAACCGGGTCATACATCGAGTGTCGAGGAGTTTGTCCCTCCTGGTCCGTTTCGCGTAAGCACTATCAAATCTTGCTATGTGTTCATCGTAAAGCTCTGTTCTCCCCCGACTACTTCGAGGACGGTACCTGGAGAGCAAACAATATCAGCTCGTGTGTTCGTAGCAGATGTGATTACTTTGAAGCATCTGCTCTCCGGCACTGGTATACTACAATGTGTTTCCCCTCTAATCCTATTCCAATTCGCCAGGTGTATACAACAGCGTACAACAACAACATCAACAACTCGGTGACCAAGCTGGTCCGGTAGGTTTGCGAGGCCCCAGTTGGTTTTGGATCGTGAAAAGGTTTCCTAGTGCAACAACGGAACCTCATCTACGGCATGGACATGTGTCTGCTTGTCCGTCCGTAGGGTGCAATGTAATCATGAATAGGCATTGTGCCGTCTCCTCATACCGGCAGGCCGTCGTTGTCCACAAGCTCAGACGGTCCGCTGACGGCGCCATACACTCGTATCGGGACCTGCACTTCGAAGCTCTCAGCTGGCAGTCTCTGCGCTGCCGCCAAAACAACACCCCTATCGTCACTCGATATCTCTTCGAGCAAATCGTCCCACAGAGCTTCCTCTCCATCTTCGAAAGTCACACGCGGCGTGATGAATTCAACCCTCAGCTTCCACTCCAAGTTCACACCACTTGTGATGAATTCCGGTGTCGCATTCGGTGGAATGGTAGGCGAGAAAGCAAGTCTTTGCGCAAACAGTGCATTATCGGAAAAGGATGCATGTACTTTTTTAGTGGCGCGGTAGATGGACGCGTTCGATCGTAATGCTATTGCAGGATCCACTTTTTCCGAAGTCTCGAGGGAGACATGGATTGAGTAGCAGGGTATGTGCGAGTCGGTAAAGTCGATCACTGCGGACATGGTCTCCCCTAGTCGGTAAGCGGGCCGAGCCAGCATAATTACCGCCACGCGCCGACCACTACGAGCAATCTCGAACCGATTAGCGCTCTGGTTTGCTGCGCCTGTAAGGTTACTGCGCAGGATAGCTGTGTCGATGGCTTCTTTCATGGTGTGGGGTGCTTCGGCAAACGAGGATCGCCCGGGAACGGTCTCAGTTGGTGATAGCAGGCCCATGCTTGAATTTTGCCGCGGTCGATCAAGGAGATTGTCGACATAGTCGCGAAAATCATCAAATGCGGTGCTGTCTACTTTTACTGTAATGGATCCTTTCTTGCCCATGGTGGGAGTTGTTGCAGCGTCCACGGTTGTTGTGCGGGCTTGGTCGCGCAGTATGATGTACGGTGACATCAGATCATGTCCGAGGATTTCGCCGCGGCCTTTGTATAGGTCAGCATGAGGTTGCCGGTAGGGAAGAGAAAGTCATACTATTCACACTACCAAATACCCGAAATGGGACTTCTACGTGTCTCACTTGTTGATCTTTGGTCGACCCAGCACGCTGGGTACCTATGGTAAGATTGTATGCCACCTTCATAGAACGTCCCTTGTGTGAAGGTGGCAAGCCTCGGGGTATGGTGAAGCTGTATGTATAACTGCGACTTTGACCAGGAGCTAATTTCAGGTCGACAAACAAGATGGACTGTGGCGTGGTGATGAGAGGGACTGTTTTTGAGCTGGCGATGCCCCTCATTTCGCGGATGCTCGAGGGTTCAGAAGAGCCTAACAAGCCACCTAGAGACTCCCCCAGGTTCCCCCACCCCAGAGCCCCAAACAAGCCACTGTCGCGCTTTGTTCTCTCGACCCCAACCACCCCGCCGCCTCCTTGACCCCCTACGACTCCCTTTCTCTTTACTTCTTCAAAAGGCGCCTGGTTGATGAGGGACCCGTCGAGGGTGAAGGACCCCATGATCTGAGCATAGCCCATCATGATGGATTCTGAAGCGTACTGCCGATTCGGTGGTGCCAAAAGGCTGGATCGTCGTTGGTGCACTGCTTTTGGTAGGAGGCGAGCAGACGGGTGGGCTGCGTACTCTGAGACCAGAGTCTCGGTGGAGTTGTTGCTTATGGAGTAGAACTCTCCGCTGCTGCGTGGGGTGCCGTCCATGCTAGAGCCAGATAGTATTCGCGCTACCGGGGAGAGGATTTCAAGGTTGTGGTTGGTTGGCATGCGGCGGGATTCGCCCTGCAGTCGCGGAGAGGGACGTCGCACTGGGGCGACTGGCGTGGGCGGGACTTTGGTGTCGAAGTGGTCGGTTTCGTCCAATGGGGCAGCGTCAGGCGGCGGGGCGGCGGGGAACTTGAAGTTGGAGGAGAAGGAGCCCGACGGCTTTCGTGTTGTGACGGGGAGGGCAGGCGTGCTGGGCGTCGTCGTGATGCCGGACCTTCGTCGTGGGGAGCGCGCAGCAAACGCGGAGTCGGCTGCGGGCTCGTAGATGACGGGCGGCGTGGACAGGCCAGCCGAGAGCGGCGAGGGGTGGGTTGCAGAGCGGTGGCCGGGCGAGGCGGCTATGGGCGCGTCAGTTAGGGGAAGGTGCTAGCGGTGGTGTGCGTACTTGGATGCGAGCTGGGCCTGCCGGGCACGACCTGCAGACTGGCCGACCTGCCATGGCCCCTCGCCGGGCGCCGCGGGGTGGTGCTGGGCGCGGGCTGGCTGGCGTCGGGGGCGGCGTTCGCGCCCAGGGAGATGATGGACAGCGAGCGGCCGGGCCTCTGGCGCGCGCTGCTGCTGCCCAGGGCCTCGCTCGGCGAGATGTACGAGCGGCTGTCGCCCGCGTTGGAGGCGGTGCGCAGCGACAGCGTGGGGCGGTGGCCGCGCAGATGCGACGGCGGGGCCTGCGAGGCAAACGACGAGTTGCGCGACACGGACGGCCTGGTCGACGAGTGCACAGGGGGCAGCTTGCGCTGTCGCTCCCCGCCATGGCCGAAGCCGTTCTGGCGGCGCGTCGGCGAGCTGTCGTGGCCCTCGACGGGCGCCACGTTCTTGAAGGTGATTGTGCATTCTATGTCTTCGCCAGCGAACACGGTCGAGTCCTTCCATTGCACGAATACCCGGATATTCGACGCGGACATGGTCGGGAGGCTGGTCGGCGCGGGCTGCGGGTCAGGGGGCGTCTCATCGGGCAGGTTCGTTCAGCGACATGGCGGCCCCCAGACAGACGGCGAGACGGCGCAGAGAAGGGGTAGCGACTGCAATTGAGCCCGTGGTGACGCGAGAAGAGTGACGGAGTCTTCTGCCATAGTCCGCATCCATGTGCACTAGTGGGAGACTTAGCGCCAAAGCATCGGGTCGTCCCAAGCTCAAGCTCCACTCGACCTCCATCACCACCAAGCTCCTTCGTCACATGTCAATTACCTCATCAATTCATTACGACGAGTATACTGTGTTCAAAGCAACAATGCATACGTCATAGAACAGTGAGGAAATCAATTGTGGCTTGCAGGCTACCTATGGCCGCCTGAACATGATATCGTGAGTATACAGCAGAACACATGGAGAGTACATTTTAGTCGTGAAACCAACACCAGGAAAAGCAATGCGTCACATCTACAACTTCGCGGCACCCGCTGGCGGTCCCACGTTTGTGATCTCGTTGTACAGCAGTCTGTCACTAGTTAGTATCCAATCTATACCACGAGATGGTGCAACTTACGATGTCAGGAACTCGGCGTAGTCCTCACCAGTCACCTGGCTCTCAAAGTACTTGGCTGCTGTCGAAAACTTGTTGCCCTTTGGTGCCTTCTTGGCCAGCGCCTGTGCTTGCTCACCAAGAAGCTTGAGAGAGTAGGCCTTGGTGACCTTCTTGCCTTCAGCCGTGTCAACTTCGTGTCTTGTCCATTGCCAGAGCTGACTCCTGGATACTTCGGCGGTAGCGGCGTCCTCCATGAGGTAGTTGATGGGCACGCAGCCGACACCTCGAATCCAGGCTTCCATGTAGGTGAGACCAATGTCTAGATTTTGGCGAATGCCCTCCTCGGTAACCTTTCCGGGTACGTTCATGTTCAGCAGGTCGTTTGCAGTGATGTGGACATCCTCACGGCGGATATGCATTTGGTTGGGGCTGGGCATGTGCGTGTTGAAGACATCGGAAGCAATGGCAGCGAGCGCTGGGTGAGCAACCCAGGTGCCGTCGTGGCCAGCACGTACCTCGCGCAGCTTATCGGCGCGAACCTTGGCCATGGCAGCGTCGTTTGCGGCTTTGTCGGTCTTGATGGGGATTTGAGCAGCCATCCCTCCCATAGCATGAACGCCTCGCTTGTGGCAAGTCTTGACGAGCAGCTTGACGTATGCATCCATGAAAGGTACAGTCATAGTGACGGAGTCTCGGTTGGGGAGGACAAAGTTGGGGTTCTGGCGGAAGCGCTTGATGACGCTGAAGATGTAGTCCCAGCGACCGCAGTTGAGGCCGGAAGAGTGATCCCGTAGCTCGTAGATGATCTAGAATTTGTTAGCATATTTGAGACTTCCCCAAAGGTTGTGCCTCTCATACCTCATCCATCTCGAAAGCAGCTGTGATGGTCTCGATCAGAACTGTGCCTCGAATGGTGCCTCGTCGCATGCCGATGTAATCCTGAGACAAATTGAAGACGTCGTTCCACAGCCTCGCCTCAAGATGCGATTCCATCTTAGGCAGGTAGAAATATGGACCAGATCCGCTCTTGACGAGCTCGTGTGCATTGTTGAAAAAGTAGAGACCAAAGTCGAACAGTCCACCGGCAATGGGCTCGCCATCAACAGTGAAATGCTTCTCCTCGAGGTGCCAACCTCGAGCACGGGCAATGAGAGTGGGGAGTGTACGGTCAGTGCGGAGCTTGTACTCTTTCTCGCCCTGCTTGAAGTCGACCTGCTTGCGAATCGCATCATAGAGGTTGAGTTGACCGTTAATCATGTTGTCCCATGTTGGTGCAGTCGAATCTTTCAGATATCAGTCTTACAATACTTTGAATACTTCACAAACTGAATACTTACCCTCAAAGTCGGCCATATATGTCCAGACATCCGAGTTCAAGGCGTTGACAACCATCTTGCGGTCCGTTGGGCCAGTGATCTCTACTCGCCTGTCCACAAGGCCAGGAGCTGGTGGTGCGCCCCTCCATGCATCGTTCTCACGAATGTGCTTGGTTTCTGGAAGGAAATCGAGCAGGTTTCCCTTGTCGAGCTCAGCTTGGCGAACTACACGTCGCTGGAGGAGAGCTTTCCGGCGCTCATTGAATGTGCGATGTAGGATGGTAAGGAAGACAGCAGCATCCTTGCTGAGGATATGACGGTTCTTGTCGTTCAGGTCGCCGAGAATGTTGACCTCGCGCAGGATAGTTTCAGGCTTAGCTGCCATTGTGATTGATTTAGCTGTACTTGAGTACTTGTCTTAGTTCAAGGTAGGAAGGATGAGGAATGCAATGCTGAATTTGTGCGGAGTAAGGGTTGGGAGGCCAATGAGTATTATCTACATCAGAGACGTCACTCATATCGAGTCCGGACCGAGGATCTTTTATCATCAGTGACGATTTACGCTCGGCCGGATGATGTGAATGGTGAACCCTAGGCCAGCTCCGGGCGAAAGGTGCAGCTCAGAGAGCTTCAAGCTTGTGATGAGGCCAAAGCGTCCAGTCAAATGCGGGGATTAGCCCCACCCAATGGAACAACAACCTTGAAGAAACAACCATCTGCCGTCGCCGGCAACAACAGCATGAGTTGGGAGTGTTATCTCGATTATCACACACGTAAAAGATATCCCCGGTATGAGTCTAGAGCTGTGGATATCGAGGGCTGTCGACGGCCGAGACCGGCAACTGACGGAAGTCGTGATGCTGGTGTTCGAATTCTTCCGAGGCTTGACGGCCATTGCCGATCTGCAGCTACAAAACACATAGCTTCAATGCGCCTTCGTCCGGGCGCAGAACCATACCGACTCTCTTAGCCTTTACTGAATGTTGCTGCATCGTTGCATCTTTACACAATGCTGGTTGTCACGACAGACCTCGGCATCGACTGTGACGTCTTCTGTAAGAGTGACAATAGGGCTTGTTCCATACCTAAAAGGTCTCGGGAACCTGTTCGATATCAATGAGCCTTGGTGGCGAGTGATCTGGTGTGGTCCTGGGACTCTGATGACTCTTCATTTGAACGTTTCGACAACTCTCTACAGATCGAAAGAGCATAGAATGTCTGGCACGAGTAGATGCCGAGCGGATCGCCTGAATGACCAAAGCACATGCTTCACGGGGACAGAATAAGTTCGATATTGATCAGTGTTAGATATGGACACGATCGAATCGCCACGACTCTGGTCACTAGTACGGGTAAGACGGTGCAAGGGACTCCCGACCTCTTGTGAGATGCTGTTAATGAACGTGTGTATTTTCATATATATCATAAACTAATCGTTGAGTAGAAATCATCTTGGACTTCAAGCCTCCCTCACCTATCGCTACATGACGTGCCAAGCACTGAGCTCCATCGACTCCCCAAGCATCATGCTCATCTTATCCAACATCTCAAACCATGGTCGGCGTAATCAACTGTGGTTTACTCTCCGCCTTCAGCCCCCAACCGCACACCCCACTTCCACCGCAAGTTCCGCCCATGTTTACACCGACCTTGAAAAGTGTCTGTCCCCTAATCGTCGCCCTGAACTGCTGGCCATACACAACCAAGTTCAGCATGTGCGTGAACTGCAGTTTGAAATTCGATGGTGAGAACTGGCCATCGTCGCCCTCAAGAACGTGCATATACCAGTAGCCGGTGGCATATGAGGATGACTTGCAAGGCCATGCACGACCCACAGGACTGTCGATGAACCATTCGGCCTTGCAGTCAAAACCCTGGCTGCCACTCGGAACGATGACTGGCGTGCCGTTGTAGGATGAGTTTCCGAGGTTGTACTGATTCGGGTCGGTGATGACTGCTGTGATTGTGGCCCACGGATAGTTTCCTAGATGTCGTTAACGTGGTGCAAGCTCGCCGCTTGAGCTACTTACCTGGACGGCCTGATGGAACGTTTACGCCGACAGTGGTGACTTGCCAGTCCTCAAGGGCGGCTTGGCGAGCTTTGATGGGCGATGCCGTCGCAGAGGACATTAATGCCACGATGGCGATCAGAAGCGAGGAAGAAAATTGCATCGTGAAGACTAATCGTCTGGAGTATTGATATAAGAGCGATAACAAGGTGTGAAGCTGGTGTAGTGCCAGTTGATGTGAGGTTGAGTCTTGTCAAGTGTTATGAGAGAGTGTATCGGTTTCCACGGTGCTCTCTTTATAAACTTGAGAGATCGTAGTTCAGAGTATTCTAAAATCCGCGGTTAAGCCTTGTACGGTACGATGTGGGCCCTCGTTCCACACGTAGAAAAGACGATTGGCCAAATGTCAACCACATTCATGCATCCTGGTATAAATACAGAAGTTCTGTCAGCACAAAGTATGCATGACAATACTACCCGTGGTCTTCTAAGCAGACGTACGACCAGCAATATAATGCTACCGAAGGTCTGGCTATGAACCACCATCAGGCCACCAGGCCCACCATGATTGAAACAAAGCATCCGGACTCGTATGCTACTGTCGAACCGACACATAAAGACATGGAGGTAGAAGGTATGGAACGCACGGCATGCGCCCAGTCCGCTAGACTTATTTTGGTCATTGGTAAAGTCAATATTCAACAATGCAACTCAAGGAACGATGGCCAAGAGTCTCAGTTCCCGTTTCGATGCGTGCAGGGATGGCCGATTCGTAAGCTTCGTCGTTCACTGGATGAAGTACCTAGATGAGAAGCTCTCCAATATAACGATATGCGAAGAGTCGCCACAAGCACGATATTGGTGACATTGAACCAGTGTTGTTACATGAGGTGGAATACTGACTGTTGCATTGACTTAATGACTTTGCCTCCTTCGTAGACCAAATTCCCTCAAGCCAAGTTCATTATTGCCACCATAAATTGTTTCCCGGAACGTTGGTCATAGTGAAGGATTGCCGGCCCGGAAACATCCCACGAGACCAGGGAAACGCAACCAATCGAAGTCGACTCACAGTTGACGAGTCAGAAGCCAAAGCATACACCAAATCAGAATCATTGTTCCTCCTAACCATCCCTCTGTCATGATACATTTTCGTCGCAGCACATCGGCTGCCGAGTCTAGATTGTTTGTCGGAGACGGTGGAGAAGACAGCAAATTGCTATTACTAGTACTCGACGGCCAAAGATTATCGCGTGTGCTGGTGCCGGTGATAGGATGTGGTTGATGCGACGCATCAGTGACCTGGATAATTGGCATATCTAGCGGGATTGTTTTGGTGCCCACGATGACCTCTACCTTGCCCGTCGAACTTTGGACTACAACTGGTGTATTGTTGATGATGACAGTTTGACCAGGTTCAACCGCAGTGGAGCATCCTGCTATGAAGTACTCCACTGCAACTTGGATGATGATGACCCTTCTAGAGCCAACAAATATCGTTGCTTGAGCTGGCCGTTCGATATCGCCTTGTTGCTCTGTACTGTGGCTGTCCACCCAACCCGTGGCGGGAATTTCGATGAAGGGAGAGCATGCTTGACAGGGGTTCGTTGAGGTGAAGTTGGGTTCTGAGACCTCCAAACGGCCGCCCTTCGGATTTGCAATATCAGTTGCCTCCAGGAGTGTCGGTGGAAAGCCTCGATCAATCGATTGTGTTATCGATGCACCTGACGTCTCCATCCTGAACTCGCCGATATGATGGACTCGCCGATGTAAAGAGATACTTTTGTTACATTGTAGAACGAAGAGACGAACCCGAAAGTTGAAAACATGAAAGTATAGGTACAGACGGAGTTGTCAGGGTTGAAGAACGCAGTTAACCGACTCAGCTGAACTAGAGTGATTGTGATGTATGTGACGGAACCCGGAAAGTTCATGCACGCTGCCGGCGAACTGGTGAGCATGAACGGCCAACAATGGTATGTGGCAACATACTCGGGTACCACAAAGCACAATCGCACCGCCTAACAGGAGAAATATATGCCTTCTCACCTCTCACTTACCTGTTGAAGCTACAGCCAGGGATCGCGAGGTAGCCCATTCGGTTCATTGAGTTGGTTTGACTTGGAGATAGCAACTCTACTAGCACTTCCGCTGATGCTACTGCTCCTCGTATATACGTACCGATCAGGCGTAAGGGTGGGTCTGCGGATATGAGGACGTGACGCCAACGTAACACACATCCCGAAGGAATTTGGAAAGCTACTGCGACAACTAGTAGAAGTGAGCCGCCCAGACGATGGCAACTGATCGAGAGCTGGAGTCGACCATCCCGCCATGGCTACAAGCACATTGCGGTTGCCAGTCCATCACTCATTTTCCATTTCGAGCCAGATCGTGAGTTTACGTGTTTGAACTACAGGCGAGGCGAGGGCGTAAGACGATGGAGGGGAGATGAGTAAGCGCCAAAAGTGACGCGTGCACGGGCCTGGCTTGGCTTCCCACTCGCTTAGCTAGCCGTTCGATATTCCAGTGCGAACATCCTCAGTCTTTTTCGACAGCCCCGACTAACCCCACGACAACACAGGTTGCATCAGAAGCCCGACACCAAGGTACGCTCTACAAGACCGGAATTCCAACGACAGCCCGACGCTCCCCGCATTGCGATTCCCGAGACCACCTTGCGAAGCACATGCTCCATCTGCACACCCCGAAGAGGATTGAGTCGCGCGCGAGCCACCAGTCTTTCGGGCTACGAACACTCTTCGAGGGTAGCAGTGGGGGTTGTGTGTTGGCGAGGACGGCCTCGGGGCAATTGCTGTGGTTCTGGGAGACGGCATTGCAAGACCACCGGCTAACTTGATTGTGGGCAGCAGTCTTCTGACCAAACGCAATCATGGGGTATCTACACACTCGTCCCCTCCTTGAAGACACAGTAGCTAACGCCGTGCAGTATCTCACGAGACTCTCGCCACAAGCGTTCCGCTTCCGGTGCGAAGAGGGCATACTACCGCAAGAAGAGGTATGCATAACCCGATCGCTTCTCTAGTCATGTCTAACATGGCTCTAGGGCTTTCGAGAAGGGCCGCCAGCCCGCCAACACCCGTATCGGTGCCAACCGTGTCCACCTCGTCCGCACCCGCGGCGGCAACCGCAAGTTCCGCGCGCTTCGTCTCGATGCCGGCAACTTCTCATGGGGCTCTGAGGGCATCGCCAAGAAGACCCGTGTCATCGGTGTCGTCTACCACCCCTCCAACAACGAGCTTGTCCGCACAAACACCCTGACCCGGTCCGCCGTCGTCCAGATCGATGCTGCTCCTTTCCGACAATGGTACGAGGCCCACTACGGTCAGTCTCTTGGCCGCAAGAGGCAGGCCAAGTCTGGCGAGAAGGAGGAGGACAAGAAGAAGTCAAACGCCGTTGTCGCCAAGCAGGCCGAGCGCCTCAAGACATCCGGCAAGATCGAGAACACTGTCGAGAAGCAGTTCGAGGCCGGTCGTCTGTACGCCGTCGTCTCTTCCCGTCCCGGCCAGAGCGGTCGCTGCGATGGTTACGTTCTTGAGGGCGAGGAGCTTGCCTTCTACCAGCGTCTTCTCAAGAAATAGGCGTGATATTTGGGGCTTCTTCGGTGCATCGGTTAGGTCAAAACTGGGTGTTAGTCATGTATCTGGTCTGCATAGTGGCTGGGTAATGAAAGCACTGGGCGTGATATCGCCATTTCTCTAGATACCACGAGGCTATGAATCACGGGTTTCTCAAATGTTAACCCTTTTCCCGTGTAACCTGTGATGTTGTTCTCATGTTATTTGAGTAGATTGATACCTACACCCATAATGATGTCGATTGTCTGGCACGTTATCAAGTGAAGGTTTACCATCGTTCTTTACTGTCAATCCTATCGGTTGGTCGTCACCTCACATGCTCCATTGTTCGATCTTCACTTAGGTATACAATTTTGTTAAGTTTGATCAATCATGCGCCCAGTATCCTGATCAACCCTCCTTACCCCGATTCAATATCTCTCACCAAGCTTGTCAACCTCCAGTGGTATTTTCAAACAAGGGTCCGCAACCCCAAGACGTTGCTGCATAGGTTTGTTCAAGTCCTAACCAAAGCAAGCACAATAAACACGAAGATCCTGCCAACTTCATCTCCAAATGGTCTACGTGCGTTGCCGAGAAATCGTGACCTTGTTAGTGATGAGAGGATGCAATATATCGACGACGTAAATATCGACGACGTAAATATCGACCCTTGAGCATGGACGCACACAGTAGCATGCATTGGGTGGGTTGTTGTTATGCTAGATCGACGCGCGGTGGGAAGTAGTGGATGTGATATGGCGTTGTAAATCAAGAGTCGATATCGAAGTCGATCAAAAAAAGGACTAGCGACAGTCTTTCTTGAACAGCTCCCACGCTTCAATCAAAGCCTTCTTGAGCTCTGCACGCTTAGCCTGCTCGTCGCTTGCAGCCATCTCCGGCTGGGCGTTCAGCTTCTCCACGTAGCTCTCTCCACTGAACAAGACACGCAGGTTGATCCACGATGGCACCACTTTGACCTCCTTCACTTGAGCTCCACCAGAGAGATGCTTTGCCAGCTCTCCATGTAGACGCTGGATGTAGACGTCCCACTGCTCCTGACCCCCCTCTTTCTTCACCCACTCCTTCCCGAAGCCCTTACCCGCCGACTCAATCTCAAGAACCAGCATCAGCGACACAAGACCGCGGTAGAAGTTCTTGATCTCAGCGTACCCGCCACTGAGAAGCCAGTGCAGGTCGTAGAACGAGCGGATGCGGATATTCAGCTTTGAGACGAGGCGCTGGCAGCCTGGTGGGAAGAGGCGGATGCTGTAGTCGGGCGGCGGGGACATTTCATTCGTGGGCTTCATGATCTCAAATTCGTTCTTGCCGTACATGATGGCTTTGGTCTCGGCGTAGAACTCCTTGCTTACCCGCAGGACGTTGATGTTGATGGTGTGGAAGCGGGAGAAGCGGGTTTTGTAGCCGTTGACTGTGAGCTGGGCGAGGGCGTATGCGATGCCTGGGAGGAGTTCGCGGGGCTCGGCGTATAGGAAGGCTTTCTTCTCGTCGTGGAAGGCGGTGTGCTTTTGGCGGACGCAGATGAGGGCGGGGATGAGGAGGAGGTGTTTGTAGACTTTCTGGCGGATGGAGAGGGGCAGGCTCATGAAGGGGAATGGCTCGGTGGTGACAGGGGGATCGATGGTCATTGCGAGAGAAGCGGATGAGTCATGCTTCTCGAGAATACTGTTGCTGGGTGCGATGGAGGCCTTTAGGGACGGAGGTGCGAGTGAGGTTAGGTCTGTAGAGGAAGTGGTATCAACTTCACTGATCTCGCTGAGCTCTATGTCGGAGCCCTCTTGTGGTTCTGCGAAATAAACAGATGGAGAATCGTCGTTCTTTGAACCTGCGTGACGCTTGGGGGTCGAGTTCAAGGTAGTGCTCGTTTCTCCAGCATGAGCAAACCGGACTCGTTTGCCTAACCTTCCAGTAGACGGAGGCGTCATGGGGAGATAGGACAAAGGTGGAGGGGTCGTTGGGCGTGTGGCCGACATTTCGATCTTGGAGGTCAATGTATCGCGGTATGAGTATGGTTGGATGCGTCTTAGTGGGTGTACTGAGCAGTTGGGACCCCCTGACAGATGGAGCAATGAGAGGATGGGTGACTGTTATTTGAGACATTGCATGAGGGTGAGGGTGAATTTGAGTAAACGCTAAGCGAGACGTCTGAATAGACAGATTGGTGGGGACTGACGGTTTGGGGTGTGGGTCAGGCATAGTAAGGTGAAGGTGAAGGAGAGTCAGCTGACGATGAGGGGGTAGTGGAGCATCAGGTAGGAGACGGAAACAGAGACGGAGACGAAGACATTACTGTGGAGTACAGGTATGTAGAGACTTGAAAAATACGTAGGAAGAACAAACAAGGGAATGACAAGGGAAGAGAGCCTGAATACTTCTACTTGGCCCTAGTGAACTGTTTGTGGGTGGGTGGTTAGCTATATCTCTGTGATCTAACATTCGTCGAGTACTGCATGACTCTAGGTAGAATAAAACCTCGACTTCGCGCCACAAAACATATTCTGCGAATGAATGAATGCAAGATGCAGAACAGATGCCGTGGGTGGTCGTGGGGTTGGGCATGTCCGAAAGCGGAATAGCCGCGAATGAAGCCGAGCGAAAGGCTCAACTTCGACATGTCCAAGGCCCACGCCCACGCCCACCGTCCCCGAAGCTCCCCATCCCGCAATCCATCTCCTCTCTACCCGCCATGTCCGCAGCCCGAGCCTTCAGCACCGCTCTCCGGGCGGGTGCTCCCCGCGCCCCCATTGCCCGCTTCGCCGCGACCCGAAGCTACGCTGCCGCCGCACCGAGCAGCGCATCGACCAAGCCGCCCGTCGCCCTCTTCGGCGTCGACGGAACCTACGCGAGTGCTCTGGTACGCCTCCCACACCTGCCATTGGGCGCTGCGGCCATGACCCGCGCCCCCAGACGGAGGAGCGTCATGAGGGGAAATACGGCTGGGCTAACAATTTTCCTTCGGTGCAGTACACGGCCGCCGCGAAAACAAACGCCCTCGACCCCACGGCGAAGTCGCTCCAGACCCTCGCCGAGGTCTTCAAGAAGGACGCCAAGCTCGCAGACGTCCTCCGCGCCCCGTCCCTCACCGTCTCCGACAAGAAGCAGATCGTCCAGGAACTGTCCAAGCACATTGGCAACGCCGACAAGGAGGGCATCGTGAAGAACTTCCTCGAGACACTCGCCGCCAACAACCGATTGGGTACGCTCTCGAGCGTCGTGGAGAAGTTTGCCGTCCTGATGGGCGCGCACAGGGGCGAGATGGAGCTCGTGGTTACCAGCGCTGCGGTACGTTGAATCTGGGGGAAAGACACGGCAAATTTGGAGCACCATATTTCAGACTTCGACAAAAAACTGGGTCACTACACATGAACTGGACTGACGTACCCACAGCCCCTCGACAACAGGACCCTCAGCCGCCTCGAAGCCGCCGTCACCAAGTCGGATCTCGTTGGCCAGGGCCAGAAGCTCAAGGTCGTTTCCAAGGTCAACCCCGAGATCCGCGGTGGACTCATTGTCGAGGTTGGCGACCGCACCATCGATCTGTCCGTCTCCGCCAAGATGGCCAAGATGAACAAGCTGCTCAAGGACACTTTGTAGATGTAGGGAAAACTCCTCAATCGAGCGAGCCAGGTGACGGGTGGGGTTGTGTACTTTAGACTTTTGTGAAAAAGAGCAATTTACTACTGTGGCCTTCTATGATGGTGTGTGTGATGTCGAACGAGACGAGGAGGGGTGTGATTGAGTTGTTTCAAGCAGAATTCTTGAATTTCAATGCGATGATAGTACGATTGGCTGGTTATAAGTATTGGGAACAATCGACATAACCCGAATCCTACTGCAACTTGCAATACCCCCTCCCATGATCAACCTGCCACCGACACAACCCCACCTCCACAGCCATGCTCAAAAACCCCGCAACACAAATCCCCCCCGAATCACTCACACTCGTCGCGCCCAGACTAAACTCCCTATCCACCTTCTTCACATGATCCGTAATCTCCGCAAAAGTACTAACATAGACCAATCCGCCGAGCAAGCCCTCCCAGAAGATAACCACACACACGACGTAGTAGTTGGGCAGGAAGTCGAACAGGGCGTGTAGTGTGAGGAGGCCCAGGTTGGCGATTTGCAGGAATGATGGGATGTAGAGGGCGTGGATGCGGAGGAAGGGGGTGGAGGAGCGGGAGAGGAAGACGCCGATTTGGTAGATGAAGGCGTAGGTGCTGTAGAAGGAGCGGTAGGAGGTGAAGGGGGTGGAGGGGAGGGGGAAGAGGAGTGTGGGTGCTACGCCTTGGTTGATGGTGTATTCGGCGATGTAGACGAGGAGGAGGGGGAGCATGCTGGGGGCGTGTTAGGGGGGTTGTATGTGGGGATTTGGGGGGTGGGGGGTGCTTACTATGGGAAGAAGAGTCCTTTGGCGCGGTTGAGGTTGGCTTTGAAACTGTTTGCTGCACCGCTGATACCTTGGTCGTTGACGGAGGTGGCATCGCGTTCATGGGCAGGTGATAGGAGGCTCTGGTCTTCTTCGTTCTGTTCCTCACTTTCAACAGCTTCATACCCACCAACCTTCCCTGACCCAGCACGAAGAGGACCTAACGGCAAAACGCCAAAGAAGCTGACAAGCATGATCAGAGGAAGGAAAGAGAACCACAACAAACTGGTACGGGGGCTGATCTGGAGCGTATTCGTCGCAATCGCATACGCTCCAGCACCGACCAAGCCAGCCCCTCCCGTCCCCGAGCCCCAAGCAGCAAGCGCAAAGTGCCCGTAGTAGTGCGTGAGTCCCAGAAAGCTGAGCTCACCCCCTCCACTGCTCAGACTCGCAAGCATCACTCCACACATCTTGATGGCGATTGTGCGCGAGTCCTGCAGCGGGGGAGTGAGGGCGATGATGAGCATGCCGCATGCTGAGAGGGCGGCGAAGACGAGGATTCGCACGTTGTAGGGGATCTTGTGTATGAAGTAGGGCGCGCATAGCTTGGTGAGGAAGGAGGGGATGACGTCTGCGAGGAGGACGACGCCTTTTGGGACGTTGGGACCTACGAGGTCGAGGGCGGCGGAGAGGATGATGACGTAGAGCACGTTGTTGATGAGGCCTGGGTGCGTTAGATGGGTGTGGGTAGATGGTATTTGTGTAGTTTAGACAGTCGGTATGCACACAACTCTACATGTTCGAGATAGTCACCCATCATCAAGTCGCAAAGTGCAGGCAAGGGATCCACTGATACGATTCACAAGGAGGGACATAAATAGAACGGCTCTATGCATACCAAACAACCAGAACGCTGCGCATACCCGTGGATCTGCGCCATCAAAGACAGCTTTGAGACGAGCACGGTAGACAGCCCAGGAGGCAGCAGGGGAGCCAGGCATCGGGAGAAGAGGCATAGGAGATGGAGAGGGCGGTGCTTCTTCACATGATGGAGACTGTGGTTGCAGTGGTGATGATGCGCATGTGAAGATTAGCGCAGGTGATGAGGCTGACCGACTGCAGGCGTGGTGAACGCGCCCCAAACGTCAGAGCAGATGGCCCTAGCAAAAGGCGGTCAATCAGGCACCATGCATAACGGCGTCAAGCACCCCGAGCCCTGTGAAATTTCTTTTGCACCACGCTGATCAGAGTGCGGTAAGAGTAGCAGCACCCTGAGACATACATGACGTGCACGACAGCTCGACCGACACCCCTCACCAGAGCGCTGGGTGGGTGGTGGCAAGCGAGCATCGTCTCTGTCACGTAACGTAACCGTTGTCTGGAAATGGCGGATGCGGGGGAAGCAGGCTAGGAGGCTAGCCCTGTGGCTGCAGGGATGGGCGGCCACAGAATCCACACTGGCCGCTCTTTCTCGTTTCCTCACGTCTTTACTTCTTCTGCTCCTCGCCCGCCCTGGACGCGCCTGCTGCGTGCCAGCACACTAGCACACTGCCTCGTCCGCCGTCCCCGCCTCCTCGCCGTGTCGCTGTTCCTAGATGCCCCACGAGCCACTGCAACACCATGGACGCTCGCCAGCCTGCGCCGCCGCCCTCGACGCGCCCGCCCGACCGCCCGCTGGCTCATAATCCAAACTACCAGCCGCCGACCACGACACCGCAGGCCTACGCCGGCTACCCTCCGTCGACGTCGCAGCCGCAGCCGCAGCAGCTGCACGTCCCCTTCGCCGTCGACCCGTACGCGACGTCTCGACGCGACCCGTTCCTGCCCCAAGGGCCACAGCACGCCCGACGCAGCAGCCACGGAATGAGCGCCTCGGACAGCGCGCCGCAAGCATACATGGAGAGGCAGGGTGGCTGGGCAAACACAGGTACGGAATCCAGCTGCGGCTCTTCTTTTTAGGAACATGGCACCCAGTGCAGGGTGTCGCGGGCTGTCCTTGCGCCGTGGGACGTCTTGACGGCCATGGCGAGAGCAGAGACGCACGCAGTGCGAAATGTCGTGGGCGACGCTTGCACGGGGCAGGCGAGAGCAGCTGCATGTGGCGACTCTTTGCGCAGACTGGCACAGGCACCTGCATGCACGCTCCGCTGCAAGACACGTCGACGACGCAAGCTCCAGGGTCCGATGCGTCGTGGGGCTGCGCACTTCTCCGCACTTTGCCGCCTGGTGCAGACGTCGCCTTGGCCATGTGCAGCTGGCCAGTGTCTCTCTCGCCGTTCACGCTGCGGCAGACTCGGCGGGTCGGGGCACATGCGCGTGCTCGATCTGCAAGTGTCGATGGAATTCCGCCATGGCGCTCTCCGCACAGATGGCTCGCTAACGCAAGATTCCGCTTCACGTTAAACCGCTTTCAGATGAAACACCCGGCTGATCGCGATTTCTAGCGCGCCCCAACTTTGGAGCATCCCATCACCACGCCCAGCCGGCTGCACCACCGCCATCCATGAGCAGCGCCGCCACCCCATCGGCCTCGTCGCCCTACGCCTACGATGCAGCACGCAGAGCCCAGCTCAACGGCGCCGCGCCCCCGAACCTAGCTGGAGGTAGAGCCCCGCATCCTGGCGTGCAGTCGCGTCGCAACCTGGCTAACTCTCCCGCAGCCCCCTCTCACGACGCCCCGCCACCGCCATCGTTCACGCGCCCGCAGATGCTTCCCCCCTCATCGCCTCCGCAGCAGCAGAACCACGCTCCGCACGCGCAACGTGCCCCCTATATGCCCAGCTTCGGCGCCAACAGAGAGCTTCCTGGCCTAGGACCGCAGCATCGACCAGGGAGCAGCATGTCCATTTCATCTCTGATTGGCGTCGGTGACACGGGTGCCCCTGCCCAGACAACACAGGCGCAGTCGTCGCCTCCCACAAACGCCCAGGCGGCCAACGGCCACAGCATGCAGCCGCCCTCGCCCAGACGCAGTCTCCTGTCTGGGCCCCGATCAGACTTCGCTCTCTTTCGACGCCAACAGTCGCCCGAGAGAAACATGTATGGCAGCAACACCTCCAGGGCACTCGACGGACACGGCTTCACCGCAAGATCACCATCACGAGCCTACAGCAGTCTGGGCTCCCCTGAGCAGCAGGGCCGTCAGTCGCTCCCTCCGTCGATCCAGCCCTACAACCCGCCGGGCCTTCCAGGCCAGCGTCTCTTCCCATCCTCGCCCAGCGATATGCCAGGAAGAGACCCCCGACAGCCTACTGGAGGGATCCCACCCCGGCCCAACAGCCAACCAACGGGTCTGCCTGGGCCCCTCGAACAAGATGGGAGGACACTCTACAGTGCCTTGGGAGGACGCCGCAGTGCGTACGGAGCGCCTGAAGAACGACGCCGAACGCTAGGGGAGTCGCATCACTCGAGACCCAACACCGAAGAGCTTCTGGGAGGTCTTAGCCATAGCACACCAGTCAGAGACCGCGCCAACACTGTGCACCCAGTATCTCAGTCCATTTTCAGTCCGCCTCGTGATCAACGCACGATCGCTGGTTTGAGTGATGCTCCGCGCGACATGTGGCGTCATTCGGCACCCAACGACACCGCTCGTGAACCCAGTGAAGCCCGGCGGGAAGAGCCTCCGGTGCTGCATCGTACCTATGGACCGTACCCCCCTCCTTCACTTGGGCCTCCACGCTACAGCGCCCAGAGCGTCGAAGACTTGCTGCGAGAACGAAGCCTGGACCACTTGAATCACCGGGTGGTAGAGCAATACCATGTTCCGCCTACTTCAGATCCAAACTCAACAGACCGACACAAAGCTGAACCGCTTGCTCGCTCTGTGTCGTCTGGAGGAAACGCATATCCAGGCCGACCCCTATATGACCACCCGCAGAGGATGGGCGAGCCCATGCAACTTTCAAAATCACACATCGGCCTTGGTCTGGAAGCAAGTAGGCGGACTGGTCGTGCTTCGCCATTGCCGCAAGCTGTCCAAGGCGCCCAAGCGCAACCCATATCTATCGGCAAAGACCCTGGCATTAAGAGAGAGTTTGGGCGGATGTTTTCTGGACTTGACAGTGGACTAGGATCATCAACGCCGTCACGTGGGAGTCCGATGCCGCAAAATGGACAAGATTCCTTCGATTCTAACGATATGCTAAGGCTACAAAGAGTGAATTCGCAACAAGGCAGGAGGCCAAAACGGGTCAAGGACGAGGAGGTATTTGACAATGACAGTGCTGATGGAAGGGGTATGACCTCTGGTGTCCGTGGTGCTAAACGTAACAAATACGGTCACCATCACCATCATGCGCCACATCACCAGTAAGTATACCTTCCTTTTCACAGCGCAATGTATGCTAATCAGACAGTCACCACCACCATCACCATCACCACAGGCCGGACGAAGAAATTCCGCCTTCGCTAAGTAGGCAGCCCAGCCTCCAAGGCGGACCAGGCGGACCTGTGCACCACCATCATCATATCCAGGGGGCGCCACATCACCATCACCATCACCATGCAGCCCCTCGAGCAGGACAGCAAGCACCAGTTCCTCTGCCAAAAATTTCAGACAAGGTGCATGATATCCAACCTGTCCTTGATGAGGCTGCCAAACATCCTCGGAAACATCTTGGGTCTCACTTGTATGAGGCAGCCACCGAGCTGCCCAAACCTAACTCGTCCTTGGACGACCAGTTTGGATATGCCTCGATACCGAAACGGTTGCCACAATTCGAAATTAATCCCATCAATTGCACCTTCACCATCAGGGTGCCAAGATTCTATCTGAAACCGCGGCAACGGCAACATATTGTCTTGGAGCGACATCTCTGGGGTGCACGTGTATATCGTGACGACTCAGATCCAATAGCTGCCGCCATTCACTCTGGGTGGATTCGCGGAGAATGGGATGACACCGTCGATATCTCCATGCTAGATCCTCGCATAACGGCGCCCAACGATGCCAGCGATGCTCAAGACATCCTCAACAAGGTCCCTGTTGCCCCAGTAATGCCGCCTGCCGACATGGACCTACAGATCGAAATCCTCATACTACCACGAGTGCAAGAGTATGTTGGTACCGTCGAATTTGGCATTTCGAGCAGGAAAAGTAAAACACATGAAGGCTTGAGTTTCATGATCAACAAGATCAGATGGGTGGAAGAAGGGATCGGCAGCCGAGGCCAGGAACGAACAGCGGCGGCGCTGAAGCGTAGACTCGACGCGAGCGCAACCCTTCTCGCCTTACAGAGTGGAGTTGACGATATCTTCAAAGCGAACGGGACTGCGAAGTTGCATGCCTAATCCTGGCTCGATATACCCCAGAATGCCTGATCTGGCTTGAGGTGAACTTGGGGCTATCTTGAATCCTTCCGACCGGCTCTGGATGTCTCTCGTTTTCTCTTACGCATTTGTTCGTATTTGTGTCAATCGCATGACTTGATGTACAGCGTTAGGATATCTCAGTTCAGCATCGCTATATACCCGTATTTTTGTTGCCTTGCGAAATTTGACCTTTGGTTTTGCGTTCATGGCGGGAAATCTGTTTTGTGAATGTTTGTCACCGCGGACTAGATAGTACTCTAATTCACACTGCTTTGGGATATTCCAAGTCTAAGTCATTCTTCCGCAGCGTTAGATTGTTGATGGACATAATCTGAGTGTTGTAGGCTGTACTCTGAATCCGCCATGCACGTGCTTGCGATTGCGATTGCGATTGCTTGGGCGATAATGGTGTTTTTCCATTGATAAGGCAATAGAGAAAACAGGCAAGCGCGCTCAATTCAAGGAAATATAGTTCGACAGCTATTACCTCTCTTATCCCAATTGCCAGCTGGTACTAGGCTGTCGTTTTGTTGTACGTACAGCACTTGACTTGCTTCACTTCACTGCCCCACCATACCCGAACAACAACAGCAACTCAAATCAACGACTACACGCCAGCTGCAAAAATGGGACATTCTAGGAACTATTCCATCTCAACGGTGAGTTCAAATTTTCAATTCTCATCGTCGTCAAGGCGTAAAAGCCCCATCACTATGCGGCTCTCCACGGCTTAACACATGCAAATTCTGGCTCCACAGACCACGACGGTGTCGTCATATCCAATTGCACTATGGCATGATGCACCCGACCAGAACAACTTGGCAGATCGGTACAGCGCGACCGCTTGGGGCTTCCTGATTGCGCCATTTCTGATCCAGCACTCAGGAACACGGATCCGTGGTGTGCGATCGTCGGCTGTCGGTCTTGCTGTTGCCCACTCTTTGCCGGCCAGGTGGAACGACACGGTGCCAGACAACCTGATTATCAAATCAGAACAATCGCTCGCTGAACCCCTCCAGCACGGTACTTTGTTCGGACGTCCGCCTGTAAAAAGAAGGACGCCGTTCTACCAAATGCGGGGAACTGGAGCTGTCAATCATCATCACGCGTCTTCTCCCTCTCAACTCTCGAATGCCGAGCTGAAATCACCAACCTGCAACAACACACCCCGCTTCCATACACCAGCTGCTTCAGTCCTCTAGACTTCTCCCGACACCCTGACTCTTGAATCCTTCGTTGGCCGCTTGGAACCCTGTCTTCTCCACGTCTCTGCTCACAAGCGCCTTTTCTCGGTGCATTCCGGAAATCTCCCGGCGGCATTCCGAGCCATATCGCACTTTTTACATCCGACCTTGTACCATATATCTCGCCGCATCTCTCAGTTCTGGATTTCACAGGGAGCTGGACTCACCGCCACACACAATGACCGAAGACAGCAATGGCTTCTATGCGCCCAATATGCGCGCCGTTCCTGCAGGAGAATTCGTAAAGCCGAGCAGAAGAACTAACGGTGCTGGTGTACAGGCTGAGGACACGCGGATATGCGTCGTCATGGTAGGACTGCCCGCTCGGGGTAAGAGTCTGATCGCACAAAAAGGTAAGCAGTATGCTCCGTAATTGACAATTGTCGCTGACGTCGTGTGCGTGTCAGTCGTGCGTTATCTGCATTGGCTATCGATCAAATCAAAAACGTTCAATGTCGGCCAGTATCGCCGTACCGCGACTCCAAACCCCTCGGCCGAGTTTTTCGATACCACGAATCCTGAAGGAGAGCGGCTCCGAAGAGCCGCCGCTGAAGCCGCCGTGGATGACATGTGCAAGTGGTTCGCGGAGGGCTCAGGGCTGATTGCGATATTGGATGCAACGAACTCGACCAAAAGCCGACGGAGGTGGATACAAGAGCGGTGCGATGCTGAGAACATCGAGACCTTGTTCGTGGAGTCGAAATGCGATGATGAGGATCTCATCATGAGCAACATCTTGGAAGTCAAGACCACATCACCAGATTACGTGGGTCAGGATCCAGAGGAAGCTGCCGCCGACTTTCGCAATCGAATTCGCAATTACGAGAAAGTTTACGAGACAATTGACGAGGACGAGCGCGATCTCACTTACGTCAAGTTGATAGATGTTGGCAAGACCGTCATCATCAACCAGATCCAAGACTACCTTCAGAGTAGAGTTGTCTACTACTTGATGAACCTCCACATCAAGCCGAGATCGATCTGGTTATCACGGGTAAGTCGGCACTGGATTTGTGGCTGTACCCTTACTGACAGTAATAGCACGGCGAGTCGGAATACAATCTTACAGGCCAAATTGGAGGAGACGCAAACATCTCCGAGCGCGGAGACGCCTACGCGCATGCTCTTCCCGGTCTCGTTGCAAAGTCCGTCGGTGACAACCGCAAACTCACAGTCTGGACGTCGACTCTAAAGCGAACGATCCAAACCGCACGGTTCCTCACTTTCGAGAAGCTAGAATGGAAAGCACTCGACGAGCTCGACTCGGGTGTCTGTGACGGCCTGACCTACGCCCAAATCGAAGAAAAGTACCCCGAAGACTTCGCATCGCGTGATGAAGACAAGTACAACTACCGCTACCTCGGCGGAGAATCATACCGCGACGTCGTCATCCGTCTCGAGCCCATCATCATGGAATTGGAGCGCAGCGAAAATATTCTCATCGTGACGCATCAGGCTATCCTGAGGTGCATCTACGCGTACTTCATGAACGTACCGCAGGAGCAAAGCCCATGGATGGAGGTTCCACTCCACACGCTCATCAAGCTGACCCCGAAGGCCTACTCGACGCAGGAAGAGAGGTTGAAGGCAGATATTCCGGCAGTTAGCACATGGAGGGGAAAGGGGAGCAAAGCTGAGCACCAGCAGTCGAACGGGGGGGCACATTAGCGTGACGTAGCCGGACGTCGGTCGCCAGGCTGAGATGGGGAGCGTCGGCGTGCGGGAGCGGGAGCGGGGTGCAGGACGGGAAGTCAGGCGGGACTTGGCTTTGCAGGCCTTTTAGATGCGTAAAGATTGGCATTTGGACAAGGTCTGTACTGTTGTTGGCATGATGACCTGGTTTGCATTATTCGGCGCAAGATTGCACGCGCAGATGGAAGGTATAGATGTGTGCCTGGCTACGCGCATATGATGTCTTGTGTTGGGAGGATGAATATGGATATGTACAGGTCGTCACATTTACCAAGTTTTCACTTGAGACAAATACTAGATTCTCCGACGCATGATGCTATGATGATGGAGGCGAAAACGTGCACACGAATACGACATATACATCCAGGATATGCTCCGAACGCGAGAGAGAGGAGAAGTACTCACACATTCCCTCTACATCCACATCATATCACATCGCACCGCATCACACGACCTCGGCTGCACCTTCCCCATTTCCCCGCGTAAAGCAACCCTTCTCCCCTCCCCCCCCCCATCACATCCCCCCCAAAACACACCTCTCACAAAACAAATCCTACCCCCCAAACGTCGAGAAAAATAATGCCACCCCCACCACCCCCATCCCACAACACACCCCCACCCCACATGCCCCAAACATGGCACGCCCCACCACCATCCACCGCAGCCACAACCGACCCCAGCACACTCCGCGCAACTCACTCCGCAGCAAGAAAACTAGGAAGTGCCAGCGCCGGCGCTAGTGGAAGTGGAAGTGGGAGTAAAAGCCCCAGTACCGGCATCAGCCACCGCGGAGCGGTAGTAGCAGCAGCAGTAGGCAAGGAGAAAGAAGAATCGCTCGAGCAGCGGCAGCGGCGCGATGAAGCGGCGCGGATTCTCGAGAGCGAGGAGATGCTGATTTGGGTTGCGGGGGTGCGGAACGAGGTGTGTTTTGCTTTTGTTTCTTCCCCTGTTGAGTCGTCTATTTGTATTTTTTTCTCCAATCATTTTCGCAGCTGTGAGTCAGTATGGGCTTGGTTAACGGACGCAGAGTGTTCCGCAGGTGAGGATGTTTTATCGGAATGTTTTACTGGGGGTGGAGGAGCAGGGGGGTGTTGTGTGGCGGGAGGAGTGGGAGGTGCCGGTTGATGAGCGGGAGAGGGATAGGGAGAGGGAGGTTGTGATGAGTCCGAGGGGTGGGAAGGGGAAGGGGAAGAAGAGGGTTAGTGGTGTGAGTGTGCATGGGTGATGGTTTTTAGGTATGGCGATGGTTGATCGAAGTTACTAATGGGGCGTTTTAATGGTGGGCTTTGGAAAGGAAAGGGAAGGAGTAATGGGACGGATAGCATTATACCCAGTATCGTTATGAATATAATCATCATCATCAGCTTAGTCTTCTATCGGTTGCGAACTCAGCTTCAAAGACACAATCGACATTAGTAATTGAAGTTGCCTTGTTTGTCTTCTTTCTTCTACTATCAACCAATGCGTCACCTTACGCCTTTGTAAATATCATGACATACTCTCCATCTCAGGCGACGCGTGCAAACCCACATACAAGGACCGACGAGCGCGCAATACTCGCACTCAGGTCATAAATCCCAATCCAACGCACCGTACACCCCCCGCAAACCATCCCACACCCCTTACATACCCTCCTCCATGCTGACGTTCTTCCACCAAGGCGCCGCGCCCTTGTCCAGAAACATCTCCTCCGCGTCACCAACCTGCCTCCTCTCGCTGACTTCTCTACTCAGCTGCCCCGACAGCTTCAACCGCATTGCTTTCGACGCCAAGAAACTGTTACTCTGCGAGTTGTGTCTACCCTGTGCCGTTCCTCGGGATGATCGGATGAGCTCGCTCGAAGTCCATCCGTCCCTCATGACGGGTAATTGCTATTGCAGAGGCTCGGAAGAGGAACTCAGCCGGTTGAGGTGCAGGTAGACGTCCGTGCCGTAGCTGTTGAAGTGTCAGTGGTATTCAGGGGGGTTGGAGGTGTGGACTATGTACCCTTCCATGCTGATGAGCTTCAGATCACCGCCGAAATAGCGTGCGTAGAGCCGTGAGATGGGCAGACCGTATCCGAAGCCAGCCATTGGGGCTTTGAAATCGCTCTGATTGAACCCTGGGTCGAGACTGGGCGTTTGGTCCACGGTGGTGTACATGTAGGTCCAGACCAGCGGGATCGATGATCTGGGGATGCCGCCTCCTTCGTCGGAGATCTTGATGGTGATGTCCTCTTTTCCCTCTGCGACAATGACCTTTGTCACTGGAAACTCGTCTTTGTCCTGCCCGTGTCTCTCTACCACAGCGCGCAACGAGTTCTTCAGTGTCTCGAACAGCATGTGCGATAGATGCCCTGGCACGTACATGAAGCTGATATCCTTGTCGCATACGAGCTGTACTTTTGGTGCGTCGAACAGACCGTAGTGGTCCTCGCATACGAACCGCGCATTCTCAATAGCTTCCTGTGCAAGGTCCCGCACGTTGGTTTTGGTGCAGATGATACCGACGTAGTTTGGATCGGAGCGCGAGCGCTGGTCGGTGAGGGCAATGTGCTGACCGATGAGCATGCGGATGCCAATGCGCGACATGTAGAATCGATCGAGGAAGGCCTGGATATTGTGATCAATCTGCATGCGTTGCCTCTTGCGCTTCCACTCCAGAACACCCTGCGCTACGGTTGTCACAACACTGTCATGCCGCCGTTTGATTTTCTCCAGCGTGTCGGCGAATTTTGTGTTGTATGCGCCTAACTCTGGCGGCCATTCCAGCCCATCGTCTGCTGCGGCATAATATCTCCTGCTTGATGTCGAGCCTTTGGTCTCCCTGCCGCTTACGTATCCCGTTCCGTGCCCGTTTCCATTTGCGCCGGGCGCGGAGCGGTACTGTCCCCTGGCGACGCTAGGGTTCTGTGTCGCCTGGGATATCAGGCGGTTGTCTTTGCCGTTGTATCTCGCCGGCCGCAGTAGCCGGTCTTTGATGTCGCTGGAGAGGTTCGGTCGGGAAAGTTGGACGAGGTCCTGTTGATGTTGTGAGTCGAAGCATTCCAGTAGAGAGCACGTGTCCACCCACTTCAAACGACTGCGCATACCAGTCGCGCACTCTGCAGATCGAAGGCATCTCGCTGAGGCCATCGGGAAGTTCGGTGAGCTCTTGCACGCGATGCGCTAGGCGTATGGGGAGCTCTTCAGACAAGAACTGTGACGCGCGGAAGAGAGTTCCTGTGGATGGCTTCTCGCCAAACTGCACCATCTGCCGTAGGGAGACACCTGGAGAAACATCAGACGAATAACTATCACGAGTAATCGGAGATACACACCAGTGGCTGGAAAGTTGCTATAGTGCTACTGAGACGTAAGCTTCGAGTGCGCCCTGTGCTACACCGTTACGTACCTTGATCGTGTCCATCAACCTGTCCGAACGCTTCCACGACATGATGGCAGTTGTTCAAGGCCGGTCGGCCTCGTTCGTCGCGTTGTCGCCAAAGTGCTCTCGATGGTTCAATGTTCACGACAAATGTTCCGCCCCGCTATGACGCTTGGGATTGTGACCGAGGTAAGCCGGATGTGCGCACTGAAGCAATCTGGAATGGGACTGATGGGTAGGTTCGGAAGAGAACGCGAGGCACAAGATTACCAGCTTCTGAAGCAACTGAGCACGAAGACGGTGAGTTCCAAACAGCCACACCAGTGGGCTGATTGATAGTCCGATCTGTATCCCCCCACAGTTTATCAGCCTCTTTCACGTGGAAGAGAAGAACCGACTTGAGAATTGCCATGTGTCTCCGGCTTCACGGCTCATATGATGGACCTCTTCTACATACTGTCCATCATACGCAACCTTTTTCCGCGCAAGAGAAGTCAATTAAGGCATCGTACATATTTTTTACGACGGATAGGTGTTCGAAGCATGGTAAAGCTTCAGCCACACATGCGATTAGTCAGCATTGATACTCGGCAAATCTTCCTGTTTGCTTCCACAGGTCCGAGTGATCGCGTGACTTTGCATGTCGACAACTTTTTGATTTATCGTGTTTACAGACGAGAGCCAGTTCGCGTTTCCCGCGTAGCGTTCGTTCTATAAAGCTTACACTTGAAGATTGTTACAGACACGACCATGTCCATCAACTTGGTGACAGCCTCGGTTGCCACTTGTCCGTTTCCCAGAGAACCACGGTCTATCTACACTGGGGCGGCCCTCCGCTTCTGGCTTAACCGGCAGTTTGCTGTGGGACCGAAAGAGAGATGTATGTAAGAAAATTTGCGCTGCATGTCATTGGTGGAAGTCTAGACGTGGCATAATTTGGGGTGCTCTTCTCCAAACTGTGCAGAGCCATATTGACCGGTTGTTTGTTGATGTTAGTTGCATGTATTAACCAAACAACAAAAAGTGTCATTGAGGTACTCGTGCAAGGGTAAATGGAGTCACGAGAATATGCGGACAAGCCAGCAGACAACAAACCGAAGAGGAGATTTGGTATTTCGAGTGTACCGCTAAGTTCCAAACCGGCTCTATGCTGCACCAGAAATCCATAATGCGCCCTATCATGATACACCGAGCATAATCTACACAAGACAATGGCACCTCACAAACGCGTCCATCGCCTCAATCGTACGTCTATCGCTGTTGGTACAATCGGAACAAATTGTGATTCGAAGGGAATTAAAGAAGCGTCATATCGTGTCGAGGAGGAAATATCCAAATGGCATTGGAGCGCTTATTTGGTCTCTTCCTGGAGGAAGGTGATAAGATCGTTACGGTCCTTGGGCTTCTTGAGACCACCAAAGGCCATCTTGGTGCCTGGGATGAACTTCTTGGGGTTCTCGAGGTAGTCAAACTGTGAACGGTTAGCTTTCGGTTCCAACACATGCCGTCTCCTTCATCAGTGTGCTCGTACCAGAGTGCCCTCCTCCCAGGTGACGCCCTTCTGCTTGTTGGCGTCGGTGTATGAGAAACCAGCGACGTGACCGGACTTGCGGCCGAAAAGACCGTGAAGCTCAGGGCCAATCTTGTTACCCTCACCCTCCTTCAGGGTGTGGCACTGCGCGCAACGCGTCTACTTATTGTTAGGCAAGGTTCGGGTAGCGCCAAGGGTGGCGATCATGGCACTGGAGGCCGTAGTCATGAAATCGTACCTTGAAAAGGTTGGCACCCTTCTTAGCATCGCCTGTAGAAACGAGTTAGCCATGGACTATATGTATACATTTGTGGATGTGAGAAATCCGCTGTCCGATCTTTTTTGTCGCAAAGCTGCCACCTTGCCCAACCCGCCTCCTGAACTGCACAGGAGGTGTGGTCTCTGCCGTAGGCGAATCGCCACTTCCGCAGAGACCAGATTTCAACGGCGCGCAGGCTCAATGGGCTTTGAAAGACCGACGTGGCGGAGAGCTCGATGACGTCTGTGGTGTTCGGGGAAACTTACCCTTCTCGAAACCCATTTTGACTGGTAGTGAAAGGGGTTGGTGGTGGTGGTAGGTAGGAGTAGTAATGTGTCTATCGGTGGTGATAGAAGCGGTGAGACTGTGCTGCGTATGTTGGAGGAAGGAGAAACAAGTTGGCTTGAAAAAGGTTTCCTTGCTGAACGCTACGCTAGCCGATGAGATCGGAATCGCTGAGCCACTGACCTTTGCAAATGTTCTGATTGGCTGACGCTTTCGGGCAAAGTCGGACCGTGGACCTGTCCAGTCAATGTCAAGCGGAGGTCAAGTTTGTTACTTCTGCTGGCTTCTTTTGGGACTGGCAGTCTTCTATGCATTCTCTCAAATCTAGAAGCTTGACAGCTGTACCAGTCTCGATGTTACCCCAGTTTTGCAGTCGTGGAATCTGCCGCTTTGGGCAACTACACTGCTGGCTCCAATTAATGCTGCTACGTAGCCTTCGCAAGCTAATCGCCTTGTATTCCAAAGTGCTGCAGGGTTCAAAGAGTGGTAAGCAATGTTGTAATCGTATGCCGCACCGCGTCTACAGCGGGCATACCCGCCCCCTCATCCAACAGCCTGGTACTGTAAGAGGGATCGTAATCGGTGCCTCTGCTCTCTACAACATTCTCTCGCGTGCTCGTTCAAGGGAATCGGAGCTTGCCGAATCGTTCATTTTTGCTCCTCGGCTTGTGTCGACGCCTCAATTCTCTTGGCTTCATCATCCATAATTCATCGTCAGCCCCGCCATATGAAACGTCTCTAAGAGCAAAATCAACAGGCCATGAACCAAATTCCCGGCATATTGTATGCCGATCAGGAATTCACGACCTGGCTAATTGTCGGCGCCAGCAGAGGCATTGGCCTCGAGTTTGTGCGTCAACTTTTAAATCGAGAAGAAAGGATCATAGCAACCGTTCGTGAGCCTTGGGCAGGCCATGCCTCTGGCCTATGGGGTCAAGCAGGCAGTGATCATGGACGCTGTCAAATGTACACCTGTGACATTTTGTCCGAGGCTAGCATCATTGTATGTAAAAGGACAGCGTGAAATGTTCCAATCTGACAACCAGCCAGAACTTCGTTGCTCAACTCGCTCTAATACCCAATCTCAAAATCGACTACGTAGTCCTCAACGCTGGAGTCCTAAGATACCCTAATGTAAGCCCCATGCACATGTCCAATGAGTCGCACTAACGTCTACAGAGAGCCACTGAGCTGTTCGTCTCCCTCCGCCGAACCTCGTTCCGGCTAAAGCGTGCATCCTGATGTGCACCCCGGTGTACCCCAGCTGAGCATATACACAAACAGTGCTAACACGCAAGTCAGTTCTTTCGACGAGTTTGCCTTCCATCTGCATACAAACACCATCGGTCCCATCATCACTGCCCAGAAGCTTCTTCAGACAAACATCCCTATCGGCACTATCGTCTTCATGTCAAGCGACTCGGGCTCCGCGGGGAACTTTCGTGAGATGGAAGATGGGTTTGCTGCATATGCTGCTTCCAAGGCGGCGTTGAATATGGCCATGAGGCATATGGCGGCGGAGTTGAAGAGGAAAGATGACGATACAATCATCCTGGCTATGCATCCTGGAGAAGTTGCGACGTGAGTGACCAATAGCTTCTACTGTTTCGTTTGATTTGTCAACAGACTTAGAGTAACAGAAGCTTACTGACTGATGATAAGGGACATGGCCAACGTCCAGCTACCCTGGGAAGTCCAAGGCATCATTACACCTGAAGAGTCGGTGAGAAAGATGATCGATGTAATACAAAGCAAAGGTATTCAGCATAGCGGCACATTCTGGACATGGGAGAACAAGGTCAGTCACCGTCTAAGCGTTCTCACACAGCAAATACTGACATTGAACCTCTTGCAGCGTTATGTTTGGTGATGAGCGTTCGATTTGTACTCCATACTTATGATAATGCTCCACTCGGATTATACCCCTGTTAAATCGCATATGAACAACCATCTTCTGACGCTCAAGGGCTCCACTATGTATGCTAGACAATGTCAAGACCATGAGACTACTTATCCGTGCAGGTCGATCAATCTCAAATTTGCACCTTTGTGTTGTCATTCTCTCCAATATGGACGAGCCTAGAACCGTTACTGGATCTCGCCGAACAGTCGACGCACAAGATCCGTGTCCCAGTCAAGACGTGCCTCGCCTTCAGGGAGAGGGTAATCAACCAAAACGAATGGTTGCTGCTGAGTCGCCTCGGCATTTCTGGCCATCATTTGGGGCTGCAGCGATGTCTCTCGGGGGCCATCGTCCCAATTAGTCTTGAGCGGACGCCACTTTTGAGGATTGTTACTCGTTGAACGGGTCATATTTTTAGCGTCGTCTACGCTCTGTTGTCGCCTCTCCATCTCTCCTTGAGCGTCTACTAGGCTCGGTGATCCCCGGAATCCTGGAAGAGTGCATGTGCCGCTCTGATCCTGCTTTGCTTCAGGCCTGATAACTTTGTTTCCTTCAGCTATACTCATATCGGGTTGCCTTGCCGGAACTACAACCATATTTCCAGGTATAAATTCAAAATTTGCTCGAGACCATGTCTGACCGGTGATCAATGCGTCGGCATCGTGTGCTCTCTGTAGCACCTCGGCGTCTTTACACTGTTGTCGTACTGCCTTTGGCGTAGCTTCCGTGGGTATCGCCTTTCTTTCGCGTTTCCTCTGCTTGTGCCGTTCACGCTTCTCCTTATGCAAATATCTCTTCTTCTCCAGCCTCTCACTGATATCCACAGGCTTGATGCCCTGCTCCTCTTGCCATTGTTCGATGCGCTGTTTCTGCGCTTGGAAGCGCTGCTTGGCAGTTCCAGTAAGCCAAGGTAGTTTTCGGAGTGGTTTGACTCCTGCGAGGGAGCGTCCAAGTGCGATGCTGTCGCGTGGTGAGGAACTATGGTGGTAGAGGGACGCTGAATCTCCAAACTTCGCTGGTGTTTGCGGCTCGTACTTGATTTCTGGCTCCATGTTTGCCTGATCTCGCAGCACAATGGGACACAGCGGGAGCGAACAGTCCAGATGGTCTGTGATGAGTGGTGGCAAGCTAACCACCGGATCCGATGTTTCTAGAGTGTGGAGGAAGTTACACTGGACATCCCGGCCGAATCGACGTCTTGGGTTGCAGTGACCTTTATGGTACCAGTGGAAGCAAACAAGATTGTGGTGGGTACGAGGACCTTTTGGTGGGTTGAAGGAATGTCGCGGTGCAGTAGGGAGGTCTGCTGATGGATGAGCACTCGTCAACGCAGCCCCAGGAAGTGGACCTGGCTTAGTTGGGAGTTGACGTGTTGGGTTAACGTGAAGCACTGGACTTGAGACACCTTGAGGTAACACCTTTATATCCCAGTGCGTAGTGCGATGTTTACGTTCCAGGATGGACACGAATCCACTGAGATCGGGTGTAGGCTCGCGTTTCGTGCGCTTGCTACTATGACTGTGTTCCCGTATCGAAGGTAGGCGTTGGTGTTTGCCCAGTGTGCCTGAATGGCTGATCGATTGCGTGGGCTGCTCGTCGCCTGCCTCTGAAGACGGTGGAAGAGATTCCAGGTCAGCAATGCCGAGATAATCCGGGCTGTCTGTGGATGGCGGCGGTAATGTCAACTGTAGGTTGTTGGAAATCGTTGGCGTGTGATTTCCCAAATCAGTGGTTGCCCTTACCGCAACTTCTTCGTCGATATCCTCATTCTCGTCATCGCTTTCGGAATCGGAACTGAACCCGGAAGGAGCGCTCTCAATGTTGGAGAACGCGGCTTCTGGAACTTCCTTGTCTTCCTGGTCACTAGTACCAGTATCGGAGCTGTCATCATCGCTGGAGGACTCCTCAGCCGTAGTTGTACGACTGAACATCGCGCCGTCGACTTGTCCGCCGAGCCCAGATCTCTTATTCTGCTGCCCCATGGCATGATTCATTGCCACCAGATCCTTGCGTAGGGGACACAGTGGCAAATCACAAGGTTCGTAGTGGATGAACCCAGGAGGAGCGACGATGGGCCATGTAGGGTGAGCTTGGTGCGCGAAATGACACTGCTCTCGCCGACACTGGCCATGATACCAGAAGAAGCAGGTTTCTCTGGGCGGGCCGACAGGAGCCGGTGAAGGCGACTTGAAGGTCTTGTAGTCGGTAAATGTGGGGACCGGGAGTGTCACTGATGTGTCTCTGGCCACCGAAGGACGCACTTTGGGTAGGTCTTGAGAATATTCAATTGGGTCCCAGAACTCAGGACATCCACAGACCCCATCCTGCGTTTCTCTGTGAGGACATGTGCGCTTCCTCTTCCTCATGCTCATCTTGACGCCCTTCTGGGAGGGTTGTGTCTCTTCGAGCTTACTTGCGTGTCCCATGTTGAAGTCATGTAAGGTGGACAAACTACTTCGACTACTCGTGTTACGCAGTTGAATGGAGGTGGGTAAAAGGTAGAAGAGCCAAGATGAGTGAAGTTTACATACCGTCACAGATATCCACGTGTATCACATGGCGGCGCTACTTAAAAGATCGTTGCTGTATTGAGACAATATGGGATATACAAAAACCAAGTGAGGCTATACAATCAATGATGCACAGTGAAAGACGAAGATTGCAAAGAGGATATCGGCAGATAACATAACTATGTAAGTCGAAGTAGAAAGGTCTGATAAAATAAGTCTGCCCCCGAACAATAGAAAACGAAGTCGTTATAAGCAAATCTATTTCGCACTTCACCACAGCATTCCCAAAATGCTCGAGGTCACCTTCACCGACACCCACGTACCAACAACCAACACACCGACGAAGATGCCAAGAGCCTTCAAGTTCCTCAACTCAATACTTGAGTCCTTGATTTTCCGCTCGCCATGGTCACCTAGCTCGGTCAAAGTACTGAACTCCGGAACGTACTTGAAGTCGAACGTCGTTTCCGTTCCAGCCAGACCAAACTTCGCATGGACGATCACATCGTACAAGATCTTCTTCATCCGGACGACATGCTTACGATCAAGCGAAGGGAAGACGCGGTAGAAGTAGGAGAAGCCCATGAAGAAGAGACACTGGCCTGCCATGAGGGACCAGTAGTAGGCTGACACACGTTTGAGACCAAGACGGTCGCACAAGTCATTGCCGTTTAGCCAGCGCGCACTAGCAATGAGCATGTCCGCGGACACGTATGTAGGGGGTTCCTCTTTGAGGGCAAAGACAATGTTGTTGGCCATAGTCTTCGACATATCCGAGGGATTGACTTCGTAGTACAGCAGTGATTCCATAATTGCTCTTGCCTTTGTTTGGGTCGCAAACCATTCGTCGGGCGTACCAAGGAGATATGCGATATACCGCCACAACGCAAGGTAATCCTCGATCTCCTGTTGTAAGAGGTAGATACCTTGACGAGGAAGGCTGATCCACATCAGAGACGAGGAAAAAGTGCCAATAGTAGCAATTTGGTCGAGATCGTTGACTGGAATCCCCCATTCTTCTAAGTTGTAGTAGCTGGGTCGTTGATGTGCTAGTTTGGTGATGCGCTGACGCACTGCGGCGTGTAGAAGACGAACCCGGATCGACGAAGCAAAACCCTCACCGCCTGGTTTGATACCCTCCAAAGATCGTGTGCACTGGAGGATGTGCTGTGTTGTCTCAAATAATCTTCTTCTTGCCACCTTCGTACTGAACCCTCCAGTACGTGCTAAAGTCTCAACAACTCGCGCGGCACCCATACCACCGAGTAATGACTGGAATGTAAGCCCAGTGAGAGCTGGCCCTCCATAGCGATAGAAAACATCCTGACCTCTTTCGATCTGAGCCCAGTCTACCCAATCCGGAACAGTGTTAACTTCTTTCCATAGCTGCCCAAGCTTTTCGTCGGACTGGTGATGCTCTTCAAGTAAAGCATACAGATCTCTCGAAGGTAGTGCGAGACCTTCCTTCTTTTCTCCTTCAGTTCCAGTCACTGCGGACGGCGCTGGCTGGTCACTGTTTCTCGGCAGCGCTCCCTTGGGTGGTGGCGAAATGACGTTAAGTCGCTCCAGACATTCTTCTCCCAGAACATCATAAGAGTGTTTTAAAGGTTTGGTTTGTTCAGGTGTGAGATGATGTTCTGTCCATTCGAACTGGTAGCCCCAGCAGCTATATCAGTGGTCAGGTTTCTGTCGCAGCATAGTCTACCACTTGTGGACATACGTCTTGGTGTTTTCCGTCCGTCTGCGGAACGGGTTTGGCCAAGTCATGACAAAAAAACAGCAAGCTCTACTTGCGCAAGACGATGCAGGACTATAGCGAAATATACAATCAAACAGTATCAACAAAGGATGAGCGAGTGCATGGGTAGGCGGAGGCAAATGACCATATGCTGTCTCGGCGCTTGGACCATGTGACGATCCGCTCCATTTTCGCCGCTTCGACACGAAGTCGAGATTTCTGGTGTCTTCCTGCGATCCGGATAGGGCCCGGCATGCTGGGGTGGTTACGTCCCGTGGTGGAGCGTGTCAGTTGGCGTGAAAGTGTGGAAGATGAATGGCGTCACGACACCAACCAAGACCCCTGTTGTGGCGTCGCAACGCTCTTGGCGCGTTTAGTTCTTTGCTTGTGAAAGATTGACGAGAGATGATCCATTTTTTGGAAATCACTACACCACATTATGAATCGCCACATATGTACACGAAGAACTCTCGGCCTCGCCATCCGCTCTTTCGCCAACGTCGAGCCCGTGTTTATTCCCCGACGGAGTCTCTATGAAAGCTCGCAGCCGCCACAATCGCCGAAGTTTCCTGTGCCTGAAAACGACGAGGAGACTCTGTTGAGAAGGGAAAGAGAGCGTCCAGCATGGCAGATTCAAAAAGAAGCTCTGAGGGAAAAGCTAGGAGGTGAGGCATGGAATCCGCGCAAGAAGCTTTCGCCAGACACGATGGACGGCATACGCCATCTACACAACTCGCAACCAGACAAGTTCACTACGCCTGTCCTCGCAAACCACTTCAAAGTCTCGCCAGAAGCTATCCGACGGATATTGAAGAGCAAATGGCGACCTTCAGACGAAGAGCAGGACGCGAGGAACGAGAGGTGGGACAAGCGAGGCGAGAGGATCTGGACCAACATGGTGGAGATGGGCATCAAGCCGCCAAAGAAGTGGAGAGATATGGGAGTTGGAAGGGCAGAAAATGGAGAGAGGCCTGTATGGAAATCCAGACCAAGGAACATGATTGAGATTAGGGACAGCGCGCCTGAGGAGCTTGTCCCTGAAGAGGACATCATACCGACTGCGGAGTCGTCTGGAAAGCCAAAGCCAAGGGTCAATATTCCTTTGTCTGAGCGACTTTGATACCTGGAAAATGAATATTCGCCAATAGCCTAGTGATGCAAGTTGCAAGTCAGACAAATCACCCATCATCGAATATCGAATTGTCTATCTACTCATGTCTATCTGGTGTAAGTTTAAGTGAAAGTTATGAGCAACGAAATCAAAGAGGACGAAGTTGGATGACCTTAGAAAGCCTACTGGGCTAACAATCCCAGTCAAAACAGAGTGGTCACGATCAAGGCACAGTTGAGTGTTCAAGAATCAGTTATTACATTAGGTGGTTTCTATTCTATCTCGCCCGTTTCCCCCACAATCCAAACGCCAGTCCCCAGATCCCAAAAAAGCACCTGGTATATCGCAAACTCCCATTTTGAAAAAGCACTTTTTGTCGTTTCGCGTCATCTTCTCCCCAACTTCTTCCCAATCAATTCCTCTATGCCTTGAATCCAGCGCCATATGTGGTAGCATACGCCGCGTTCATGGCTCGGTGGTGCTCAACAGCCGCCTTCTTGACAGCCGCCCACTTGGACTTCTTCTCGCCGGAGACTTCATGGCGAGCTTCCTCAGCGCTGCCCCGGGGAGTCGAAGCCACCGAGCTGCCTCGCGAGCCGGATGGGGATGTGGCGTGGCCGGGTGCGTAGAAGGAGGCGTAGGCGTCGTTCATGTCGTGGTGGTGCTGCTTGACGGCTTTCCAGGCCTTGCGTACGCTCGAGTCTGAGGAGGTGCGTTGGACGGGGGCGGGCATGGCGATGGAGTTGTTGCGCGATGGCTCGGGCGAGGTCTGGACGGAGCCGCCGGGGCAGTAGTAGGTGCTGTAGGCGGCGTTGACGCTCCTGTGGTGCTCTTTGGCGTGGGAAACGAAAGAAGAGAGGATGGAGGTCTTCTTCTGGGTGGCGGTGGTGGAGGACATTTTGATGTTTGTTGTTTGTTGTGGTTGGTGGTGAGAGGATGAAGGTTGTTGTAGTGGTAGTATGGAGAGTATTCGATATTTAGTAGTGGTAATCGAAGTCGATGGTTGATTGTTTGCTTGCTTGGTGTGCTTTGTATCGTGAGATGATACTCTTCACCAAGCTACTCCCCCCAACCCTTTATACCCCAACGTTCCACAAACACGCACACCCTATGACACCAGCCAAGTTTCGTAACTCACCTCATCAGCCATCCAGGAGAAAAAATTATTCACGAGCACGCCCTGCACACATTGAAATTTCCACGACCTTATGACACCGCTCTCCACCATCCAGCCAATCATACTGCTCAGAACCCCAGCAAGGCGCACCCTCGAGTCCGTGCCCACCAATCCCTCACGCCCTGCACGCGTCCAAGCCAAGTTTCCCGCCATATGTTTCCCGACGGCGGCCAAAACAGGCGTGCTCAGCGCCGCAGAGCCACCCAAAATTCTCCCATGCGCGACCGTTAACGGCAACGTCGCAGCCTAGCACGTCCTTTGGAGGTATAACCCAATAAGAAAAAGTTTTCCCCTGGCGGCTCTTCCGACGGAATGCGCATCGCTGGCTGATCATGCGGCCCCACCGAATACATAATCGTCTTGCTTTGTGAGTCTCACGTTGAGGCAAAATTTTCTCATGACTAAACCTCCAAAGGAAGGATTTAGACAGTTAAAGGATTGACACGAGTCTTGTTGTGCTGAGCGCGTAGGGTCTTTACGTACCGGTTTCCACTTTGCGTGTTACAGCACATTATGTTGTGATCGTGGCAGGGCGTGGTTGCATCGTGAGATCGCGATCGTGAGTCGCTGAGCACGTCTCTTGATTTATGCGAGGCGTCTAGACCGTGTGTTGAGGCTTTTTGAACGCATGGAGAGACTTTGATGTGATCACTGCGGGAGTAATTAGCGATGCCTTGGCCGGTGTGTTGTTGGCATGTTGCTATTTGGGGTTCTGCTCGCGCTCGCGATGGTCACGTCATGTTGTCGGAAAATAGGGATCGATTACGAGTTGCTTGTGACTGAATTGCTTCGTCGCTAAATTGCGTATGCCGATCGAAGTGATCATGTCGCGACCTTTACTCGGTATCAACGTCTGATGTTACTAACTCTTACACATAGTCGTTCCATACCAACGACGTAGCTGCCCAACCCCTACAAACCGTGTCCTCTGCTCAAGCGCTCCATCTCATGAAGCCAAAAATAGCATTGATAACAACTCCCATAACAACCGCCAACTGCCTCCGTCTGCTCCAAACTCCCTCTTCCCTAAACCCCCAAATCAGCGCTCCAAGCGGCCAGAAAAATCCCGTCATATATCCCCACAGCATATCATCTAACCCGCCATCCTCCACCGCAAACCCCGCGCCCCACCCCGTATCCCCTCCTTCCCCCGCCAATGCGGGTGACGGATCCGTGGCTGTGCTGTCCAGCCACCGATCCTCGAGGACGCGCATCTCGGCGGGCGAGGGCATGGTGTCGGGGGTGTGGGTAAAGGAGAGGTTGGTTTGGAAGTGAGAGCGTAGAGACGCGATTTCCTGCGGGGTGAAGCCAGACGTAAGCAGGCGGTCGAAGCCATGGGATTGGGGTGGTGGCGCGGCCGTGGAGCTGCGTCGAGGATGCGCATCGTTGCTTGTGCTGGAGCGACGCTGGGAGGGCGAGGTTTGTGAGGTTTCGTACTGCGCTTTCAGCGTGGTTTCGGTGGCTTGCGCGAGGGTGGCTTCACTGGCCAGCTCCGAAGGTGTGAGGGCATCCCCTAGAGAGCAGTGTATGTAGTACTTCTTCGCTTCAGGCGGTATGTCTGTAGCTGTGCCATGCTCTGTTGCCGGTGCGTCTCGCAGCGGCTGCTTCCCTTTGCTCTTGCTCCCTGGCCCGTTCTCGTGATACGCCCCATCCCGCGGCGGCGGAGGCAGAGGCGGCGGTAACCTTAGCGACTTCGACAGCGAGGTTGCGTCTGCGAGGACTTTGCCTGCGTATATCAACCGTAGACGCGCCAATGCATGGTCAGGCGGCAGGTGAGATCGAATCAGCTGCTTCAGGGAAAGCGTGGCTAAGGTCCTCGGCGAGTGGATGGATAGTGGCAGATCTGGTACTGACGCCGTGAAGCGTATGATTAGATATATGATCTGCTCGGGAAGAGGTAGCGCGTTCGCCATGGTGCGAACTATGGGAGACTCCCGCGGAGCTCGGGGGTAGTCGATGCAACCTGACGGCTGGGCTGCTGATCGGGGACGACGTGTTCGCAGTCGGACATGGCGATTAACAGTACAATAGAGCAACGCTTGTCATTTTCGTGAAGTCATCCTCGGAATGTACGTTTGCCGTGTTGCTGAGCTACCGCAGTGATCATCGCGATGGTCCCGCTTGGCGTTCCGAGGTAATCCGCACGAGCACCACTTTCTGGTTGACCCACATCTTGACCTACAAGTAGTGCTCTTTCAAACTCGCCCTTCAAATCCGCCCACTCTCATCAATCGAACCATCACAGAAGTCTGAGCTGTTTTCAAAATGTCCATCGTTCACATTGTACTATTCGAGTGGAAGTCCACACTGTCCGCCGAGCAAGTCGAAGAGGCAAGTCTTGCAGCGACCACCCCTGATACACGTTCTAACTTAGCAACATACAGGCATGTGCACGCATGCTCGCACTCGGCCAAAAATGCGTTCACCCAACTTCCCAGACTCCATACATCAAGTCTTCCACTGGAGGCCGTAACAACAGCCCCGAAGGCTATGCTGTAAGAGCAGTCCCCTCAAACCCCCCCTGTACAGCCAAATCTAACAGCTCGTTAGGGTGGCTTTACGCACGGCTTCGTAGTCGAGTTTGAGAGCGAGCAAGACCGCGACTACTATGTGCACAAGGATCCAGCCCACCAGGAGTTCCTCAAGTTCGCCTTGCCACTTGTGCAAGATGTAAAGGTGGTAGACTACGTGCCTGGCAAGATGTAGGGCTGAGATGAATGGAATGCCCATAAGAGGTTGCTTGTAACACTGAATAGTGCAAATAGTATTCATAGGACATGGTGAATGTGCCGAGGTCTACCACCGAGTATGCTACGCCAGGTGATGCATTCTTGCCCATCGAACAGGTCGTGAATTAGGGTATCATGAAACGCTGAAGGATTCTCCGCAACCGCACTGCTCAGCTGCATGTTTGTTAGCCCAGCTCCTCGAGTTCCTTCAACAATAAACTCACTGATATTTGGGTTTTTGAAGATGAACCGCTGGTTCAACTTATCCTCCAGCCAGTCCATCTCACTCCCAATGATGTTTAATAGCGCCTTGTTATCAATCAAAACCTTGACACCATCCTGGTTCACCTGCTCGTCCAGCATGGACGGCTTATCTACATATTCCAGATGATACGCCAGCCCAGAGCACCCCTTTGCCCGCGTCCCTATCCGAATCAGCTTTGGCTCCGGCTGCTCGAGCAGCTCCTTCAGGTGCGCTACAGCGGAGGGCGAGAGCTTTATTGTCGCCTTGCGTGGCCCAAAGTTGTATCGCCGCGGTCGGAGAGGTTTGCTTGTGGGCGCTGACTGGCTGATCTGTGCCTCGCCTTCTGGTATGCTCACACTCGGTCGGTCTTGTTGTGAGGTTTGGCTGCGCTGTTCTGAAGACAGCCGTGGCGGTAATGAGCTGTTTGCCTCGGGTACTCCGCCTGCTATCGATGTGTCTGGAACGCCGATGTTGCGCGGTGGTAGCTCAGCATGTAGCGAGGAGGGTTGATAGGCGGTTGCCGTCTGCATCTGTCGCTTCGACGATTGCCGGGACGGCGACGAAGAGGAAAATGTTCGCAAACATTGTGTGCACGGGCGGGGAGTCGAAGGAGCGGCGAATCGTCGGAATGCGGAGGCTGAGGAGCGCGCGAATGCGCTGGTTGTGCGCGGCAGAGACATGGTCGCGGATTCGAAGCAAGAGGTTGTGCGATCAGAGGCAAGAATGGCAGCGAGTGATTTGTAGAGAGATACTTGGTTGGTCATACAACTGTCACGCCTTGTAAATTCGCCCAGTGCTATGTCATGCACGGGAACTACCGGCACACCGTATCATTACCAAGCAAAGCGATGTGACTGGCTACTCTTTTCAGTTGCTTCCGAAATCTCGGAACTGGGCATTCCATCCAATCTCGAATGCGCTCTCAAGAATAAGTGGTATTTGACAATTTATTGATTTACGATCTAATCATCATGATGAGACCACCGTCACACGGGCCCCACTGATACGTTAACCCCTATTGAGGCCCCTCTTCGTGTGTTCTACTCTGTGAATACTGTCATTCAATCCAACTCCATTCATTCACAAACGCGTATCATGTACTTCATTGACTCATATCAAGCTTCTGGTCGCTGACCTAGAGTTCGATTGTCTCTTGTTTACCCGACCCCATCTCGCTGAGTGGTCCCTTCTTGACCATCAGCGTCATTACCTCAAACAAAACATCCTATGTGGTGTTAGTAAATACTCAATTCGGATCGGAGATGTCACTCACAGCAGCAGCCATAGTTGTCAGCTCAGCATTGGTATCGTAAGCGGGGGCGACTTCAACAATATCTGATGCGATAAGGTTGATACCCTCGAGGCCACGGATGATGGTGCGAAGCTCGCGCGTAGTCCATCCACCAGTTTCCGGCGTACCAGTAGCAGGCGCGACTATCCACCCCGTCAGCTCAGATTACACATGTCTTTATATCAGAAGCGACTTACAAGCTGGGTCCAGAGTATCAATATCAATTGACAGGTACACAGGCTTATCTGTACCGACTCTCTCCTTGATCTTCTTGATGATGCCATCAGTGCCGATCTTGTCAATCTCCCTGGCCTCGACAATTTGGAAGCCGCAGTAGCCGTCATTCTCATAGTCAGATGGTCCGGACAGCGTCGTGCGGATGCCGGCGTGGATGTTGGAATCGTTGGCAAGAAGACCTTCTTGCGAGGCGTGGAAGAAGTAGGTTCCGTGGTTGATGCTGGCTTGCTCGCTGGGAGCGCCGCCAAAGACCTTGGGCTTCCAAGTGTCGCTGTTGCTCTATCAGTCATTGCTCTCCTACGGTTGGAATATCTGGAGCTTACAGATGACTATCGAAGTGGATGACACTGATCGGGCCATACTCGCTAGGACATAAAGTCAGTGTCGCGTATTTTCATAAATATGTGCGCGGCGACTTACCGATTGATAGAGCGCAAAAGAGGGAGAGTGATGGTGTGGTCACCTCCAAGAGTGATCAACCGCGGCAGGGTCTTGCCCTCCTTGGAAGGGCCAGGCTTGTCGGCATGAGTGGCCGGAGCCCGACTCAAAAGTAGATTGTGACCTTCTTCAATTTGCTTCAGCGCATAGGCGTTGTCGTATCTAGTACCACAAATTAGATCTGGGAACATCGTAGACAGGTGAAACTTACGAGGTGACTGGGATGTCTCCGCAATCAATGACCTTTGCCCACGAATCGAAGGGATTCGCTTTGAGTGGAACGTTGTAACCGCCACTAAATCGAACCTTTCGTGAGCCTTTATGCCCACAAAAGACAAAAAGTAAGCATTTGACTGCTTCAGGGAAACATACTAGAGATTGAGTCGGCGAGAACCTTGTCTGATGCCACTTGGTCCGAAACGGGCACCTGGACGGTACGATGTCCCGGTGTCGAATGGAGCGCCTATGAACGCGATATCAAATTTGACCTTGTTGCTGGAAAGGCATGGATAATATGGGAGGCGACCGAATGTGGAGATACCCGAGAAGATGGAGTCGGCCTGCTTCAATGTTAGTACTTACTCGATGATTAGAGTGTAAACGGGAGATTTTACCTGCGTTCCGCCATCACCAGGAAGAGTGTTGTACCACAGTCCCTCGTGTGGGCCAATTGGGTCCTGATCTTTGTTGTGGTCGCCATGGGCGGACACAGCAGCTGCAAAGCCGAGAACAACTGGAGAGAGCTTCATTTTTTGGCAATTGAAGCACTAGAGAGTAACTGAAATGATAAAAAGACCCGGAGACGTGGGAAGTCCAGATAAATAGCTGTGAGAGGCTTGCGGGTTTCTGTCCGGCATCTCGACAAGCTCCTGTAAGGTAAACAGCTTGGAGCTACCCCGGTACACTGTGTCATAATAATGTATGCAGGTTCAGCAACCGAGTACCTACAATCAGTTAGAAGCTGTCGATGAGCTCTAGGCATCGGCGTTAGGTCGGCGGATCCATGCTTGAGCTGAGTTCTCCGTATCTCCAGATAGCTGTTGATCAATGACTGATTGTTCATGTAAATAAGAGGTTTTCGACGATTTGCGCTCTCTATATCTACACTGAGGCATGCAAGCCACTTTGGAGGCTTGAGAAGCCCGGTGTAGGTCGTTGTTATGCCAGGTGAAGTTACAAGAATGTAGCACAACCGTTGTATCGAAGTGGAGTCACCCCGCCATGTGTGATGACGGAACCGTAGTCTGGGGATCGAAAGACGACGAATGAGAAGACAGATGCACGATGCCGTAAAGTCAAAATTCAGCACGTTGTATCTTGATAACCAGTCTTATCAGAAGCGGGATAAGAAGCTGGAAACCCATGCAGGTTACGTGCTTCCGATGCAACTCTTACGTATTTATCGACGTGCAAACAGAGCGCTCGATGTTGACGCACGTTTCGCAAGCTCGGGAGAAAGCTATCAGTGGCCGCTGGGTTCGGAACTCCTCTATGAGAATCGATTCGACAATCTATGTTTCGTGGATGATGAATGATCTGTAAGCGATAGCCGAGTTGATGTCAGAACTACCCTAGACATGCTCAAGATAAGTCAATTGGTTTCCTACTGGATGGTCCTGCACGATATGTCATCGAAGGAACACGTTGGAGCGGGGGGAGACAACGGGATGGAGGTAAGAAGAGGTGACGTTCAGACGAGCGGAACCAGGGTCTGGCGCTAGAGCCTCGCTTCGCCCATTTTGGGTAGTTTTTTGACACATAGTGCATGAGATCACCGGAACTCCTATCTATCTCTACTCGTGTAATTGTTCAAACACCGTTACTAAGCTTGAAATATGCCGGCAACTTATCTAGTTCTACTCTGCGTTCGGCTCATCGTCCTCGGCGACACCCAATTCTGCCCGGTCGTCCGAGTCCATCCTCTCAAACGCCTTTTTGACTTGATAATCCCAATTGCTCCAGGCCACAATGGCCCACTCTCCAAAACCGACTAGGTACAGGGCAATGCACTGACCAATCCAAAGCCCAGCAAGACCCCAGCCGTGGAAAGCCAGATAGATGCCCAGTGGTAAGGCTCCGCAATAATAGCTGACAATGTTGACGGTGGCCCCGATGTGTTGTCTGCCCATTCCTCGTAAAGCTCCACCACAGCTTCCGTTGAGCCCATCAGCAATTTGGAAAAGTGCGACATAGGGCATCACCTGCGCTGTGAGTTTGATAACTTCAATGTCATCGTTGAAGATCTTTGCGTAAACGTCCTTGACTCCCATCAGGATGGCCAGAACAAGGGTGCCCAATATCATACTCAACACAGCTGCGGTATTTGCAGCTCTTGCTGCGCCCTTTGCATTGCGCGATCCCAGGAGGTTGCCAACGCGAGAAGAGGTAGCAACTCCCACTCCAAAAGGTATCGTATTCAGCACCTGATCAGTTGTCATGATCACACTTTGTGCAGCCAGTGGTATCGTTCCGAGTTTGCCGGCGACAAGAGCAACGATCTCGAATGCCCACCATTCTGTCCCAACGTGTATGACTCCGAGAAAAGCCAAGCGCGCAAATACCGACATGTTCTGGAGACACTTTCGACTCCAACCTCCCCAGCATTGCCAACCGTCCACAAATCGTGCGTAGGCGAGGAGGAGAAGGAACGAAACCCAGTAGGAAATCCCAGTAGCGAGCGGTGCGCCGAGAAGTCCCATCTGGAATGTGTAGATGAAGAGGAAATTCAGACCGGCGCTCAAGGGGGAAGTGATGAGGAGAACGTAGGTACCTGGTCTCATGATTTCTGTCTTTATCAGCTTTTGAACGTAGAAATCTACGGACTTGCATACCTTGAGCTTGTAGATACTTCTTCAAGGCCTCGAAATAAATGTAACCAAGTCCGCCTGGAGCAAGCACTGTCAAGAACTTCGCTGAGTCCCGCGCGATGTACTCTTCTTGGCCGAGAGCTTTGAAAAGTGGTTTCGAGCAAAACCAAAGAATTGTAACTGGTATGTAAAACAGTAGGAGCACGATGAACGAGCGCTGTAGGATGATGCCTAGATCGTGACGATTCTTGCTTCCTGTAAAACTTGCGGATGCCAACGTATCAATTGCCGTGGTCCCCCCGAGAGCAATGAGCCAGCCTGTAGCCATAGCGAACATGTAAGAGAAAGCAGCTGTTGCCAAGGCCTCCGGAGAAAGTCGTCCTACAATCAGGACAGAGATCGTTTGGAGTGAATTTTGGAGTGCATAAGCCAGCACTACAGGTAAAGAGCCTTTGAGTAGAATCCAGAATTCCAGTAAGATGACTTGGGATTTCGAGGCGGCATCGTCTTCAAACTCGTACGTTTCGCCGGTTGTCCACTCGTCATGTTGTGTGGGTGGAAAGAGAGACGTATGTTCGTCTGGTTCGGCACCGGTATCTTTCGACTTTTGAAAAATACCAGGGATCCAAGACCTCTGTTTGTTTGTGTTGTTCGCCATGCTGGGCGTAAGTTGAAAGACAGCAGAAAAGGATCAGAAGAAGGCCCTATCGTATAGGAAGAGAGACAGAATTTGTACGCCTGATGTCAACCCCAGAATGTGGACTGCATGCAACATGCGACATACTATGCCTACATGAGGGAATTTGAGACGCAAGAGAGTGGAGGTTGATAGCGTTTGGTGCCTACATGTTTTAATGGACCATACTGCGGCAACGGACATAACCAGTGTATTAGCCTAGGGTCTAATTACACCGAGCGAATCAATGAAGGCGGCGCGGACGGAACAACATGCGTGTAGCTGTGGACTTTGTCGGCAAAGAGAGATCGGTAGTACCTATGACTGGATGCGTATGCAGCTATAGTCTTATCGACTTGCATTCACCCCAGCCTGGCTGAGGCTTTCAATTAGTTTTACGTGAATTGCGAGCTCTTAACATCTCACAGGTCCAATCGGTGCGACTGGAAGACACTCTTCGTATCGGCACGACGTTGTGGGCCTTCGCAAAACGCCCCCGAGCCTGTCTGGCCGTGCGCTATCGAGCCAGAGCGAGCCGTGTCGAGTTTGAGCATTGCGATGCAAGGATTCACTGGTTAAGCATCGTCTTACGCAGATAGCGATACGCTGTCAGTAGCCTCAAAATCAGGTGGAGAAAAGAAACGGGGAAGGAAGACGCTAGTGGTAAATAGGCAAAGCCAAAACCGGCGTTGTCCGCACCTGCGGAGCGGAAAATCATACCGCTCATTCTACCACATACACAAGTACACATAGGTACTCTCATCCGCATGGCTTGATATATGAGACTGTCTCTTCAGTTAGTCCGATCGCGTTGGCTATAATTCTCTGCAGCTAGCTCCACTATTGCGAGCTCACATACCGCATCAAACAAACGTATCCTCTGTGCTCCGAAAACAAACTGTACCAAATCAGCCAAGCTGAACCGTAGAAGCTACAACATTGTATTTCACTCTCGTCTCTGTCTAGTAAGCGTGCTATATGTGTTGCCAACTGATCTATCGTAGCTTATGTCAAAGTTGCTACTAGCCCTAGGTACTACGGTTGATTTATAGTAAACTATAACCATTAGCTTCTGATTAATTCTTATCTAGTTCACAATGAATCATGCTGTTATTTTTAACTTGACTTGATTTCAATATAGTACATACTTTTATGAATTCGTTTACTTTGAAATAGTGTTTTAATCATTTCACGAGGCAGCCGCGCCCGCCCAACACCACGTACAGTCTCGCGAGCCGGTCTCTGGCGAGCCGGACTCTCGGCTATCGCTGAGCCACTCCAGCAAGGCGCGTAAGCCAGGTACTCGAGGAACCCCACCTTGCCTTCCATCGCATCGCCCATCCGGCTCAGTCGAGCAGCTGTATCCATAACCAGCTCCAATAGCTTGTATCAAGTACAAGGGAATCCAGATCTGAGGAACACTTCGAGAAGTCGGCCATGTGGACGCTGGCGCACGTCCAGTGGGCCTGCATCAGGGCAATCGCCCACACCTCGCTCTACGTCAGGAGCTCACCCTGGCTTTCTCCTATGACACAGCCAGACCGTATCGAGAACTACCCTTGTCGGCCGAATCTTTATGCTTGCCGTATCTTCACACCAAAGGACCCCCAGGGGAAGAAGACTCTGCCCCTCGTGATCCGAGCTCACGGTGGCGGCTTTATCATCAATTATCCTGCAGCAGACGACGTCTTGGCGCGACGTCTGGCTGACCAGGCAAATTGTATCGTCGTCAGCATAGACTATAGTAAAGCTCCTCAGAACAAGTTTCCCGCTGCCTACGAGGATGTCATCGCTCAATCGCTTGCCGTGATCGATGATCTAGAATTGCCTACCGATAAGTCAAAAGTCGTACTTTGCGGCAGTTCAGCTGGAGGCAACCTTCTTCTCGGCGCGGCGCAAGATTCGCGGCTCTGGCCCAAGATCTTGGGCGTTGTGTCGATATATCCTGCCGTTGAATTTGAACCTAACAGCGATACGAAGATGGCAACTCGTCCAGATCCTTCAGTCCCAGATTTTATAGGGAAGAGCTGGGATACAATCCAAAATCTATACGTCGACGAAGCCCAGAAACCATCCATGGAGGATGTGCGCGTGAGCCCAACGTTCTTCGCTACGAGGGAAAGCTTGCCATCGGAAGTTTTACTCATTGGAGCTGAGCATGACATGTTCTGCCGCGAGCTCGAAGTCATGGCCGACAAGCTTGCGGGTGACAAGGCTAAGGTTCTGAGCAAAGAAGGCTGGAGAGCGCCGGGAGTGCAATACTATAAGGTGTATGGTCAACCACATGCATTCGAAGGCTTTCCCGTCAAGGATACCGAAGCAGAGAAGGCGAGAGTAGCTGCAACAGATGCCATGCTCAACAGCATATCAGAGTGGCTGATAAACACCTTCTCCAAAGCCAACAGCCACTAGCGCAAATTTGCTGGGCGTTGGCGTAGAAAGCAAGCCCATACTCAAAACGTGACGACAAGGAAACACAAGATAGATCGTTGTTTCTCGCCCTGGAGCGGGCCGAGATTTACTGCAACCTGCAAGTCAACCGAGGCTGTAAGCCATCTTGTCTCACCAAATCCAAGCGATATGGTGAGGCCTCCAATTTTACAATCGCTTTTTGGAAGTTGTTGGTGGTGGGAGCCTCAGCATGGACATCAAAATTGCATAAAGACTTTCAAGATCGCATTGCTGTCGACTTGGACCCCAAGCTAAACCTCCACTTCAATTATGCTAGCTCTGACGAACATTAAAGCCTCCACTTCAAGGTCGACAGATTGACAGCGGGAGATGGCGACAGCGGGTCTACAGATTCAGGAGCTTCACGCACGACATGCATGAAATTCCATTCTCCAGACAAGGCTCTCTTATCTCTTTCTTCAACAGTGGAGGCTCGAGATGAGTACTTCAGATTTATGTATCCAGCAGTGTGCCTTTTACTCCGTTATCTTTCTCCTTATTTTCTTCTTTATCATTCTCTTCTGGATCTGCGATCCTGGCATTTTGATTATGATGTTTCTTCTGAGTTTTCTCCTCAGACATGTCATTGACTCGTTCACTCTCTCCTTCCTTCCACCCTATTTCTAATACCCTTGACCAACCCATAAAGATCTGCGAAACTGTCTTCGAGGGGTATCATGTAGCCAAACACAGAGTGCGAATTGCGTTTTGCCTAAGAAAACTCAGATGCGTTCTGGGGGTTCATCTACCATGTGGAAACATGATGCCTGGCAAATTGTACAGGTTCTTCGCATGGTTGCAAGCATCTAGCTTAACAAGCAAGGCCTTGCTACGGTTGGAAATGTATTTTGTCATGAGATGAAGCCGCATCTTACATTGTGTTGGACTGCCTTCACTTGGTGATTATATTTCTGGGACTAAGGTGCAGCGAAATTTCAAACAGCTAGAGAACTATACGCGAACTTTGTGTAAAATTTGTATGCCACAAGTATTGATAGTATGCGCCTTGTCTAAGGTATCTTTATCCTCGAATTCTGGATATTCGTTACGTTATCAGCGAAGAAGGACGTAGCTTAACCCCTGGCAGTTCGACCAACTAAGGGCTGGTTCTTTTTGCCGCTCCGTCGCTTGCATGCTTCAAATCAAGGGCCATCATCCGGTGCCTGTAGAAAGCGTTTCATCATATACGACGTACGTTTCTGGGGGCTGTGAACAACAAGGTCGGGATCGAAACCAAGATTCCTGCGGCAGAGAAGCAAAGAAAGCCTTGATATGTATGGCTGTAGGCCTCTGATCTGGCTCTCGCCTAACCATTTGTTCAACAATAGAAATCAGGTTGGGTGGGAAGAAATCAGGCGATTCGGACAGCTTTTCAATCCATTGAGACACTTTGTCCATATTTGCATGGAACGACTCGTCGTCACCATCTCCACGCCGGAACTCAGCGAAATCGTGTGGATGAAGATCATAGTACGTAGTCAAAATTTCGAGAAACACACAACCGAGAGAGAAGATGTCCGAGGATCGACCCCGAGACTCGTACTTGTAGACTTCTGGCGCACAGTAACGTGGAGTACGTGAGGTAGGTCCATCGGTTTGACTGTGATCTTGTGCTGCAAAGGAGCGGGAGAGGCCAAAATCGGCAAGGTAGACTCGCCATTCTTTTTTACTCCAGAAGGAAATATATTTGTCAGATATGAACGCTGATCTTACAAGGATATTCTGAGGTTTGATGTCCATGTGCTTTGTGGTATGCTCGTGTACGAAGGCGATTGCGGAAGTGAGACAATGGAGGCTACTTGCTAGAAACACATACCGATCAACTTGGTAGTCCTCCATATCTGCGGTATCATCAAGAAAACGGCCAAGGTGACATTCAGCAACCGGATACATCAAGATTGAGAAGTTACGACCTTGAACGTAGGAGCCTACGAGTTGGACGATGTGAAAATGTCTGAGATTTTGTAGATGGTACACTTCGCGAAGAGCATCTGCAACGGCCCACTTACGTGAGCATCTCATCGTTTTCCTTGCGATTGCGATTCGCCGGCAGAGTACTTTTTCAACCGTTGCCGTCAATGACGCACCAAGATGCGACAGGACCTTCAGAGGAACTTTTTCTCCGGGTAAAAACGTGACGTGTTGACCTTTTCCTGACCAGTTTAATTCCTTGTCAAAAGGTTGGATGAGATTTTGTTGCTCGAGAGCTGCATGATAGTCGTTTTGTAACTTCATGAGTGGTCTTGATAGAGTTGGGCCTGTCGCATCTTCTTCAAGAATTGTCTCTATCCTCATCGTAGGACTTGGTTCCATAGTTAGATTGTAGGCTGGGCTGTTGTACGCGGAACGAGCGGTAATGAAAGACGCTGGACTGCTAGCTGTCATAAAACTTGCTGGCGAGTTAAAAGTCGACATCGCTGCGTGGCCGGTTTCCTGACAGGATTTATCTGATGACTGATGCATGTGTGCGAAATAAGCATATCGCTGAACATGTGACCGTAGAGAAGGCAACGGTTCGAAACAGAAGGATTCCATGTTCTCGTCCTGCATATATTCATCATGATAGATTTCGTGATAGGTAGGTTGCGGTGAGAACAGCGACGGATCCATGTCGAAACCGGCTTCATATTCCTGTAACGGGCTAATTTCGAATTGCCCGAATGAAGACGACAAATCTGGTGCGGTCTGCAGGCCCCTCTCTTCCAACAATCCTATGGGCGGCTGCACAGCCTCACCACCAGACATTCGATTTGAAGGAACCGGATCTTCACATTGGGAAGTTTGAAATAACCGAAAATCATCCATTTCAACGTAACAGAGTGCGTTACGCTTTCTAATTCAGGTCGAAGGATAGTTCCCACAACGCGAGAGAGTGTGACTCCAAGGCGGAAAAGCCGACGTCGTATGCCACAAGGCTGAACCCTATCGGCCGGCTTGTGTGACGAGAGGTAGAGATAACCGTAAGCGATGGGATGACGAGAAGTAAACGCTCCACTCGTACGCCGCGAAGAAGCCAAACAGAGGTCAGACAAAGGTATGAAGGGTTAGAGTGTTGAAGTGTTGAAGACACGGTGCGGCTGACGTTGACGTGGTGAGGTTCGTCATACACAGCCTCGCCTGCGCCTTCCTGCAACGAAGTGAGGAAGGTGCTAAGCGCACCAATACTTCTACTGTGTAGCAAGCCACATCTTGCAGCATGCTGTGCGAAACCATCTCTTGATCTGCTGTGAATACTCAGATGATACTACAAACATATACTGTTGAGTTTATATCGAAAAGGAGAACAACCGCATTCACGTCAATCCTTAACCAGAGCAATCACTTCTGTTGGTCCATACAATGCTGTACGCATGCAAGAGGTATACACAGTGTTGATACAGATCACTACGTCGTTATGTTCAATGCCCTCATGTCCTCAGCCGACTCTCGGTAGACTTATTGCTCGAGCTAACCAACGCGGCCCAAGCATCTCCACCAGTATTCTTCTCCCGTTTTGACGCCTTCATCAGCTCATCCAGACCACCTGAAGATGCAGAGCGAGACTGGCGGCCATGGCGGGTCTCCTCCAACGTCAACTCAGCATACACCTGCTGGCCACCCGATGTCCTGGCCCTGATCGCTCTATCCGCCTTCTTGATCGCATTCCGGAGGTACTGCCGTGTCTCTGCGTCCAGCGTCTGGTTCGAAGGCGCTCTCTCAGCATCTTTGATAAGTTTCGCGTACATAGCCCTCCTGTTTTCTTGCCATGCTTCGGGTCCTCCGGCTTCTCTAAGCATCTCGTCCCGTGCAGCAGTCTTTTCAGCGTTCTGTGACTGCTTCCACGCTTCGTAGCTGCCAGTCTGTTCAATCTGCTGACGTCTCCATTGGTTGTAGGCGATCTTCCTTGCTTCGTGATCGTTGATGATGGGTAGTTTGAATTGTGTCCTGACTTTTTGGAGGTCTTTAGAGCTGAACTGCTGCCCAACCTTCTCGTCGAACTTCTGCTTTAGCTGCGTGCTGGCTTCCTCTCGCTCCTTCGCACGCACAAATGCTAGCTTTAGTCCTTCTTCCTCGCTGTCCACCAATCCTCGCTTCAAATAGCGTTCAGCAGCTTTGACGGCCTTGATGTACTCGCTAACGGCTTCGGTGGTGACTTTTCGTTCCTGCTGTCTAAGTGCCTTGGACTGGGTTGGGGCAGGGCTCTGAGAGGTTGCTGGTTCCACCGCATCCCATGGTTCTTCCTCTTCTGCTTCTCCCATATAATCCTCCTCATCAACAACGAATCGTGACTCCCCTGTGAGAGTGGCCTGTTCAGACTCCCTCGCGAGAATGGCTTGTTCAGAATCCCTCGTAAGAACGTATTGTGCAGACTTTTCTCTAGCCATCATTTGATGGGTAGGCCATTGCTTGTCGATGATAGCTTGATCAATCCCCAGTTCAGCAGCTTCAGCCCTCAACCGTGCAATTACGTCGGGCTTTTGCATCAGCGTCCATCGTAGCGCCCACCCAGTGGGTCCCAGCTCTTTGATGCGAGATTCGGTGCTCTTGAGCAAGTATTCGTCCAGGCCACCCTCGCGATCGATTGTCTTGAGCACGTTCGAGGTGATGCGCAGCTTTACTCTCTTCTTAAGTGCCACAGAGAACAAGCTTTTGGAGAGAACGTTGGGCTTCCATTTCCGTCGCGTCTTCGTCTCCGTCTTGTGGGACACGTTGTTGCCGTATTGGATCATCTGCTCGCCGTAGAGACCCTTGTTCGACTGCTTGAATAACTGATAGTCGCCATATGGGTATTCGGGGATGAGTGCATCTTGGGGGATGACGTGTTTGGGGAGATGGGAGCCGAGATCGCCGCCGTGTTTCCGCTGTAGAGGGTTTTTGTGGAGGGGAGACGAGGTGGAGAAGGTCCGCTGCGTGGACTGCGGGTTGCGGAGGACTGCTCCAGACGAGGCGAGGCGCCCTGAGAGCAATTGGCACCGGGGATGCATGACTGTAGAGACGGCCAGCGGTGGGTGAGCCGACCGCGTTGTGATGGATGGTGATGGACACACGGAAGTCCGAAGATTCTGAGATGCGCCCGTGCCACAACGTAGCGTCCACTCGACGAAATGCGGGCAGTCCCCCAACACCATGCAAACAGAAACAGTGCTTTGATAAGAAGTGTCTAGTGCCTCGACTTGTGGATTTCAGATCTTTGCCATCATCTCTCGACCATCTCTCCACAAACATATCGAAAACCCCACACACAAAGCTAAAATGCAGCAAGAAGGCCCATCAACCGCGAACATCGCAGCCGCATGCGCCCTGATGGGAGGCGTAACAGGCTACTTTCTCGGACAGGCCAAATCATTGGGTCTGTTTGGCGGCAGTGCTGTTTCTGAGCCTACACTGGAAAAGGGCGAGAAAGAGGAGGATTCAGACTCCAGCGATGAGGACAATGAAGAGGAAGACGACACAGCGCCTGCTGAATTCCCAGGTCACACTGAGGAATGCAAGATGGTGCTGGTGGTAAGGACAGACTTGGGCATGACTAAAGGTATCACGCGCCTTCCCACTGTGATGCTTGTGAGCATATACTGACAGATCCCAGGCAAGATTGGTGCGCAGTGCGGTCACGCAACATTAGCCTGCTACAAGCACTTCCTTCGACACGCCCCAGACTCAGCTATCCTCAAGCGATGGGAGCGACTCGGTCAGGCAAAGGTGGCACTACAGGTCAAGGGTGAGGAGGAGCTGGAGATACTACAGGCTCAGGCAGTGAGCTTGGGGCTGGTGGCACATATCATCCATGACGCAGGTCGAACTCAGATCGCGAGCGGCAGCGCGACGGTGCTGGGCATTGGGCCTGCGCCAAAGGGAGTGATAGACCAGGTCACCGGCCATCTGAAGCTGCTGTAGATACCATGCATCGTTCACTCAGCATGCATAGACATTCACTTCACAGAAGGAAACGAGGCGTGTTCGGTATGTAGCCAACTGGGTTTGTCCCAAGCGTCATGGGCCGACGGCCTAGCAAAAGGGAACAGGAATCAGTCTGCCTGGCACGCGCCTTCCACCGAGCTCAAACCCGAAGGTGAACTCAGGCCTCTAGCAACGCGCCGACTTGCTCTCCAACCTGTCGTCCGGAAATTGACATCATGGGGATTTGATGGCTCCATAGAACGGACGAACTGCCAGCTCTCAACCGAACACGCCCCGAAAGACGGACGGGAAAACTGGCACAGGTCGTTGGTGAGAGAAGCTTGAGGGAGACGCGTAGAAATTTATTTTGTACCCTCGCGGAAGTGGAGCCGGCTAGTAGCTAGTGGCTTGGCAATGTATCCGCTCGATCCAACGTTCGCCTTTGCATGTCTCACGACAGTGACATACATGAGCACACTGCGCATTCAGTGAACAGCACGTCAAACCCCGATCTCGTCTACCTGTATCTTGCACTGCCACACTCCACCATTTTCTCTCGTCTTGTACTTCTACACCTCCCACGCGAAACCGAGTAATCGCGACCGACCATGGCGGACCTCTCCATCGAGGAGGCGAACAAGATTCGCCTGTCCATGGGTTTGCCTGCCCTGCCTGGATCTGGCGCCACAGTAGCCCCGTCTGGACCAACTTTCAAGCCAGCGAGAGACGACGACGACTCTGACGAGGAACCCGCGAGCACCATCGACACACGCCAGGCTGCCGCGCACGACAACTGGCAGAAGCTACAGGACGAGCAAAATGCCAAGAAGAAGCGCGAAGAGCGGACAGCTGCGATCAAAAAGGAACGCGAGAAGGCTGCGCGACATGCGAAGCTTGATGGCAAGGGTCTCGCGGATGAGATGAACGACGATGATGACATGGCGTGGTTAAAAGGCAGCAAGAAGCGCCAGAAGAAGATCGCCAAGGCTGAGCAGACGCAGAAGGAACTCGAGGAGCGGGAGCGCCAGGCACGCGAAGCGATGCAGTATACCGAATCAGATCTCGCTGGTGTCAAAGTCGGCCACGAAGTAGATCAGTTCGACGATGGAGAAGATCAGATCTTGGTACTGAAAGACACGGCAGTTGACGGTGAAGATGACGACGAGCTGGAAGCAGTCGCGATCAAGGAGAAGGAGAGGCGAGAAGAGAGGCTAAATTCTAAGAAACGCAAGATGGCCTATGACCCCAACGACATGGACGAGTCTGGCCAGAAGTCGATATTGGCACAGTACGACGAGGAAATCGATGGAAAGAAAAACAAGGCCTTCACACTAGATGGCAAGGGTCGCACGGTCGAGGATATCGAAGCTGAAGCTGCAGGCGCTGCTCAGCCGAAGAGGGTAGCCATCAGCTTGGACATCTTGAAGGACGACGCACCTGCAAACGACTATATGGACTTTTCAGCGATGAAGATGAAAAAGCCTAAGAAGAAGAAGGCCAAGAAGTCAAAGAGGGAGCGCGTCGAGGATGAAGAAGAGATGTTTATTGCACCCGCGGAGGAGCCTGCAGCCGACGATATGGACCTTGACGACGCTGAGGCAGCAGCAGTGCCAAAAGCTAAGAAGAAGAGTATGTTCGATGAATCGTTCGTTGACGATGACGATCTCCAGGCCAATCTTGCTGCTCAACGCCAAAAAGCATTGAAGAAGCGGAAGAAGATGCGTCCCGAAGATATAGCACGACAGCTTCGTGAGGAAGCCTCCGCACCCCAGACACCTGATGTGCTGGATTCCACCGAATTTGTCGATGAGGCCGCACTGGTGATTGACGAAACAACCGAGTTTGTGCAAAACCTAGGCGCGAATACCGGAGACAACGAGGAAGAGGAGTCACGGCGCAAACGCAGAAAGTCCAGCCATATGTCTGAAGGCGTGAAATCCATGGGCGACATACAGCCAATCGATGATGACGGTGATCTGGAAATGGGACAGTCGTACGCTGAAGTGGCTGAAGCTGAAGACGCCCGTCAACGTAGTGAGGAGCGTGCTCGCTCTGTTGGCTTCACAGACACCGGCCTTGAGGCAGAAAAGACTGTCGACCAGGGCCTCGGTGCAACTCTTGCTCTCTTGAGGCAACGCGGCTTAGTGACCCAGTCCGACACCACCGACCGCAACGCAAGCTACCGAGATCGCCAGAAGTTCCTTGCCGACAAACTCAAAGCCGAAGGAGACGCCGAGCGCCAACGAAAGGTCGCACGTGAGCGTGAGCGAGGCTCAGCGCGATGGAACACCATGACTCCCCGTGAACGTGAGGAATGGGCTCGCAAGCAGAACACCAACGCCGACGTATCCGAGAGCAGAAGACTCGCCGAGATCTTCAACAAAGAGTACAAGCCGAACGTTGAGCTGAACTACGTCGACGAGCACGGACGCCAGATGAACCAGAAGGAGGCATTCAAGCAGCTCAGTCACCAGTTCCATGGCAAGGGCAGCGGCAATACGAAGACGAAGAAGCATCTCGACAAGATTGCGGCCGAGCAGAAGAAGATGGCCGAGAGTTCCCTGGAGACTAACCGTGCGGGTGGTTTCGGCAATGCACAGGATCAGCAGGCGAAGAAGCTCAAGACCGCTGGTGTTCGTCTGCAGTAAACGACAACATATGACTCGGAGTTCGATGTGTTGTTGGATTTGGCATATGAATTTGGCAACTGGATCACACAAAGGTTAGTAGCTTCTACAACAATTTTATAGGAAAGAATCAATTGTTAATGCAACGCCTCGAATAGAACAACCCCAGCCCAACCCCTGTTGATGGTATACATATTCCCTGGTGATGCTGTCTTGGTTTTGCTGACTCCAGGTTTGTCATACTCTTCTGCGGTGCTCGTGACTGACGTGGAAAGTTTCTCGCACTTGACCCCTTGATTCTTAACTCGTACTGTGATCGAAAGGTAGGCTTTGCTTGTCCCCAATATGACCCGATTCGTGTGGAGTTGTATATTCCACGGTGGCATGATATCTCAACACCAAATCCATGCATGCATGTTGTAAACCACCTCATCCCACAGTAGACTAACACTCCGTCGACCTCTTATCATATCCTGTCCATCAAGTAAAGTACAAAGATACGTTATGCTCCAACACTAGCTTCGCGGTGCATCACGCACTTGGTAGACAGACAAGCAATGGCATATAATTTACTCATTGCAATACGCAGTATGATCTCTATATCTCGCCCCTTTTCTTTCTTTTCTTCGTTTTAAAACGTACTATCATTTTGATCCATGGGTCTCTTCCTATTTTCCTTCCGAATTGAGCACCGAAAAACTGGAATCGCGCGGTTGAAAAGCATAGGGAAACAGTCTGCTCACCATGCACACGCACCGTCTGGACGAAATGAGGGTACATGGAATGAACCGGGGTTCGTAGAGTTGCAGTTATGTCGTTCCATACATCCAACGTAAACTCAAAAACATAATCACCACGCAGCGCAGCAAAAGACCCAGATGTGAATTAATGTCATAACGTCTTAATTGCGTATCAAAAAAGCACACACTCTTGAAAAAAGGCATCAGTCCCAGATTCGAGCCAACAATGCAAGCCATGCGCACCCCACACACTCCACTTGGTGGGAAAATATGTCCACCCACCAAAAACTTCCAAGTACAACGCAAACACAAACTCAAACACAAGCGCAACGCGACGCGACAGAGCAAGCATTTTAAACCAACACCTCCACGGCCACCATATCTGGCCATAATGTACAAGGAAATTGATTATGTAGTCCCCAGCCAACGAACCGGGGGGGGGAAAGGAGGTGACGACCATGTACGCGGAAGCGCCTACAACGCCAATGATGGACGAATTTCAGAAATCGAGACAGGCAAAAAAAAATGTGAGAAGCCGTCCAGGATGGGGTAGTTCCAGCCGAGAGCGCCAGAAAAAGACAATGAGACAGATGGGGGGTGCGCAGGCTGTGGAAAAAATGGTAGGACGAGGAAAAGAATAAGCATAGATATGTGGGTGGAGTAAAGAAGAGAAAACGCCGCGCTATACAAGGTCGGTCGTATGCAACAAAATGCCGGACTACGAATCTTGTAAGAAATACTCCAAGGAGGAACAGAAAGAAGCGGATAGAAACTAGTTATTGCCCTTCATCCTCTTGTTCCCTACCACCCTTGGGCTCTGCTTCACCTTGATGGTACCGTTCATGTCTCCGCTGCCATCGTCCATGTCCATTTTTGCTGTACTGCGCCGCCGCTTCGTAGCCATGTTGGGTGATGTGTTGACACTCGCCGTGTGCGAACTTGTGCTTTGCTGCTTGACCATGGCGTGTGATGCGGGTGACGGCGTGTGGCTGTAGTGTGGTGAGCCGTTTATACCGTTGGGGAGAAGCTGGTTTTGCAGAGCTGGGGACATGAACTGGTGGTTTTGCGAGCCTGGTTGACCGGGGCCAGGTGGCCGTATTTGTTGCATATTTGGATGTTGCATATTTGGGTGTGGCATAGCTGGGTTCGGTTGGTTAATTGCTGGCGTTTGATTCATTGCCGCAGAAGGATTGTTGGACATCATGCCATTCCAGTGCTCGAGGGCTTCGGACGGCTTTAGATTTGGATGCTCGAGATAGTGCGACATGAGACTTGTCATGTTATTCATTGTCTCATATATCTGCTGACGTCAGCTGGGCGTACGCGTGGTAACTGATCTGCGAGACTGACCTCAAGATAACCTTGCAGCGCGTGCGGTAAACCGAAGTCTGTCGCGCCGGCACTAAGTAACTTGGACATGGGCAAATACGGTTCCATTGGTTCTTGGGCTCGTTGCTGTAGTTGCTGCTTTTGCTTGGCCGACTGCTTCCCCATGCGAGGTGACTGGTTTGGAATGTGGGGATTGGGCGATGGCTGATGGAACATGGCTTCCAAGGCAGAGCGTGGTATGTATTGCTGGTGATTCTGGCCCTCAAACTGCAGCCAATCCATCTTCTCTGTACCAGACCAGAAAGCTGTTAGTTTTCCGTTATAGACAACCTAAACATGTTAGCTATGGTTTTTGAGTTTGGGGATATAAGCCTACCTGGCAATGATTCTTGTAGGTATAGATGAATTTCGCACGGTCGCAAGTCACTTTTGTTTCGGTGGGCGATGCCTTCTCCGATGATCCGTCCAAGGTAATTTGAAGATTGATAACGTCGGTGTTGAAGAGCGTATAGAAGTACCTTGGTAAGGCAGCATACACAATTTCGAATTGCTTTGTCTTTTCGGCCGATGAAGAACAGAGCACATGTATGAAAGAGCCAGTCTCGTTAAAGTGTTTATCAACGAAACTCTGCCACCTCGAAACATCGTTCAAATCGGCGGAGGTCTGCATGATGTAAGTAGAAGTAGGTCATTCGGTTCGAGCATACTTACAGCGTATCTTCCCATCTGGTCCACAAAATTCATCAACTTCAGTGTTCCTTGCCCTCCAGAAGGAGTTTGCGATTGGGACTGGGCGCTCCTCATCAACGCCAACGACCGGGCCCGAGCTTCCTGGGCCTGAGCGTGTGCTTGAGCTTGCTGTAACAAGGCTGGATTTCGCGTTTGCATCTGTGTCTGGTTTTGAGGTGGTTGGTTGGGCTGTGGAGGCATATTCGGAGGTTGAATAGGCGCTGATGTCTGCTGCTGAGGTTGAGGGACTGGCTGTGATGTTTGCTGCTGCTGTTGCTGCTGCTGTGATTGTTGTTGTAATTGTGGAGTCGGTTGAGGAGCAGGAGACGAATGACCCTGATGGCTCCCTATTGCCGAAGGTGGACGCAGGGGGCCTTGCTGAGGTTGTGATGTTGTCGGAGGCCCTGGGTTTCCTCCCTGGCTGTGATTGCTCGACTGGGATTGAGCGTGCTGCATTGCAATAGCCTGTTGCATGTGCTGCTGCTGTTGTTGCTGACGTTGTTGTTGTTGCTGCTGCTGCTGTGCTTGCTGTTGCTGTTGTTGTTGTTGCTGCTGCTGTTGCTGTTGTTGTTGCGCTTGTTGTTGCTGTTGTTGTTGCTGTTGCTGCTGCGCTTGTTGCTGCTGTTGTTGCTGTTGCTGCTGCTGCTGTTGTTGTTGCTGCTGTTGCTGCTGCTGTTGCGCTTGTTGCTGTTGATGTTGTTGCGCTTGCTGATGGGCCAATGCAGCGGCTTGCTGTGGGCCACCTTGTTGCTGGTTCTGCATTTGTTGCTGTTGCTGCTGCAACTGTTGCAGATGCGGAGGCAGATTGACAAACTGCTGTCCCATCTGGCCTGCTCTCATTGCTGCCAGTTGCTGTTGTTGTTGCTGGCTCATGTTTGGCATATGGTTCTGAAAGCCCATGCCCATCCCGCCGTGTTGCTGCTGCTGGGCAAGCATTTGCTGTTGTTGCGCCGCCTGCTGCTGACGCATGAAAGCCTGCTGCTGAGCATTTAATTGGTGGTTTCTCGCCTGCTGCTGTTGCATCAGAGCAGCGTTCACTAGGTCAATCTGTCAGTGGATGATGCAGAAATCGTGTCAGAACACTCACTCATGCCGGGGTGATGCTGCTGTTGGAACATCTGTGCCTGTTGAGGCTGCAAATGCGAGAGCGCATGGGCGTTGGGTCCCATTCCGGGTTGCATGCCCATCATGGGTCCTGCCTGGCTCACGGGGCCGTTGGGGCCTGAGACGCCTGGGTGCATACCCGGTGGCATAGGCTGGCCTGGAGTCGGCCCTGGACCGCCCATGGGGTGTCCGTGGGGCATGCCCTGCGGATGCATACCAGGGTTGTGGGGATAGCTTGTGGTCATCATCTTGTTCGCGCGCTCGTCACACAGTGGACCGCAACCTCACAGTCTTGGAAACGGCTCTCCGATGGATGCGATGCGTACAACAGACGATCAGTCTAAAGGGGTGGCCGGGAATCTAAACGTTCAGAAGGAACGACGGGTGAGCGCAGCGTGAACACGGACGTGTGCTCCCAGGGATCCAATTGCGACGACGACGATGACAAGAGACAGAGAGGTTCAGGGCAATTTGCAGCAAGCTGGCGACTCTACCAAGAGGCCACGCACTGGTCCAACTCTTGTGTCGAGACGCGTTGCCGCGGGAAGCGATCGACTGCCCGCGCGAGAGTCGCGGTGGGCGTTGGGCGGCCGCGAGCTGGCGACTATCGCGGTTGAGATGGGACGGGAGGAGCTGGCGTCTCTCCGTCGCGTGAGAAGCTGCGCAAGGATGCTGAAGCGCACCAAGGTCGTGTCGAGGCGTGCACTGGGGCTGGCGCGGTGTGGTGCCGTGCGGTGTCGTGTCGCAGCCGTCCCGCCAGCAGAGCGGTGGAGAGAATATAACAGGCGAAGTGCAAGGCTGCGATGGGCGCAGCAACGTCGTCTAGGGCCCGCGTCGTATGCGACGATGCATCCGCGAGTGGTGAGGGTCCAGGACCTGCGGTAGCCCAGGAATCGGTGGGTGGAGTGGTTAGGTAGTGAGAGATGGCGGTGCCGATCAGTATCCTGGGAGGGTTAGGGGTCGTCGTTTCGGTATCGCGCGAAAAGGTGCGTGGCTGGGCAGCAACAACGAGATATCCAGACACCAGCTCTGCGTGCTGCTCGAATCGTACGATGGGCTCACGGCAACAGGAGATAGGTGTCTTAGCCTTCTGAAAGTCTAATCAGAACGCACCCCAGAGCCATGGCCATCTGAGGGCACATGACGTTACTGATGACAAAAACGAAAAATACCACTAGCATGTTTCGATCGATACACGTGACTGCGCTAGTCGGAGCTCTCACTTTTCTTCGTCTGCAATTTCCAAATCTTTTCTCCGACAAATCCTCGCCCAACGCCAACACCGCGCACTTCTCGACGCGCAGCATGTGCATCGCTGCAGTCGTCTGCTCCGGTTTGCCCTTTTGAGGTATTTCGCCTTTTGGTGGCACGCGGGCGCAAGCTCGGTGTACTAGGTCAGTTCGCCCTCCAGTTTCTTTGTTTTTCCGCCTGGAGTGATGATACACCAACCTTCTTCTTTTCCCAACAGATTCGACCTTGAAGAAATTTATGCTGTCCGGGCCCCGTCGCAGGGTGCCTGCTACTTGCCAGTACTTTCGTCTGACCTCACCATCTGCTTTGCAGTTGCTTCGATCTGCTTGCCTAGTGCACTGCTAACAGCTCAAGCATAGTTTTCGAACAGAGCCCACCTCGTTAGACGCGCAATAACTGCCACATGCTTCTTGCAAACGCTTTGATCCCTCCGAGGCATCCATCATACCGCTAGCTTCTAGCAACTCCAACAAGAGTACACACAGGCTGAATGCACTGCTTGATTTATGTGCTAACAACAGGTGCGCTCGCGTGCTATCGTTCCAAAGGTCAGTCGCGTCTTTTTCTCACTCTATGCCCTTTCATGATGAAACATTCCTACATTCGCAGTTTCCACGCTAGCCATCACTCGAACCTTTTGCGATGGACAATGAGCGCGAATACCTTCCTTGGATGTCTGACCTCACTCTCAACATTTCGCTTTCATGCACATACTGTTTTGAAGCACCTGCTGACGAGTCGAACAGGTATTTGATTTGTGACGTTTGGTTGATCGTTTGCGTAAGACCGTGACAGTTTCGAAATGATTCCTTTGGGAGGTGTAGCTAGTTTCCCCGTCAATAGCTGTAGCAATACACTTGAGATATCAACTGAACGCTTTCTTTCCGCATTTATGATAATTATGCATGCGATTATGATTACGAATTCTTGTGCCCCACTTCTGTAGCACGAACCCTCACCACCTGAAGATGATACGACGTCTTTGACAACAGCTTCTTGATACCGAATAGTTGTGGTGCAGTAATAAAAACCACATTGCCACAGCTACAGGAGCATCCTCGGACTGGGCTGGTTGTTTGACCTTATCGACTATTTCCGACGGTGCCGTCATATAGCCAAGGACGCTAAGGAAGCTGGCTAGAGCTTCCCTCCCACCTCGACCTTGGACTCCAACACCGTCACAACGATCCGCTGGAACCACGGCCCACGAACCCATCCCTCATATCGCCCAATACCGCCAATATGCCTGAGGTTCTGGACTCGCGCATGATCTCGGTGACGCCCCGACTACGATACAATACTATCGGTGGCATCAACGGTCCACTGGTCATCCTCGACAACGTACGTGGCTGCGGGAGCTTTGACGAGCGTAACGGAGGCTTATGCGCAAGGTGCACAGGTCAAATTCCCCCGCTACAATGAGATCGTAGCCCTGACGCTGCCCGATGGCACGGAGCGCGCCGGCCAGGTCCTCGAGGCGCGAGGTAAGCTACTACAACATGACGCATTGAGCGCACACGCTGACACAGACCCAAGGAAACCGCGCCGTTGTCCAGGTACAGCCCCTCGCTTACAATCGCCTTGTTCTCTGTTCTGATTGCGCTGCAGGTCTTCGAAGGCACATCTGGCATCGACGTCAAGAAGACCAGGGTCGAGTTCACGGGCCACAGCTTGAAGCTCGGCGTGTCCGAGGACATGTTGGGTCGTATCTTCGATGGCTCTGGAAAGGCCATCGACAAGGGCCCTAAGGTGCTGGCCGAGGACTACCTCGACATCAACGGCAGTCCTATTAACCCCTACTCGCGAGTAAGGCTCTCTGCGCATGGTGCAGAGCATAGGAACTGACCACTCACAGGTCTACCCCGAAGAGATGATCTCTACCGGTATCTCTGCCATTGACACCATGAACTCTATTGCTCGTGGCCAGAAGATTCCCATCTTTTCCTCGTCCGGTCTTCCCCACAACGAAATCGCCGCGCAAATTTGCAGACAGGCTAGTCTGGTCGGCAAGCCTACTAAAGGTGTACACGATGATCACGATGACAACTTTTCCATCGTCTTTGGTGCTATGGGTGTCAACTTGGAGACGAGTCGATTCTTCACAAAGGACTTCGAGGAGAACGGCAGCATGGAGCGTGTCACGCTCTTCTTGAACCTGGCGAACGATCCTACGTAAGTGGTGTGACGACACGCGAGACTGCTGTGACTGACTTGGAATAGTATCGAACGTATCATTACCCCCCGTCTCGCTCTTACCACGGCCGAGTACTACGCATACCAGCTCGAGAAGCACGTCTTGGTCATTCTCACCGACTTGACTTCCTACTGCGACGCCCTGCGTGAGGTCTCTGCCGCTCGAGAAGAAGTGCCAGGTCGACGTGGTTACCCAGGTTACATGTACACTGATTTGTCCACCATTTACGAGCGAGCCGGACGTGTTGAGGGCCGAAATGGCTCCATCACTCAAATTCCCATCTTGACTATGCCTAACGATGGTATGTGTGGACATTTTACAATGTTTAGACATTGACACTGACTGGTTGCAGATATCACGCACCCCATTCCCGACTTGACGGGTTACATTACGGAGGGTCAGATCTTCATTGACCGTCAGCTCTACAACAAGGGTATCTACCCACCTATCAACGTGCTACCCTCGCTGTCTCGTCTCATGAAGTCTGCCATCGGAGAAGGCCGCACGCGAAAGGATCACGGCGATGTCTCTAACCAGCTGTACGCCAAGTACGCCATCGGTCGTGACGCCGCCGCTATGAAGGCTGTCGTTGGTGAGGAAGCCCTGTCGGCGGAAGACAAGCTGTCCCTTGAGTTTCTCGAGAAGTTCGAGCGTTCGTTCATCGCCCAGGGTGCCTACGAAGCCCGCACCATTCACGAGTCGCTCGACTTGGCGTGGTCGTTGCTCCGCATTTACCCCAAGGAACTGCTTAACCGTATCCCGGCCAAGGTTCTTGACCAGTACTACCAGAGGAGTCGCGGCGATGGGGACAAGAAGAAGAAGGCAACCAAGGACACGAGCGACAACTCGGGTGAGGGCGAGAATCTGATTGATGTGTAGAGAAGTAGTGACGTGTAGAAGAGTAGAGACGTATGTGTGAGCGTTTAGTAAATTTTCAATTGAGTACATATCAGCCTGTTTGATCGGTGATCTTACTTTCTAAATGCGTGATGTGTCTGCTCCCACATCAACTACTGATGAAGAGTACAGCTTTACAAAGACTCAACAATACATGGTTTGCCTTGTCAGGCGCTAAGTTGTAAACTCGTTTCGCAGTGCTTGCAGACGCGGGTAAGCAGAAAGGCTATGAAGATAAGAATATTCTCCCTGACAAAGCACTTGGCTGATGTCTTTGAAGCTGAGATTGGCCGAACTGAACCTGCACATATAACAAGCATCCTATCGTAATGGTTGATGTAGCATATAAACTTTTCTATGAGGATTTGACGTTCATTGCCTTCCCCCCTTCCATTCCTCCACATCTTCATCCAGGTCCCATCTCAAGAGACAAGTGGTATGCAGCCGTCCGGAGGTGAAAGCAAGTCATCAGCAAGCAACATGCGGAAATCCTGCAGCTACTTACCTTCACTTCCCACCCTGTCATGACGCATGTAAACAAATGCGCGTTGCTGGGTGAAATTCTCATGTTTTGATCTCGAGTTTTGTCTGTGTGTTTGTGTGTGACTCAACGAACGACCACGCACTGAGTTCTTGCGAGATTTGTTCGACTCTGCTCTGCTCTGCTGCTCCTGTTCCACCTCGGTACGCTGTGATTTGCTTCGCTCTGGTGTTGCTGCTGTCCTGCTGTGGCTGGAGAGGATGGAAGGCGTGTCTGCTTTGACTCGGTGGAGGATGGGGGCGGTGATTCGGAGGTGAGTTCTTCTTTCTGTTTGTTTTTGGGCGGTGGTTTCCAGCCGTCTGTTGTTTTTTGTTTGTTTGGGCGGTTGTGGGGCTTGGTTGGAGCTGATATGGAAACGGGTTGGTGAGGGTGTGGGGAGAGGTGGTGGGTGGGGAGTGGACTGCCGTGATACGACGGAACAGGATGAGACGAGACAAGACGAGAAGAGACGGAGTTACATATGACGATGTCATACATAACGCGCTGGATACCGGTGCTCGACGAGACGCACGACACTACACGCCTGGAGGTTCTCAGAGCGATACACAAGAACAGACAAAACGCTCGCACACCATTCGAGCCATCAACAAACTCCTGGGCAGATACATTCAGAACGACTTCCAGGTCTATGCTGACTTCAATGGACTATTACCATACGAGCAAGACTCGGAAAAGCGTTGGAGCTACCAAGGACCTCCATAACACTAACTTCCAAGCTACCGAACCCACTTTGTAGACTGCAAGCGTGGTAATCATGCGAACAAAATCTAACCTCTGTCTAGATATGGAGACCACGGGGGGATCGTCTTCTCCCCAGACATGCCATTCTGGGCGAGAGAAGGTATCCACGCCTTCATCGCCGGACTCGACTCCGAGTCGATCGTTGGCCAATTCGCCTTTGGGCGTTTTGGGGGGAACTTTCCTCTCGGAGCTACGGGGACGGAGATATGGGTGGACGGGCGGGGATGGCATCAAGAGCCTCACTTTACGGTGAGGCTCGATTTTGTCATGAGAGAATCGTACGTCTTCAATGTCATATGTTTTTTCTTGAGAATTGCGTTCTAACAGACAAAGACCCGCCAGGGTATACTTTTCCACCGCACATGTTTTCCTGGACGGCGGAGAGTCGATGGACTTGAGTGGAACCCATTGGCACAGGGCGGGAGGGGGGCTGTGGTGGAGGTGGCCGGTATGTATAGGTCTTCTTTATCGGAGAGAGTTCAGTGCGGTGGCTAACATGGGAAGATATTCACTCAAAGGCCGATGGACGCACCGAGGATACCTCGGGGCGCCATGCCCGATTACCGCCCGGAGTGGATGCTGCCTCCTTCCGCAAGCTCTTCGCCTTCGTGGGACTCCCGCGCGTCCTGGTCTTATTCGTCTCGGAGCCGATCTCGATCACCCTCTCCATATTCTGACGAGTACTTGGAACGGGGCCAGGTATGTTCAATAGGATGCCATTTCTATCTCTTGTGCCAGTTTTTTTCGAGTGCATCATGCTGACATGTCATGACCCAGAACTCTCCCCGCCCCATCACTCCCTCCCCCTATGGTTCCGAGTCCCCTCATCACCCACACCCACCAGATCACCAGGCATCGGCTCCAGCCTCCGAGACCCCCGCTCGTCCCCCTTCATCGTCGCCTCGCTGTGCGTGTAGAACTTGCCGAAGAAGGTCCACATCTTCTCTCTCAAGCCTTTGAACGGCTGCTCCCCAGGCCGTGGGTTCATGGGGTCCTTGGCAAAGTCGTGGAAGAGGGTGCCGTAGACGACGATGAAGGATATGAGACTCCATTGCACGATCTTGGTCCACTTGTTCCACGTTGGGCGGATCGACTTGGCTTTTATGCGCCGCTTGAACTTGCGCTCGAAGCGGAACTGTTGCTTCTCCGTCAGCTCGCGGAGGTTCGGCGGCCATTTCCTCTTGACGCGGTAGCGGTTGCGCACAAAGTCGAAGGGCGGGAGCGTGTTCTCGTGCCGGCCGAGGAGGCGGTTGATGAAACGCAGCATTGTGCTGGCTGCGGCAAGGGAGGCGGGCTGGCCGGGGAATTGAAGCTTCGACAGACAGTCAAACCGTCAAGAATTCGCGACTGACGTTCATGCACAGCTCCCGCAAAGTTATGGGCACGGACCAGCTTGGCGGGCGCACTTTGGCTGGACGACTGCAAAAGGTATGACTGGAAACGCTTTGACCCCATCTCCATCAAGCCCGCCGACACGACACTTCAACTTTTTTTCTTTCGCTCTCTGTTCGACCTTTCCCAAATTTTGCAATCATGGCCGAGGCTCAAGTCCCTAAAGACGTGCCAAACAGCGCCGTGGCTGCGACCATTGATCTTCTCAAGCCCCAGGAAGCTCAGTCCAAGACGCTCAAGATCGAAAACACCGACAAGCGAGATACGTTGATCGAGGCCGAAAAGCGCTATCAGAAAGAGTGGGAAGCGCAGGGCGTGTTCCACCCAGACGCACCATCGCTTGAGGAGGAGCCCTTCGAGACCTCGCCCGACCAGTTGCACGAGAAGTACCCAAAATGGTTTGGTAACTTTGCCTACCCCTACATGAACGGGACTCTCCACGCTGGCCATGGATTCACCGCATCGAAAGTCGAGTTCACTGCTGGGTTTCAGAGGATGATCGGGAAGCGGGCCCTGTTTCCTCTGGGGTACCACGTGACGGGCATGCCCATCAAAGTGAGCTACTTTGAGACCACTGCACACACAACGGCCTTACTAACGATATAGGCATGTGCAGACAAGCTTGTACGAGAAGTTGAGCAATTTGGCAAGACGTTTGAGCGATGCCCTGTAGAGGACGTCATCGACGGCACTGTGTCAGAGCCACCAGCGCCCACTCAGGCTGAGACAAAGACCGACATGTCCAAGTTCAAGGCGACAAAGGGCAAGGCAGCTGCCAAGACCGTCAAGACCAAGTACCAGTTCCAGATTATGCTAGCGCAGGGCATTCCGGTCGAGGAGATCCACAAGTTCGCTGACCCATACCACTGGATCGAGTACTTCCCCCCACTAGCAAAGCGGGATCTCACCAACTTCGGCGCTCGGATAGACTGGCGACGACAGTTTGTCACGACTGACGCCAACCCTTACTACGACTCTTTTGTTGCATGGCAAATGCGCAAGCTCCTCGACCTAAAGAAGATTATCTTCGCAAAGCGATACACCATCTACAGCCCCAAAGATGGTCAGGCTTGCATGGACCACGACAGGCAGTCTGGTGAAGGTGTCGGTGTTCAAGAGTACACTGCCCTGAAGATGAAGGTTGTGCAATGGTCGGATTCGGCGAAGAAGATTCTGGAGGGGAAGCTCCCTGAAGGCGCGAACGCCTACTTCATCCCAGCTACGCTGCGTCCTGAGACTATGTATGGGCAGACCTCATGTTTTGTGGGCCCGACCATCGAGTATGGCATCTTCAAGTCCTCGGAATCAGAATACTTCGTCTGCAGCCAGCGTGCGGCACGCAATATGAGCTACCAGCCTGGCACATCGTTTGACTGGGGCGAGTTCCCGCAGGTCGCCAGCTTTGCAGGCAAAGATGTCGTCGGTACGATCGTCAACGCTCCTCTCTCCGTCCACAAAGACGTCTACATCCTCCCCATGGAGACAGTAAAGGACACCAAGGGTACCGCAGTCGTCACTTGCGTCCCCTCCGACTCGCCAGATGACTATATTACGTCGTTTGATCTGGATAAGAAAGCCGAATATTACGGTATCCAGAAAGAGTGGGTCAAATTCGACAACATTCTGCCTATCATCGATACTCCCACCTATGGCAACCTCACCGCGAAGAAACTGGTTGAAGAACTCAAGATTCAGTCGCCAAAGGACTCGGCTAAGCTCGCGGAGGCAAAGGAGAAGGCGTACAAGGAGGGCTTCTACAAGGGAAAGATAATCTACGGTGACTTTAGTGGAAAGTCTGTCGAGGAGGCCAAGACTCTCGTCCGAAAGCAGTTGATCGACGCTGGTCACGCTTTTGCTTATGCTGAGCCTGACGGCAAAGTCATGAGCCGCAGTGGCGATGATTGTGTTGCAGCTCTGCTCGACCAATGGTATATGAACTACGGCACCGCAGACAAGGGTGGAGATGATGAGTGGGCTCAACAAGTCCGGGCTCACATCGAAGGTGACCTTAACCTTTACTACCCTGAGGCCAAGAACCAGTTCTTGCAGGTCATAAACTGGCTCGGTAACTGGGCTTGCGCCCGCTCTTACGGTCTCGGAACGAAGGTACCATGGGACCCGTCCGTCATGGTGGAGAGTCTGTCGGATTCCACCATCTATCAGGCGTATTACTCGTTCGCACACTTGTTGCACAAGGATCTGTTCGGAAAGGAGGTTGGGCCTCTTGGAATTCAGCACGGACAGTTGACTGATGATGTTTGGGACTACGCTCTAGGCCGTCGCGATCGTACTGATCTGCCTCAATCAGATATTCCTCAGAAGGCTCTGGAGACAATGAGGCGACACTTCGACTACTGGTACCCGCTCGACATGCGAACCAGTGGCAAGGATCTCATCCAGAACCATCTGACTTTCAACCTCTACGTTCATACCGCCATGTTCCCGAAAGAGAACTGGCCACGTAGTTTCCGTGTAAACGGACATCTCCTCCTCAACGGTGAGAAGATGAGCAAGTCTACTGGTAACTTCCTGACAATCAACGGCGCTGTGGAGAAGTTTGGTGCGGACGCCACACGTATTGCCCTTGCCGACGCAGGAGACGACATGAACGATGCCAACTTCGAAGAGACTGTCGCGAACGCCAGTATTTTGAAGCTATACGAGCTCCGCAAGGTGTGCGAGGAGTTGATTCGCGACAAGGTCATCATTTCAGATGTGACAAAGTACGCAGAGACCAAGGCTAGCGAGCGGATCAGGAATGCAGATGTCATCCAGCGCCAGAGTGGAAGCGAGCGTTTCCTGTTCGACGACATGTTTGACAACGAGATGAACAGCCTGGTTGCGGAGACATACCAGCACTACTCTGCAACAATGTACAAGGCTGCTCTGAAGTCAGGCTTCCACGACTTCACCTCTGCGCGAGACTTCTACCGTGAGGCCACAAAGGCTGCCGGACTCGGTATGCACGAGGATCTCGTCAAGAAGTTCACCGAGCTGCAGGCGCTCATGCTGGCTCCCATTGCGCCGCATTGGTCAGAATACATCTGGCTCGAGGTTCTCGGAAAGCCCGAGACCATCCAAAAGGCGCAGTGGCCGAAGATCCCAGAGCCCAACGCGTCACTCACAGCAGCGCGCGAGTTTGTCCGCCAGACGCAATCGAACATCACATCTGCAGAAGGCGCGGCAATCAAGAGGATGTCCAAGGGCAAGGCTGCAAACTTCGACCCGAAGAAGGAGAAGAAAATCACTATCTTCGTGGCGCAGGAGTGGCCCGCCTGGCAAACAAAGTAAGCCAATCCCCCCTTTTTTACTCCAGGCAGCGCAGAGTACTGACAAATGTAGGTACATCGACATGATCTGCACCTCATACCCCAACCTCGACATCAAGGCGCTCAGCAAGCAAATCGACAAATCAGAATCGAAGAAAGCCATGCCCTTTATCAACGGCCTCAAGCGCCGTCTCGACAACGGCGAGGCTCAGGACGTCGTGCTCAACCGTGAACTCGCCTTCGACGAGCTCGCCACGCTGCGGGCCATGATTCCGGGACTGAAGGCCGTGGTGCAAAAGTGCGTTGACGTGGAGATTGTATCTGTTGCGGAGGGCGGAAAGGAGGGCACTATGATTAGTGAGGACGGGAGTAAGGGGGCTGTGAAGACGGAGTTGCCGCCCAGCGCGGCGAGTGCGGAGCCAGGGTTGCCGAGCTTTGCGTTTGAGAATGTGGAGGGCTTGGCTGTGCGGTAGGGGGCTCTTGGTGTGTATGTATGATGATGAAAAGTCTCATGATTGATTGATCGATGGATGAATGGATGGATTGATAGATGAACGACTAGATATCAAAACAAGAAGAAATTGTATTCGATTTCGACCACAGGGTATGAAGACTTCCATTCGATCCATCCAAAACAGTCAAGCCAATTCCAATCTAATCCACTCCACTCTAATCCAACACATAACAAAGAAGAAGACGAAAAAAAACTCCAAGCTCATGGGTATCCAACGCGTGCCCGATTTGTATTCAATTCGATTCGATTTCAATTCAGCGACACGATAACACAGAAACGAAAACAAAATAGGAGCGAAGAGAAGCAAGGAAGAATCAAGAACAAAGGGGAAAAAACAAAAATATTCCACCATCATCATGATAGTATGGAGATCGTCAAATCGTCAGGTAAGGCGGCCTTCCTATTACAAATGCACAGTCTTTGCTCGCGAGCTCGTTCGTAGACGAGTGGGTACTGGTAATCCAAATTGGGGTGGAGAAATGAATGTGACGACGGTACACTCCCACTATATCCAAGAGTCGTGGGTAGGTTGTATGTGTGTGTGTGTCTAGTGGTCGAAGAGCGAGGCGCCAAAAGCGTCGAGGGCCTCTCCGAATGAGGCCCAGAAGCTGGGTTTCTGGCGCATGACGAGGATTTTGCGAGTGCGAGTGGGAGGGGTGGAGGGGGGCGAGGTCTGGGTGCTGAATTCGCGCATTGTGGGCTTCTCCTCCTCCTGCTCCTCCTTCTTCTTCTCGACTTCGTTGTCTGCGTCTTTCCAGTATGCAAGGTCTTCTTGGTCGGCGGGCTTGTCGGCGTGCTCCTCTTCATCTTCGCCTTGGATGGTGTGCGCGTCTTCCTCGTGCTGTGGGTCATCGTCGACGACGACTGCGTTCTTGACGCCCTGCTCGACAAACTTCATCTGGTGACGCAGCTCCTCGATGACTTCCTGCTGGATCGTGTTGAGGGACTTGACCTCTTCCATGCGCTGCTGGAGATCCCTGATGTACTTAGCCACGGCTTTCACATACCGCCCGACTTTAGCCACGTACTCTTTGTCGACGCGTGCAGCATCGTCCAAGCGCGCAGCCTCCGGGCTGTCAAAGGTACCGCTCAGGGTGTGCTTTGGGAAGGGGCGCGGGCACGGGCTCTCGGCGGCGGAGGTGGAGAGGTGGCTGGCCATGGCTTCGAACTGGCCGACAATGTACTCCATCTGGTCGTGCGTGGGACGGCGCGTCTGGATCAGGTGCTCGAACTGCGAGATGCAGGCCGACAGGGCGGTCTGGACGGGCGAGGCGTCGTAGGGCAGGTCGGCGTCGTCATGGTCCTCGTGCCACGGGATGGGCGACAGCGGCGTGGAGCAGCGGGTGCGCAGGATCTGCGAGCTGTCGGGCGTGAAGGGGTTCGAGGTGGGCGTGTAGGGGGTGGAGCTGTGGGAGCGCAGGACCTGCGAGCTGTCGGGCGTGAAGGGATAGCGTGGCGCGTGGTCGCTGAAGGCGCGCTTGGGCGTGAAGGGCGCGGGTTCCCTCGTCTTTGCGCGCGACGACTCGGTCGACGAGTCGTAGCGGCGGCTGCGCAGGCTGACGCGCGACGACACGCTCGAGGGGCGGAAGGGGTCGGAGAAGTAGTCGGAGCGCGCGTCGTCGCGGTCCATCTCCGAGGGCGGCGTCCACGGGCGCGCATAGCGGGTGTCCATGGCGGCGTCCATACTGTGTGTGTGCGTGGCTGCTGGTCGCGGTCGCGGGGTGGGGAGCTGCCCTGGTGATGCGCGACGGGATGGGAAGGAGCAGGTGGGTGCGACAGAGGGAAAAGTCGGTAAAAGATAGCCGTGCGAGCTGCCACTGCGCTGGCTGTCTGTGATGTGTCTAGCGCCCAGCAAGTGGGTCTCCCAGCCCGCCAGTTGGACGTCCCCGCCAAAACTCACATGGCGGAAGGCTGCGGCGTCCGATTGGCCACGCGCGCGACCGAATAAACTGCTGACGGCCACCAGCCAGGACGTGCCACTGTGTCTGTCGCTCTGTCGCCATACAAGCCCTCCACGCACACACGCCCAGGCCCTGCATCGCTGCCACGCTCGAAAACGCACACAAATGCCGTCACATGTAAGTCCCTGCGCCGCCCCATCCCGAGGCCAATTGAGCGACCCCAGGCTGAGCGCATGACGTGCAATAGCTCGGCATCCAGCCGTCGCTCGACACGATACGCGAGGTTCTGGCTGCAGCAGCCGCCTCGCCCAACCCGCCGAACCTCGTCCCCGTCTTCTCCTCCATCTCCGCCGAGTTCCTGACCCCGTCGAGCATATACCTCAAGATTTCTGCAAAGTGAGTCATTCCAGGCTTGGGACACGAACAGCGCGGGGAGAGCTGCAGAGTGTGTGGGGGGCGTGTATGGACACATGAAAGTGGAGACGTGTAAACGTGTAGACGTGTAGAAGGGCACAAGAACGGAGACATGTATAAATATAGAAAGGGACACCAGGAATGGTTGGGATACGGCTTCCGCCACTACGAGCGCAATGTGGGGTGAGGCGGATGCTGACAGGCTGGAACAGGTCAAAGTCAAACCTGTCGTTCCTCTTCGAGAGCGCTGCCACGACAGAGACGATTGGGCGATATAGCTTTGTTGGAGCAGGTCAGGCACGCCAGGTCAAATTTATGTGCGCCAACTGACGGTTGGTAGACCCTCGCAAGGTCATCAAGACCGGCCCCGGCCATGGCGAAGCGACCGACCCCCTCCCTCTCCTCGAGAAGGAGCTCGCCAAGAGCAGAGTCGCGACCGTGCCGTCGATACAGCTACCTCCCATGACCGGCGGCGCAGTTGGATACGTGGGCTACGACTGTGTCAAGTACTTCGAGCCCAAGACACGACGTGATGACGTGAAGGACATCCTCGGTGTGCCAGAAAGCCTCTTCATGCTCTTCGACACGATTGTGGCATTGGACCATTTCGCCCAGGTGGTCAAAGTCATCACATACCTCAAGGTGCCAGAAAGTCTCGACGACCTGGAGCAGGCATACAACGAGGCCAAGGCTACACTGAAAACATATATGACAGTCTTAAAAGATAAAGACATCCCCATGCCAGAACAGGGGCCCGTCCAACTAGGGAACGAGTACACGTCGAATATTGGCCAGGAGGGTTACGAAAACCACGTGAAGAAGCTCAAGGAGCACATCAGCGTGGGCGACATCATCCAAGCAGTGCCGTCACAACGCTTTGCTCGCCCTACCTCACTGCACCCGTTCAACATCTATCGAAACCTCCGCAACGTCAATCCGTCGCCGTACCTCTTCTATGTCGATTGCAAAGACTTCCAGATTGTCGGTGCAAGCCCAGAGCTGCTGGTCAAAGAGGATCAAGGCAGAATCATCACACATCCCATCGCAGGTACTGTCAAGAGAGGCAAGACATTACAGGAAGATGCAGCCCTGGCTGACGAGCTTTCAAACTCGCTCAAAGATCGGGCGGAGCACGTGCGTATGCCCTGTGCAGACAGACCTACGTCAAGTAGTGAAGCTTACACTCCACTCTAGGTCATGTTGGTGGACCTTGCGCGGAATGACGTAAATCGTGTTTGCGACCCACTCACTACACGGGTAGACAAACTCATGGTTGTGCAAAAGGTAAAAAGACCTCGTCATAGCTCCGATCAGATCACCTCACATCGGACGCAATTTGCATGCTAACTTGATTCAGTTCTCGCACGTGCAACACCTGGTCTCGGAAGTGTCAGGGGTGTTGCGACCTGGCAAAACGCGATTCGATGCTTTTCGATCCATATTTCCCGCCGGTAGGTAGTGCACGGCCGACTGTGGATTGTCGCTGAAAGTAACAGGAACGGTGAGCGGTGCACCGAAAGTGCGCGCAATGGAACTCATTGCTGAGCTGGAGAGGGAGAAACGCGGTGTGTATGCTGGCGCGGTAGGCTACTTTGGATATGGCAGCGTGGATGGTGACAAGGAGGTGGAAGGCGCCATGGATGTGAGTGTTGTGATGTGCTGTGATTTTCGTTGCTGATCTACGCAGACGTGCATTGCGCTCCGGACCATGCTTGTCAAAGATGGAATCGCCTATCTCCAGGCTGGGGTGAGTGTAGCGATATCTTGCTTTTCGAATTTCGCTAACCAATTGGCGCAGGGTGGTATCGTATTCGACTCGGACCCGTACGACGAATGGATAGAAACGATCAACAAACTAGGTGAGCTCATTTCCTTCTTTGGAGATCATCCACGACTCAGGAGTATGATGTTGACCGCTCGTATGATTAGCCGCGAACACACACTGCATCACCTCAGCCGAAGAGAAGCATCTGGCCGAGCAGACAGGCGGCGAGGCCGACGACGACAACAAACCATAACAGCACGACTACTGGACAGGATGGAGGAAGTGGCAAAGCCGCGCAATCCCTCGCGGGGCTGGTGGACTGCGCCACGCGAGGCTGGTGAGTGGTGGAATCGAAAGGGTCTGGAGCATCGATCGGTCCATGCTCAAGGGCTAACGAACGGCACAAAGGTCGGGCAATCAAAATGAGGACCAGCCACCGTGCGCTCCATAGACGGAGAAATTGCCGCTAGGTAGACATGATAGCAACGGTTGGTTCAAACAAGATTCGATAATTTGGACGTCGTGACCCGTCCCAGTGTTGTGCTCGTGAAGCTGTGCCACAGCACGGGGGGTTGGTCTGCGACGGTGTGAACAAAGGGCAAGTCGGCAGTTGGCGCGTTGGGGTAACAAAGAGGGGAACGGCTCGCGGTGTGCGTTGCGATGACAACTCGGGCGGCGTGCAGATGTGTTGGCCAAAACATGCAGCAGTACGGACCCTCAACGACATCATAGCAAAAACCTTGAAAAACACCACCAGGCACGGAGCACTCGCTACGACAGATTCACTCTGGCGACAACGGATTCACAGTCGCTAAGACTAGCGTGGCTCACCGTGCAAAACCATTGGCCAACGACGGTGCACGTTGCACCTCCCGTTCCTTGAATTCGAGCCAGCGTGCCTGGGCTCCGCGCCGCATCCCTGCCAAGTATTGACGCCCGCAGCCGTCACCAGCCTCCCTAATGCGTTTGTGGAACCTCCCGGCCACGGCCCAAACTTGGCAGGCTCTGCCTTCACCTGCGACCAGCCACGGCAATCTCGACTGTTGACACCTCACGATAAAAGCCGCGCTCGCCCACTTGCTTTTCTCTCCTCACTCCTATCCTCAACCACAACAACATCGGCTTTCCTCACTCTCCTCCCTTCATATCCTATTCCCAGCTTCTACTTCAGCATCTTGCTACCTCCCCCAACAACACCAACCGCAAACATGAAGTCCTTCGCCATCCTCGCTACCTTTGCCGGTGTCGCTGTCGGTCAGCTGAGCTCCTGCGCTGTAAGCACCACCCTCCACTCACTTCATCATGTCAGCAATACTGACTCCTTCTAGCAAACCTGTGTCAACAACATGGACAGCATCGCTACTTCCGAGTTCGGCTGTGCTTCCGGAGACACCTCCTGCCAGTGCGGTACTGCCAACTGGGCCTACGGTGTCCGTGACTGCGCCCAGGAAGCCTGCTCTGGTGCTGAGGCTTCCGCTGCCGTTGCCTACGCTGCCAGCCAGTGCGCCAACGTCGCTGTTTCCGCCTCCGTCACCCCCACTGGCCTTGTCATCCTGACATCGGCTCTTGCCAGCGCCACTGCCAGCGCAGGTGCCGATGCTTCCAGCGTCGTCTCGAGCGTCGGTGCCGATGCCTCCAGCATTGTCTCCAGCGCCGCCAGCGAGGCCTCAAGTGTTGCCGCATCCATCAGCTCCCAGCTGGCCTCCCTCAGCGGTGCGCTTTCGTCTGTGGTTGAGTCTGCCTCGTCTGTTGCTGCGTCTGCTGAGTCGTCTGCTGCATCTGCCATGTCCTCCGTCGCGTAAGTTCTAATCATTCAGTATTCTCAGTCAGGCTCACACTAACATCATACTAGCGCCTCTGCCAGTGGTGCTGCTGCCTCTGCCACCAGCCGTGTCGCCTCTGCCGCCTCATCTGCTGCTTCCGCTGCTGCCTCTGCGACTTCCTCCGCTGGTTTCGCCCCCAAGATGACTGGTCTCCCCGTCCTCGCCGGTGCCGGTTTCGCCGCATGGCTCCTCATCTAAGCAACAGGTCTTCACCCAAGTCCTCGCTTCATGGAGTAATGTGTAAAATGGCCGGTCACCCGGTGGAGATGCGATAGCGAGGGAACTTGGATACCTGGTGCGTGAGTTGGCAGTGAAGGATTGCTTGCACATGTCATGTGCTGATCTGTGGCTGTCTGTTTTTTGTTTTTTTCTTACGAACACGCGGCATAACGATGATGATCCAAATGCTTTTTTTTAATTCACGCGCCCTAGCGTTTTGATACCCCGACAATAAGATTTCGGGAACGGATGGGGCATAAGGACGATGCCAGTAGATAGATAATACCACCTCGATGATAATTCAATCCAATCATAATCTCAACTCTGCTCTTTTGTGATCATCATTCTTGGTCCTCTATCTTGCGGTAAATTCGACTTGCAATGCCATTGAGGCCGCGCGTCGATTTCGATGATACGGTGCGAGACCAGGTTATACACCGATGCACCAAAGACGCCCACGGCGTCAAGATGGAACAGCAGCGTCGGCGCTAATAATTGCATTTCGACTTCGCCATGGTCTTAAATGAAAGGGGATGATGCATAGAAAATAACCTTTCCGAAAAGATGAAGTCGAGTTTAACTATACATAGCCCCACCCCCTAGTCATGCACGTCTCAGCTCTCCCTTCCCTCCCTCCCTCACATCCCCCATTATTCCCCACATGTTTGCTGACGACGGGTCAGCTGCAGACCGACATGGAACAATGCTGATCGCAATCCTTTGGACTCCACTATTCTTTCCATTCCATGATGTAAGATTACACTTGTAGTGATGAGCTGCCGGGGTGTGCGTGTTTGTTTGTGTATTTTGTGCAACTGGGGCTTGTGTGTTTTGGGAAGGATATGCGACATGGTTTGTGTAAGATTAGGGGGGTTATGTCTTACATCATGGGGTTGCGTGATTTTTACTCGATGGTTTGCTGGTGAGGGTGTGCCACACGTCTTATTTTCTGGTTTCGGGGTTTAGGGATTTGATCTGAGGGTGTTTGCGCGTTGTCTGTCTTGTGTTGTGTTGTGGGGGTTTTTCAAAAGTAGCTTTGCAGAGAGATAGAGAGGGTAGACGGGTTTCGTCTATTGTGTCTTTTCCTCCTCCTCTTTGAGCGTGTTTGTAGGTAGCAAATCCAAGGCATCGGCTAATAATGCGCGCTAGGGAATTTATTTTCTCCTCACTTGCGTGTTTGTTTGAGGTTGCGCGGTTCAGTTTCTGATTATGGCCTTGTATAGCTACCCACTCGCTTCTGCACCGCGCGCTTCGAGTCCAACTTCACTACTGCATATCATACATGCAACGGCTGGATGCTGTGGATAGGCTGCTCATGCTGAGTTGAGGGATTATGTATAGCGCCTTGAGCGTAGATGGGTTGCTTGTCTGATATCACGCACAGCCGTTGATATGTCGATCGAGGGATCCGGGGGAAATTTGCTGTAGTGGAACTTCTCTCTGGAGAAAACCACTGATGTCACATACGGCTGACGATGGGGTTTGATGATAGAGCGCGTCCGGCTGTAAAGTTGGATGCGAGTGCTTGTGAAGACGTCCCAGGACCTGCACTCTCGAGCAATCTGGCGGCTTACAACTTGAGATGAGAGCCTCACATATCACGGTGGGATTAAGTCATTGTTTGTTGAAAGTCTTTCAAGATAGAGATGGACATTATTTTAGTAAATCCTCAGCGTATTCAAGCTCATATAGAATAATCGGCTTGAATTCCCAAGTCAGTATCAGAGCTAAAATCCAAGCCTTTTACACAAAGTGACTATGAGTGAGAGTACGAAGTAACAGTAATAGAAATAGAGAATCAAAGCCGAGTGGTTATCTCCTAGCGGCTATCTACTCAATGTACTAATGCTTGCACCCGTATTAAAAAAACCCAGGCAGCCGTTGATTGAAGTTTAGTTTCTCCAACTTCGGGTCATGAAAACTATCTGATAGACCTAACACATGCTTGAAGTGTAGTTCGGCGTACATTAGGGCCTTGGTAATGTTTTTCTAACATCTAATCACTCCGCCTTGCACCATACTTTGGAATCTCAACTGTCAGTTCGCATTATATACCAACCCTTCCCAATTTAGAAAGCGGTACAGGGTGTGCGGTATATGTCCTTAGTAGGTTAGAAAGGTTGTTCTTACGCATATTAGCTTCAGTATCAGGTATCGCCCCACCGAATCGAAGTTTGGCTGCACTGATTGGTACTTGCCACGATATATGCCTCAAACTTCGACGTATCTATCATTTTGTATGACCTGTGACAGATTTTGAAACCAAAAGTGATTGTATCTATGTTGGAGCAACGAAAACCTTGACAGAAGATAGGAAAATTATCTTCATCAACCTACATTGACACAAACAACAGTCGTTGCTAAGTTGCACAAAATCTTGAAGAAGTGGAAAACATGATACGATCAGCGTTTGATGAGATCGTTTCTAATCTGAATAATTACATTGGTGCACGTAAGAATCTATCGGTGAAGACCCTTGAATATTCCTGAACTTATTCAACTATCTAGGCGTAAACATAGCAGAAGGGTCCAGCAAGTGTGCTCATAGCGTCGGCATTGGTGATGTTTGGGAACTCCATAAAGTCCCCAAAACCCAAATTGTCCTCGAGGGTACCGTTGCGGCTTGGCGGCCTGTTCAAAAAGGTGATGGTGCCTTCAAGGGCGTTTTGCCTGTTCTTGATATCCTGATTCTGCCAAATCCACCACACTCGATCGACCATGGCATGGTGGAAGAAGAAGGCTGGGTCAGATGGCGAGTTGAACAAATCGGTTCCGGCGTCTCCGCCAACAGTGTAGTGCCCTCCGCTGTGAACACCAAGGAGCCCACCAGCAAAATCCCCCTGCATTGTGTTCTGGAAATCCAGGACATTGTTGCTACCTTTGATGAGGGAGACGATCTCCTCATCACGAGCCGCATGTGCGGCCTGTTTGTTGAGGTCTCGGGCAAGGCAGCGCGGATTGTAGCCTAACCCGTCGGCTTGGGGATTCGGGGGAAGACCCTGCATGAAGGTTTTCAAAGGCCCCAGGTGAACAGTCCAACTGAGGGTGTTAGTATCTATCTTATGGATATGAAACGACCTTGAGACGGGAAGATCATGGGCCAGGGAGTTTATCACTTACTCTTTCAGTGGCCCATTCTCAACGCAGCCACCGCCCGAACCAGGTTCAAGGTGTATGAAGCAACGAGCCTGATCAGGCACGCAGGAAAAGTTCCTTCCAGCAACATATGCGCCATTTCCAGAGATACTCGTGTCGCTTCCGTCAAGCAGTGGCGATTTTGTTGGATCCTTAGCCCACCATGCCCAGTTCCAGTAAGGCTGGTAGCCCTTGTAACCACACTCATCGCGTAGCGCTTGCTCATAAGACCATACGAAATAGCGGTGCCACGCGAGGAAGTTTGCCTACAAACGGTCAATCAGGACCATTCCCATTAATATGCTCTGTAGTACATACCGTTCCATGAACCTCGTAGGTCTGAATAATGTGTGTTACCACGAAATCGTCATATCGGTTTTTTGCTCCTGAAGCAATCGCGGATGGAGTCTTCGCTGGCTTGCTGTGCAGGCACTTGATGGCGTCGATATAATTCAACTTCTCGGATCTCAGTAAGAGCGACCTAAACATGGTGAGCGGGAGAGATGTAGTGATATGGGTAGACTTCGTACCATTCCCGTCGTACAGACAAGTTCTTCGGCGAGCATGTTTTTGGGCTTGGATAACCATTCTGAGCTGTGTAGAGCCCTAAATTGATCATGCCCTGCGCGGCCAATCTGTCATGTTCCGTAAAAGTCGCGGCACTACCGCCAGCCAGAGCGGCCGTGAGTATACTTGACAAACGCATCTCGAGACAGGAGGATGGTGACACCGGGGAGAAGACAGATCAATCGATATATCTAACAGTTCTTGCTGTATGCAAAGAAGATGGGCCGCCTTGCTGTGTTATAACGTCGAAGAGAACAGGGTCTTATACTTCAATGGCTAGCCTCGTAGCGATTGTGGCGATAGTAGCCAAGTGGGTGTCAATAGGATGGGCCCACAAGATGGAGTGATGTGACGAGTCAGTATGCGTTGGTCTCTGACCGTATGCTCGCATGTTCTCTCGCCAGAGACACACCGCTGTACGCCTGTCAAGACGAAAGTTGGCATGGAAGTACGATATCCAAACGTTTTGGCCGTACCCAGGCAGACACAGTTTGCGACGATGTATGTAGAAAATGCTGGACATACAGACAGCAGCGTTGCCCCCGGCAGACCTAGAAAATCTTGTATCAAGAACCCCTCGTCCTATTTTGCGCTGAAACTGTGGACCAAAACCCGGTTGAGGTACAAGGATCAAATCCTCGAGACGAGCTCGTATCTATGCTATCGGACTTCAGATGCGAATTCGGAATGACCCGTCAGACGTAGACCTGGATTTTTTACTAAAATCAAGGAATGAGAGGTTGTAAGTGGTGCGGTAATATTTTCCCTCGATCCCCCGTATGGGTCGTTGTGCCACAAAGATGCAGAAGGATCAAATCGAGAGCTGGATACCCTTACAAATAGTTATGCATCTTTCTGGAGGACGTTCAAATATACCTGGTCCTGGTCTTAGATTAAGGGCCTCGAAAGTAGGTAGATGCACGTCTCCACGTGATAAGGCGCGCTCGCGATAGCAGTACCATATGGTCCAGTATATCGGTGGTCTGGAGCTGAAGTAAGCTGATTAGAGTTCAACCGCAATGAACAAGTACTCATGAACCAGGCAAACAAGTCAAAAAGAGCGAATTTCAAAGTCGTATGTTTGTGAACCCGAGGATGGGTTCTGCAGATTGAGGTTGCATGACCATTCACAAAAACGGGTCGCTGAAAATCAAACCACGTATCCTTGTTGGGTAGTACAATATCATCGTTCGGACGACAATGTATGTTGGTGGCGAAGTTCAGGATGGAGTAAGTTCATCGGTGATCTGTGCGTTCTTGACACGATTGCCGCTTCCCGGCTGTGTCACCCTCATTCTCCAATCACAACTACAACGAATCCTATACCTGGCTCTCGGCAGATCCTTTGACCAAGGGGGTTTTCTTGGCTCTCATGATTTTAATTATCTTGCGCTGCTGGGGAACCACGGTGTGGAGGCGCGCGGAAGAGAGGTAGGTACCCGGTCAGAGCAAAATGTCAGTCGATTCGTTGAAACGACGTTTGTACGCGAGATAAAATGGGTACTGTCGCTGTAGTTACTCTGTACCGTAAGGGCGAAGTATTCCAGAATTCCGGGGAGAGATGAACAGTACCAATATCGATGTGAGAGTGGAAACCTACGCCTCTCATCGCAGTCACCATCAGACTGAGATAGGATGAAGACCGGTGGTTCCCAAACTTTGCTGTTAGGAGGATTCGCTCAAACCTGGATACAGCACAGGGCCATGTCATAACACAAATAATAGCTACCGCACTTTCTCCAGGAGATTATATAGACAACCTGCCTGGAGCATTTTGCCTGCAGTAAGTACACTGCTGTTTCCGATGTATGTGGCTTGTCTTTGATACCTGGCAATATGGCTGCTACTACTGTCACGACGGATGTGACGAATCTTACACCGGAAGACATTGCCTTTACCAACGCTCCAACTCTTATGTCACAGTCTGGCACAATCTTTGCATTTTCTGCCGCAATTGTACTCTTACGTATGTACGTGCGACTCGCAATGCTCAAGGCGTTTGGGAAGGATGACTGGTTCATGCTGATTGCCATGGTAAGTCAGACATCAGACGCTCACTGGCTGTTGATCGCCTGACTTGTAATAACATACGACTTATCTACGTGTCTAGATCATGTCGACCACGACCTTTGTGGCATACGCCCTACAAGTTAACTTTGGTCTTGGAAAACACATAGCTGTCATTCAGATGGACAAAGCCTCACACCGAAGCTTTTTGAGACTTCGTCAAGTGCATCAAATTACTGTTGGAATCGGTCTGACCATGGTCAAAATATCTATCTGCTTCTTTCTGTTACGTCTGGTAACGAGGAAGGCATACACTTGGTTTTTACGTGGTTTGATTGTTTTCCTGGTCCTCTTCGTCGTCGCATGTACTGGAACCTTGGGTACGTACCACGAATCGTCATGAGAATTTGTGCTAATGTTTGAGCAGTATGTCGCAAACCCCAACATGGTCAGCCTGTATTCATGTCTAGTCTCTAGATCAGATTAATTGCTTACTAGCAATTTGCATCCAGATATTTCAATGTGTACCAGTCAAGGCTGCCTGGGACACAAGACTCCGTCCACCACCCCTAGGGACCGGAACTGCACAATGCTTTACCCCACAGACCTTCACCCAGATCGGCTTGTTCAACACGGGTAAGCAGATTTTCCGATACACTTGACTGAGAGTAATGCTCACCCTCTTCCAGTCATCAACATCGCCACCGACTTCATTCTGGCCCTCCTGCCCGTCCCCCTTATCTGGCAGTTACAGATCAACCTCCGTACGCGCGTCTCCCTCATCTTTGTGCTATCCCTCGGACTCCTCGCCGCAGTCGCCGGCATCATCAAATCCGTAAAACAGCTGAACTTCCTCTCCAGCCCTGATCGCTACGTCCACGACACATTTATGATATGGATGTTAGCAGAATTCAACCTCGGAATTATTGCGTCCTCCTTACCAACCTTGAGACCTCTCTTCGGCAGATTCCTAGACGCCGCGCGAGGCATCAAAAGTGCGCCAACCGATGGTTCAGGCTTCCACGAACCGAACGCGCAAGGCTATCATAAACAAGACGACGAGTCCCACAGGAGCATACCGCTGAAGAATTATAAAGGAAGAACTGAGGTTAGGATATCTTCAAACCTTCCTCCTGACAAGGCACATAGGGATGTGTGGGGCAATGAGCAGGCGAAAAATAGCGACGACAGCATTCTCCCATTGCACGATATTGAAGATAGGTCCAATGGCATCGTCGTGACCAGACAGGTGCGGGTTGATTGAGAAAGGTCGGTAGTTTGTCTCGAGGAGGTATGCGGGAAGAATAGGAGCTTGTTGAAATATATTTACATGCTCTACACAGACGAACGCTCCCCAAGCTAGGTCAAATCTGGCTGGAGACCAGAACTACTCGACATTCAACTGGGAGTTGGATAGTAGGGACACAACGAAAAGAAATACAGAAGGAACAGCAAGAACCCCTTTTCATCCATCTACCCTTCCTGATCTCGATCACAGGACGCGTGTTCACGAAGTGATGTCGTTTCCAGTGTATTGGAATGTGCAACGTTTGGCAGTGGCAAATCTTGTTCCTTCCGGCAACGATGGCCAGGTTTCATCACTGCATGAGTCTGTGACTATGTTGCCATTCAATCGTACACCACTACTGACAACCCGTTTTCCACCCAGCATATGCATATCACCACAACGTGAGAGTAGTTCATCGCACATACAACGCTAATCATTGCTCTCCATTCCCCCATACAACGCGTACGAAACCCATCCTTCTCACACCCTACCCCACTTCGCCTCGCCTCGCCTCGACGCGAACCCGACCTTTGGACCGCAAACATTAAACACACGAGTAAGGTAGGTAAGTAGATATATAGACAGGACACCAATAGTCCAAAACATCACCTCACCACCCAAACACCTCAACCTCCAACCCCAGCTCGCTCATCGCGCCGCTCAAAACACGCTTCTGCAGCGCTGCAACTGTATTCGCGACTTCCGCTGACAGCGACGGAGGCCCACAAGCTATCGTGATCAGTCAGTCCATATATTCACTCTTCACTCTCCACTGAAATAAGGGGGGAAATACTCACCTATAACCACAGCGCGCTCGCCGCCAACACACCGCTCAACCACATGCCTCACAACAGGGCGACAGTAATGCACCTTAACACCGCCATCCTTCTCCTCTCGACCCGCAGACGCAAAAACATCCGCTTCGCCGCCGTGTCGTCGGAGTACCGGCCGCGGCCGCTCAGGCAGAGGAAGTGACAGTCCCCGCCCATCGCCAACCCGTCCAAACACCACCTCGCCCATCGGACTAAGCGGCGAGATCGGTCCAGCCTCCACCACCAGCGGGCTTGCGCAAAGACGCTCAGCAGTCCGCGTAACATACACATCGACCGCGAGCGTGCACGCGCTTCCCCGCACATCGCGCATAGCAGCACTGAGGTCGCGCTCGATCCAGGACAGCCACGCGACGTCGCGGACGAGCCAGATGAGGTGGAGGGTGCGTGTTCTGCATGTTGGGGCGCGGCGTGCGAGGTCGAGGATGTGCGGGAGGCAGGCTGTTATGCCTGTTCCGCCTGCGATGCAGAGGATGGTGTCGTAGATGGTGTGGTAGGGGCGGTGGTGTGTGCCGTGGGATCCGTCGATGATGGTGCGTAGGGGAGTAGGAGGGGGGTTGTTTGTGATGAGATGGGGTGTAGGGGTGGTGAGGTTGGGGGTGGATTCGAGCTCTTCCATTGTGATGGTGTTGGACTTGTCTTCGATCGAGAGGCATGGTTTCTCCAAATCAGACGCCGAGCTCGTCGATACGCCCGAGTCACCACTGCAAGGAGGCGAGTCTAGATTCCCTTCCCCGCTCTCATGTTCATCGCCTAACTTCTTCGTGAAGCCCCCTCGTCTCCGGACGAGAAACACCATCTCCTGCACCGCACCATCTCCACATCCCTCAGATATAGGAATATTAGCAATGGAAAACGGATGGTTCTGAAGCAGGGCCAGACGCGGTATGCGGAGAAACACGTGCTGGCCTGGTTTCCAAGTAAACGACCTGGGCACTTGGATAGCAACCCGCGTAGTGAGGCCGGGGAGATGCTTCACCGTAGTTGGAAAACCGGCGAGCGTGGCAAACGATCTGAGATTACGATGTCGCTGGAAAAGGCGTATCAAGTTGGATACGACGAGGATGGCGAGCGTGGCGTAGATATACCCCGGCTGCGATGTGAAAATTAGCACTTGCATATGACGTTGACCTCATCGTGGTAATTAAAACACTTACACACAGATTCCCATGCGCATGCCAGAAGAACACAGAAACATACGCCACCCCCAGAAAGACATGGCAGTACTTAAACGCCTCATAAAAGCGCCTCCTCACCCCCGGCAAAGACGCAACAGTCAGTCCAAACACAACGCCATACAGCGCCGTGCCACTAAGTTCCCGCGCCCGATTCGCATACAATTTATCCAGCATACTCCATCCGCCGTCCCTCACAGGAGCAATAAGGTGTGGAACCTAAAAGCACAACACCCCATATGTCAGCATTCCGTCCCCTACATCCATTTCCATACTCAATGACAAAAGTCCAGGTTTCCAACTCACCGTATGAGCAGTCCCCAGCCCAAAAACCGCCCACGCAACCCCCCTATGCCAAACATTCAACCTCTCGTACCCGATCCCCGTGCACGCCGTAACGACGTTAACTTTCCCCGCCAGCGCGACCGTGAGCGGCGTGAGCGCGGAGATCATCATAGCGCAGCGGACGCTGAGCGGGGGGGAGCCGAAGCGGAATCTCACGCGGAGAAGGCGGTGCGCAGGCCATGGTAGGATGAGGATGAACAGCATACCCAAGGCGAAGAGAGCAAGGGTGCCGTAGCTGGTTTGTTGGAGGCCTAGGGCCCGTGAGAGATGGTTGGTTGGGCGGCGGTAGGTGTAGAAGCGTAGGCGGGCGGTGAGGCGGTCGGTGGTGGAGGGGCGGGGCTTGCGGGGCAGGGGGTGCGGGTCGTGCAGGAGGTGGGAGATGTGGATGGATGTGAAGAGGAGGAGCCAGACGGTGTAGAAGGCTACGGTCCAGTAGCTGTAGTCTAGGAGGCCTAGGAGGGGTGTTTTGAGCTCGTCGGCTGCGTAGCCGTCGCGGAAGGCTTTGCAGGCTGGGGTGACGCAGTAGGGGCTTGTGATGGGGAGGTTTTCGAGGGGGAGGTTGTCTGGTGGTGTGGATCTGCGATGGAGGGTTAGTGGGTTTCGAGTGTGACGACGGAGAGGGTTGTAGTGAAGTGTTGATTACAACGACTTACCCCGGCCAACCCGTTGGAGCGTACAATCGCAGACCTGGCGGCATCCCGTGAAAGAGTATGGTCCAGGATATACACCTAAGTAGCAACGAGCGCAGAAAGACAGGGGAGATTGATAATCGACGCCGGCCAGACTTGACGATCGTCGAAAGAGAGCAGTACTTATCAGGGACAACCAACCTCATGCATCACCATGTCATCCGACATCTCAACTCTTCCCACAACCGGTCTACACCTACTCAAACTTCATTTCGAAGGATATTGCACCACGCTGTCCTTATTGCCGACCCACAGACGCAGCATCGTGGAAGCCATGCGAGCACCAGCCAGTCCCAACAGTGGACAGATGGTGTGGGTAGATGCTCGATCTCTGCAATCAAATTGATAGCGTTGCTGCCTCACCAGATAGAGACATGATATACATCAAGCAGGAGTTTTTCGTGTCAGTCCTCACGCTGAAGACGATGGTAAGTCGTCAATATCCGGATATTGGGCGTCCCGGCCCCTTAGCGCCGGCGAGGACGCCTCCCGCCTGGGTGGTTGTATGCCTCCATCAACAGTGTAAAATCACGTGGTACCGTCAAGGTAGTGGAGTAGGTTGGAGAGAAGTCAATGCAGTGACTTGGGGGTGATTGCAGCGTTGTAGTACGGTACTGTTCACCTCAATTCAGCAAATATCTCACGATAACAATGCATGTCGACCAAAGAGCAAGAACCCTTTCTCACGTTGTTGCAATCGAAAGAAGAGAAAAAATATCGTCGAGCATCACAGCCCAAACCTCGCAGCCGAATCTGGAAGTATTAGCGAACACGCGAGATTGTCAAAGTCAGCCTCGTTGACATCAAAACCAATATCTTAATCTACCTAACACACCATCTACATTTTTAATCATCTATTTCTTAACGACATACAAGTCAACATATTCATCAATGTCCATGTTATCAAGCGTCTTGGCATCCTCAGCCAAAGAGACAAGCTTGTCAACGCGGTCGGCCGGGAAGTGCGGGCCGAGATGCCTCTTGAACTTCTTAAGGATCTCAGGCTTCGCCTCCTCGCGTCGCAATCGGTGGCCGAGAGGAGCCTCGACGACCTCCTCTTCTAGAACGGTGCCGTCTTTGAGGGTCACGGTCAGGGCGTTGGAGATGGTGCGCTTCTCGGGGTCGTGGTAGTCCTTTGTGAATTGTGGGTCCTCGACACAGCTGATACGCTGGCGGAGGGACTCGACGAGGGCTGATTGAGCGGCCTCGCTGTCATCGGGGTAGTCGGTGGCCTCGAGACGGTTGAACACGAACATGGTGGAAACCATGTACTGGGGTGTATTGTCAGTTGCATGTGATGTGCGTGCTAGGAGTGAATCTTACCTGAACGCAGTGGTCACGGTCAGCAAAGTTGTCCATGGGCTTGAACTGTTTGTCGATGATGCGGATGCAGGCCTCGTGCGTTCGGTTGACGACGCCCTGGATATCCTCGGCACTCTTGCCCATGGCCTTGAGCTTCTTGTTCAGGCGCTGGGCAGCTTCGACGGCGGTCTGAGAGTGGAACTCGGCTGTGTTGACATTAATACAAATCTCACAAGATACATCAATTTCAAGACTCACCAGGGTAAGAGACCTTGAAGAGCACGTTCTCCATGACGTAGCTGCCGTAGCCCCGCTGGAAGGTGAAGGGCTTGCCGCCAAAGTTGACATCGTAGAAGCCCCAGGTGGGCGCAGACAGCACGGTGGGCAGACCCTGCTCGCCCTTGAGCACCTTGAGGACGAGGTTGACAGCAGTCTGGCAAGCATCACCGGCAGCCCACGACTTGCGCGACATGGTGTTGGGCGTATGCCTGTAGGTGCGCATGGACTGGCCATCGACAAAGGCCTGCGAGATGGCAGCACGGGTCTGCGCCTCGTCAAGGCCCATCATCTTGGAGACAACGGCGGTCGAGGCAAGCTTGACCAGAATGACGTGGTCCAGGCCGACCTTGTTGAACGAGTTCTCAAGCGCCATGCAGCCCTGGATCTCGTGGGCGCGGATCATGGCCTCGAGGATGTCGCGGACCTTGAAGATCTTGCCGTTGCCCAGGTTGCCGCCGGCCTTGTTGGTGCGGGTGATCCAGTCGGCGACGGCGAGGATGGCGCCCAGGTTGTCCGAGGGGTGGCCCCACTCAGCGGCCAGCCAGCAGTCGTTGAAGTCGAGCCAGCGGATCATGGCGCCGATGTTGAAGGCGCCGTTGACGGGGTCGAGCTGGTAGTCTGTGCCGGGCACCTTTGTGCCATTGGGGACCGTGGTGCCCTCGACGACGGGGCCGAGGATGTTCCTGCACTGCTTGAACTGCAGGCCCTCGAGCCCGCAGCCGAGCGTGTCGACAAAGACCCAGCGGGCCGTGTCGTACTAGACAAGCGCAACGTTAGCCATGGCCGCAATGGAGAAGGGCAGCAGCCGTACCGCCAGCTCCGAGTCAATGGCCGTGTTGTGGATGTAGCTCGCAATGTCCTTGATCTCGGGGTCGTACTCGCGCGTGCTGGGCACAATGGGCGCGCCGCTCTTGAGGGAGGCCATGGCGGAGAAGGGGGCTCGCCGTGTCGCAAGGGGGCTCGTGGGGGCGCTTCGCAGGGCAATGGGGCGCACCGCTCTGCTGAGGACGCTGGACCGCTGGCGGAGGGAGCGAGAGGCTGTGCTGCACAGGGTGCGACTGAAGGCCGACATGCTTGTATTAGCGCTGCCGTTTCCCGACCACGTCAATGCAGCTCGGGCAGAAAGGGACGGTCGTACTGCGCGTGTTCTGAGGGCCTGTAGCCTTTTGTGAGGGAAGATTTCGACGACGCTCGGCCTGCAATATTCGGGACCACCTCAACCGCCCTCAGCCGAGGAAGCGAGTACGCTCGATATACGCGTCTGCGGATCCCTCGCCCCGAGTCTCGACCTGCACACGATGCAGTCTGCCATGCCCATCTCACAGCAGGGTCTTGCAGTTGAGAGCTCGTACGTGAGAGACTGCCTCTACATCATGTCTCACGTCTGCAGTTGTTGCACTCCCCATATGCCGCTCGTCCTGATGGCTCGGAGTTACCCCGCCAAACCGCGGACGCTAACAATCTCGGTGGCCCTGAACTCAAGTTGCCGACTGAGCCGCCTAGCATGCAGGCTATTTCACCACGTGCACGACTTTATCATGTACACGATAACCACAGAGTAGTTGAGTTCGAGTTTACTTCGATAACAAACAGCTTTTGTGTACGAAGTAAGTAGACAATACCACTCAAAACAACCCAACACACGTCCCACAAACACCCCTCGACGGGCAATCATACCCCCTCTTCGAACTCCCCAACCATCCCCTCCCCCACCTGATCCTCTCATCCTGTCTATACCCACCCAACACACCCCTCCTCCCACACTCCACCACCCCATCCTTCACCTCCCCAATCCCATACCCAACCGCAACCAGCAGCGCCACCTCGAGATACACATCCGCGAGCTTCAAACTCGCCCCGTGGCCCCACTCAACCAGCTCGTCATCGTACACGCTCGGCGCAAAGATGTAGCTCCAGCAGTGTCGTGACGAAGATGCAGCCGCGCAGAAGCGTCTCGTAAGGTCGGTGTTGCGTGCTGGGGAAGGCGAGGCGGAGCGGGACAGGCAGCCGGCGATTGCGACGCAGTTCTTGATGCGGGATGTCATTAGGGTCTGGGTTGTGCTTCTAGGTAGCAACGAGGAGTTGAAGAGGGCGGATGCGAGGAGGGCGTTGCGCCATGTCAGGTCTTGCCTTGGGTTCTGGATGGGGATTGTGCTGCGGAGGAACGAGCGGTAGGGGAGCTGGGGGAGTGTGAGGTTTCGGTCCAGTGCGTGGCATATCTCCTTGTCGAAGACGCCTGCTCGGTTGGTCAGTTTATACTCTATCCCCTGTTTTGGAGGAAGAGAAGATGGGCTTACGGCACACGAATCTTCGTTTCAGGAGGGTTTGGAACTGCGCGTTTGGATGGCGTGACGAGGCGAGGTGTTGCACGACTGCATGTTCGACGATGAGACTCCACAGCTCGGTTGGTAATGCGTTGATACCGTCGAGCGGAGATGCTTCGTAATGCTCTTCTACTGCACCTTCGTCGTCTTCGCTCACTCTTCTCCCATTTCTCTTCTCATCCTCATCTCCCCCTCGCCTTCGCACAACCACCATCCCCGCATAACCAACACAAAACCCCGCCGTAAACAAAGCAACAATCTGCCCATACGAAAAGCAGCACAAGTAAAACATCTTCACAGCGTCAAGTCAACCATCTGATCACGTCGAAGCGAGCAGAGTACTTCATTTCCCGCGGCAAATGCATCAAAGCGGCGCAGCACAGCCTAATCGGAAAGGTCTCTTCATTCTGCAGCCTAATATATGCGCATGTGCGTTTTCTGAAGGACGACATGGATGCTCTGCAGTTTGCACAAGGTTTCGGAGCCACCCGCTGATCCCGTCATGAAAAGGGCAGTTTCGTCGGCCCACTGGATCCCGTGGCGACATTCTGGTGGTGACACTCGTACGTTTGTGTGTCCAATCTTGTAGCAGGGGTAGGTAAGGGAAGAAGGTTGTATTCCTGTGGGATCGACCGATTCCAGTGCTGTGGGTTGAATGACGTAGTGATTGTGTTTTGAGTAGCATGCGCGTGTGTCCAGTTCAAGGACGATGATTTCATTCATGTGGCGGTTGGTTGTGCAGCGTCTGGTGCCAAGGATAAACTGGTATCACGACGGACGTGGGCGCTGATGAACAAGTGCGATCAACACCTACCTACAGCTGGAACGTCTTGAGTGCGATCAGAGAAGACATGCGGGATAAACAGGACGAGACGATACCACATTACCCGGTAGGAACGAATCCTGTGCTCCTAGAGGCACAGTTGTGTGCCTCACTCCAACACCTGCGCTGTTATCCGTCCTCTGTGTCGAGGATGGGTGCCCGCGTCTAATCTCACCCTTGTTCCCAGCTTATGCATGCATGCAGCATGCCGTTGTTGGCAATGAGCTGGAAATGCGATAAAGTCAATCCTCGCCTTTTGGTGTGGGTCAGTAACCCAGCGGCATGGAATCCTTCGGCCCTTCTCGCTCGGTTGCTGCGCTTTTTCATTGACTTCTTGTCTTATCAACACTTTCGGAGACCGACGAAGACATACCCCGGACTCTCATGTTGCATCTGGTGTTCTGGTATGCCGCAGTACTTGCGTGAATCCATCGCCTGGGCGAGGGAATGCTGTTTCGTACTGTAGGATAGCAGTATTCGCACATCTCGTAGATGAGTTCGGTGAGTAGCGAGAGAAGGCCCGCATCTCAAAGCGCCGAAACGAGCTTGAGTACTCCAAAGCGACGTGATAGGACGGCCTTTCGGCTGTTCGCGTCAGGCAGAGTGTTGGTGTGTCGCTCCAGAAGTGCGATTGGGGTAACTTGGAGATGACGCTAGTGCATGATGAAGAATACAGTCTGCACAACGAATACTGTACCACCGGGTGTCGCGACGATTTTCCCAATCACGTGCAACAGCATCTCTACTTTAACAGTAAATCACAGAATTTAAGCTTCGCGAATAATGTACAGGTTGATATAATACGGTCTAAAGCATATAAACAGCTACATAGAATGTATTTGCTGTAAT